ACCTCCACTCATCAGCTGTATCCATGTCCACCTCACCAAACACCTTTGGTGTGTGACAATGGTGGTGGGGCCCTCATGGAAGAGAGCAGGGACAGGAAGTTCCTGAGGGGAGAAGAAGAAGAGGTCATGAGGGAAGGGGAAGGAGAGAGTGACAGAGATGGAGGAAGTAGATGACAAGCAGGAGGTGGGTGGAGAGGGAGATGAACCAGCAACCCTGCTCGAGGGTCCCTCAGGTGTGGGAGTCCACATGCAGTGGGCAGAGTGGGAGTGGCAGTGGCAGTTGCAGGCCATGGAGAAGCAGGCTGAAGCACACAAGGCCACTGTGCTGGCCTTTGAAAGGATGGCAGACACAGCAGAGTGGATGGCAGTGGCTGCAGAGTGGACAGCCAATGAGTGGGTGCTGTACTGTGCCTGGGCAGAGTGGGAGGAGATGAGGAGGAGGGAGGATGCATGAGAGGCCAGGATGGCTGAGCTCAAGCACACAGGCAGTGGCTGGAAGAGGCCTCTGTTGGAGGTGGTGGAGGGGCAGTGCAAGGATGTGGATGAAGGTGCAGAGGGGGATAATGAGGAAGAGGAAGAAGTCGGAGGAGAGCTGGAAGGCAGAGAAGGACAGGAGGGTGGTGGAGAGCAAGTGATGGAAGAGTAGAGTAGATTTTTTTTTTTTTTTTGTCTTCTGTTTTTTGTTTGTATATTTTGTACTACCATGAACTAGACTTGTGACATTGCTTGTGATTCTGAGAAGTGAAACAGATAAGCAGAGAAGATTCTAAAGTACCTAAGGTAGTTTGATAAGGGGCAGAGTTGGCCCATGGAGGAAGGTTATGTGGGCAGAGTACTATGGTGGAGGTTGATATGGGCCAGGTTTGTGTGGATAGTGTTTGTGGAAAGCAGAGACTGTGTCAGAAGCATGGTCCAGCTCAGTTGCAAGCAACCAAGAGGTTTCTTTGTCAGTGTTTTCATAACCAGCCCAGTGGACTAGATACAAGAGTTGACAGTGGCAGTGACAGCGGTCCACCTTAGAGTCAAGTATCTCCAACACCTCATACTCAAGGTCACCATCGACATCTACTGGCAGAGGCAGAGGTTGTTGTTGACTTGGGAAAGGGTTAGCTGCTGCAGCTTCCAGTTGTGAGACATGGAAGACCAGATGTACTGAGTGCATAGAGTCAGGGAGCTTAAGGGTAATGGAGTGTGTACCTGGCCTGGCCAAGATGGTGAATGGACCTAAGTACTTTCAGAGAGTTTTTCTGAAGGATGAGTGGAGCAGAAGTACCTGGCTTTGATGTAGGCCTGTTCTCCAACCTTGAACTCAGGCAGAGGTATGTGTCTGGCATCTGCTGGACCCTGGTAGCACTGCAGAGTGGTGGACATTTCAGAGTGGAGGAAGTCATGAAGGGCAGAGAGCTTGATGACATAGTCATGAGCCCTTGGAGAGGTGAAGTTCTGGTCAGGGACCACAGACAGATTTGGATGATATCCCTTGTTAGTGAAGAAGGGAGAAACTCCAGTTGTTGCATTTGGTGTGTTGTTGAAAGTGAACTCCACTAGAGGTAACAGCTTGGCCCAATTGTCTTGTTGGTAGTTACAGTAGACACAAAGATACTGCTTGAGGGTCTGGTTCATTCGCTTGGTCTGGCCATCACCTTCTGGGTGGTAACCTGAAGTGAAGTGAAGATGCATATCCAGGGCCTTTCCTAGAGAGTAGAAGAAGTGTGAGATGAACTCAGGACCTCTGTCAGAGGTGACATTAGCCAGTACTCCATGCTTGGAGAAGACATGGGTAAGGAAGAGCTTAGTGAGTTCAGTGGAGGTGATGGAGTCATGGGTGGGGATGAAAACCACTTGTTTTGAGAGGTGGTCCACTACCATGAGGATGGTGGAGCAGCCATTGGAGTTGGGGAGGTGTTTGATGAAGTCCATGGAGATGGAGTTCCATGGTCTCTCTGGGACAGGGAGTTGCTTCAGTAGACCATAGGGGTGGTGTTATGTTTCACCCTTGATGGCTCCTTATTTCCACCACTAGCATTATCCTCTTGTTACATGTGTAGAACATGTGTTGCCATTGTTCAACCAATGGCATAGCTGTCTCATTACATGCAGATGCCTCATGGTCTGTCTCTTGTACAGTATTTAGTCTGTCAGCTCAAGTCCTGGAAACCCAGACTTGAGCTGCTCAATCATATGCAGTGTTCTCAGAACTTTGCCCTCAGTGTCCCTAACCTGGACCACTCTTACAGGTGTTGTCTAAATCCTCTGTCATTTACAGAGGTTACTGCAGCCATTGCTCAGTAGAAATCCATAGTCTGCATTTGAGCTCTCCCTACATCTTGACTTCGGTCGAACATAACAAAAGCTCAAGTCTACCAGCCTTTGGCTGAATTGGTCACTGTTTAGTGCACCACCATGAACCCCCAAAACAATCAACATTGGGCGCTGTTGTGACCCACTCATGAAGAATCATCATCTGATGAAGAACAGGAGAGCACTGTCACTGACACCTCCTCCAATGAACCTGAACAACTGGATAGAGGATTTACCTCTGGTATCCTCTCGAACCTCTTTAGTCAGTCCCTTGCATCACTCGGTACTCCCATCCCACCAGTACCCACCACCACTTTTCCTACACCCCTGCCTCTACCACTTAATACAATGTCCAGTTCATCATCAAAGGCAATGGTCAGCACTATCGCCACCAAAGCCACTGAATTGAAGATTGGTTCCCTGTCTGATTTTGACAGTGACCAGAAGAACGCTATGAGTTGGCTGTACTCAGTACAAACCTATCTCTTGGTAAATGAAGAGATCTATGACAGTGACACCAAAAAGGTTGTCTATGCCCTGTCATATATGAAGAAAGGTGTTGCTTGTTCCTGGGCAGCTACCTTCCAGAAAACTTCTCTGGAAAAGAATCCCCCAAGTTTTGGCACCTTTGCCAATTTTATGAAAGATTTCAAGAGTTCTTTCACCTCCTCCGACACTGCTGGTGTGGCTATCACCAAGTTGTGCACCATGAAACAAAAGAATCTGTGGAGCAATATATCACAGACTTCAGAACTGCCACTGCCAACTCAACCATCATGGAAGACATTGCATTGATTGAGTTCTTCTCACAAGGACTCAAACCTTTCATTGTGAACTGAATCCATATGATGGAAACCACTCCCACCAAGATCACTGAGTGGTACACCCAGGCTCAAAAGTTCAATGCTAAATGGAGGAAAGTGAATGAACTTTCTGGAAAGAAAGAGAAGAGGACATTCTACCCCAAGAACAACCTTGCTGAAGAAAAAGATCCAAATGCCATGGATGTGGATGGAGTGAGACTCTCCAAAGAAGAAAGAGACCATCACATCAAAGAAGGAAGATGCTTCCACAATGCACAACTGTGTCACCACCAAAGCCAAGGTAAGTGACTCTGGAGCAGCTGGTTCCCTTGCATACTAGAGAGCTTGCATGACAAGCATATGTGGGAGAAATGTCACACCACTAATAGATTGGTTGCCTGATTCAACATCTGTCAGAGCATCACAATCACTGGGGTGATACTTTCATCAATACAATTTGCTGTGTCCATGTTTTTAATCTATACATGCCAAAGTATTAACCATAGAGTATGGTGCATGTGTTGCTGATCACTGTTGCAACACTGCACAAAGCTGTTTCTCCACTGCAACACAAGACATCACAATGCCAATGAGATGCACTTCAGTCACCCCCCCCCCCCCCCCCCCCCAGGGGACCTATTAGGTTCATATATTCTTATAGATGTATCCACCTAATAAGTGTCTTGGGCACTCCCAGTATCATGGGAGGGTTGCCAGACTGTACTCTGAGCTGAACTGGGGATCACTGGGAAGGAGTTATTTGGTCATATATGAATAAAGGAAATATCCAGTGCCAGATAGAAGGCCAGGAATGTGCAACCTGGTGGATCAGTAACATATCCCTCCCATGGGACCTGGAGTGAGAGAGGGTTTAGCTTCACCCTGACCTCCATACCAGTTTCCCCTTCACAGAAATGCACTAGTTAATGGGTGATTGGTTTGTTTATGATAGGATGAATGCCAGATTGGACCTCCACATTGTTCTCAGCTCTCACAGTACTGATTAGTTCCAGGACACATGGGGCATTGGTGGGGAAACAGTGCAGGAGATGACTTCCAGCAGGTTTCTGAAGAGACCAATGGTGCTGATAGTATATTCTATTGATTATACTATAGTATACACCAGCATTTGCTGAGGTTTCCCTGACAGAATGTCCCTGATGAGCCAGAATGTTGATTTCTTGACTTGTGTTACAGCAAGGAGGCTTAGGGGTGCAAAATCACTGTTTGGCATTGTTTGTTTGTTGACAAATCATCATTCAGTAGACCATGTAATACATTATGTAAGCATTGGTGAGCTTCTCACCATGTTTTATATGTGTTCCCAAGGACTACATCTCCAGTATATCATGAAGTTACATAATTGTCCCAATGAGCTCTCATTTTCATTTGGGTATTCTGTCATCAGTTTCTATCCAAATATTATGTAATATGGCTCATCAGAGAGCCATGACCAGCTGCTTCAATCTGTCCACCAACACCTTGGACTCAATAATGATAGTTCACCTGCTACACCATGATTAATGAAAAACATGCAAACATTGGGACAATTTTATGAGCCACTGTAGGTGGAGGACAACATGCAGAATGCAGTCATGGTATTAATCTTCTAGGGTGGCACTATATTGCACATTTGGGATGGAATGGAAGTTAGCACAAGCTCAAACAATCTAGAGGAAAGAGGGAGGTACAGCATCTGACCAGTGGTACAAGTAACACAAAGATACATCAGTGTCTATCCCCAGGACATAACAGAGTGGGTGGGAAATCCCCAGCATTGACTGGAGAATCCCCAGAGTAGGTGGGAGAAAACCCAGCATTGCCTGGAGAATCCCCAGCATGGCCTGGAGAATCCCCAGAGTGGGTTGGAGATTCCCTAACATTGGCTGGAGATTCCTAAGTATCCCTTGGGGAATCCCCAGAGTGGGTGGGAGAATCCCCAGCATTGCCTGGAGAATCTCCAGAGTGGGTTGGAGATTCACCAACATTGCCTGGAGATTCCCCAGAGTGAGTTGGAGAGTCCCCAGTGTGGCCTGGAGAATCCCCAGAGTAGGTGGGAGAATCCCCAGCATTGCCTGGAGAATCCCCAACATTGTCTGGAGAATCCCCAGCATTCCTTGGAGAATCCCCAGGGTGGGTTGGAGAATCCCCAGCATGGCCTGGAGAATCACCAGATTGGGTTGGAGATTCCCCAACATTTGCTGTGGAGATGTAGTCCTTGGGAACACATATAAAACATGGTGAGAAGCTCACCAATGCTTACATAATGTATTACATGGTCTACTGAATGATGATTTGTCAACAAACAAACAATGCCAAACAGTGATTTTGCACCCCTAAGCCTCCTTGCTGTAACACAAGTCAAGAAATCAACATTCTGGCTCATCAGGGACATTCTGTCAGGGAAACCTCAGCAAATGCTGGTGTATACTATAGTATAATCAATAGAATATACTATCAGCACCATTGGTCTCTTCAGAAACCTGCTGGAAGTCATCTCCTGCACTGTTTCCCCACCAATGCCCCATGTGTCCTGGAACTAATCAGTACTGTGAGAGCTGAGAACAATGTGGAGGTCCAATCTGGCATTCATCCTATCATAAACAAACCAATCACCCATTAACTAGTGCATTTCTGTGAAGGGGAAACTGGTATGGAGGTCAGGGTGAAGCTAAACCCTCTCTCACTCCAGGTCCCATGGGAGGGATATGTTACTGATCCACCAGGTTGCACATTCCTGGCCTTCTATCTGGCACTGGATATTTCCTTTATTCATATATGACCAAATAACTCCTTCCCAGTGATCCCCAGTTCAGCTCAGAGTACAGTCTGGCAACCCTCCCATGATACTGGGAGTGCCCAAGACACTTATTAGGTGGATACATCTATAAGAATATATGAACCTAATAGGTCCCCTGGGGGGGGGGGGGGGGGGTGACTGAAGTGCATCTCATTGGCATTGTGATGTCTTGTGTTGCAGTGGAGAAACAGCTTTGTGCAGTGTTGCAACAGTGATCAGCAACACATGCACCATACTCTATGGTTAATACTTTGGCATGTATAGATTAAAAACATGGACACAGCAAATTGTATTGATGAAAGTATCACCCCAGTGATTGTGATGCTCTGACAGATGTTGAATCAGGCAACCAATCTATTAGTGGTGTGACATTTCTCCCACATATGCTTGTCATGCAAGCTCTCTAGTATGCAAGGGAACTAGCTGCTCCAGAGTCACTTACCTTGGCTTTGGTGGTGACACAGTTGTGCATTGTGGAAGCACAGTGGATAATGCTTTTTCCTAGGCTCTGCAAATCTGGCACCTTGGATAGCTGTATCACAGTCTGCAACATATCAGGCTCAATGGGGTCAGTGCATTATGCACCCCATGTCAGACAGAAATTCTTGGTAGATCCAATTTGGCATGTGCTGTTGTTGTCACTAATCATTGGGCAGCTTGCCAAACCACCATTCTGGGATGTGTTCATCACTTTCTCACAACATCCACAGTTGGTTGAGTTGGCTCCTGAGGGCAGTGGCATGGGTCTTGGGGGGACAGTCATGTGGATGTTGGATGCAAATTGGGAAGTGAATACTGGCTTTGAAGCAGTTTTCCTGAAGCTTATTCTCCTGCTCACTGTCAAGCACAAAGTGTCATCGTCAGTGGCCCTCTTGGACAGGCCAGCCTTCACAGCCTTCAAGGACTGTGCTACTTGACATCAGCTGCAAGTCTCCTGAGGTAAAGTCACCACTTACTGACCAATGTGCCTGCCTGTGCCTTCTTTCCCATGGCCTTTGTCAACTTTTCACACCCCTGCTTCATCTGCATGCAGCTGTTGCATGTGTGCCTGACTGGACCCATGCACATGGTGTTTTTGACCATACAGCATGTGCAGGGCACCTTGTGGAGAATCAAACTGGGTGGGACAATGATCTTCAGCTTGTCTTTGTCCATGCTCTCTGCAACAGTCTGCCACAATTGCTTTGGACTCCAGTATCAGTTGCTACCACACCATATGAACTGCACACTTACCTTTTGAACTGGCCAGGCTACTACCTCAACATGTGACATTTTCTCTGTCGCCACCAGCACTGCAACACTCACACCTTGCTCACTGACAGCCTGCACAACCTCTTCCTCCATCTGCATGTCTTCATTGGCCCTTCCACATGCAATCTCCTTGGCCACCCACCCCTCATCAGCCTTGTCAGCCTCTGCCATGGTGGGCCTGTCTGCAGCATCTATCTTGGTGTCGATCCCCAGCTCTTGCCCACATTTGATGAGGGGGAACACTTCTCCCCAGAGGACAGTCAGTACTGCAAGTCTCAAAGATGTAGGACACTTACCATCCTCTGCTCCCATCTATGCATCCACATCACCTTCTCCTCCCAGAATTCCTCCTTGTCATCCAGGAGGCACTTAGCCTCAGTGTCATGACCGTGCATTCATCCTAGGTCCTCACTCACTCTGCACCCCTTCCCACTGGTCATTTGCTCACTCCACACCAACTCCACCCACCCCCTGACATTTATGAGTCATCTCTGCTCTGACTGCTGTCAGACTTGTACTGCCCTCCTACTGGACCATGCAGGCCATTCTCTGAGGAGTTGTGTGACTACCCTTTGGACTTCTCCCTGACAGCATGTGGTCAGGGACTCCACAGCACACACACCACATGGTCTAGCACCTGGATTGTTCCTCTTTGGGATGTTCTGTGTTACCCATTCATATGTCCTCTGTCTACCCTTCATTTGTCATCTAGGAAGTTTTACTTGAAGTTTTACAAGTCCCCATATGTCAGTTCCAATTCCAATTGCTGTACCTCCATGGTAGTATAAAAGCATGTACCGTACTCTGCTGTTCTCCAGTATGAATATCAACTTAGTTCCTACTCCCTCTGTCTCCATCTTCTGCCTGTCAGAGTTACCTCCAACTGTCCATCTGTACTCCCCCTCTGAAATATGAGGGCTGAGATTGTGCAAGGGGGTAGTGCATGAGCTAAACCCAATGCCCTCACTTCGCTCCACCCCTACCTTTGGTGGACTTCGTTCTTGCCAACACTCCACCAGTCGGAGTTCTGCTCTTTCTGTCAGACTTGCTTCTGAACCTCTCCCCAGGCCTCATCCATCATTGGAGTTGGTTGGAGTAGGCCTGGACTTGACACTCAGCAACCAAAGCTGCGGAGGCAGCAACAAACCTCACCTTGAGTGCAGCCTTCTCCACTTCAACTGGGTCAGGGGTAGTTGAACATATGAGTTGCGAGAGTCAGGGGGCATGGCTGGCAGACATGATGAGTTGGATTGATAGAGCAATGGATGGAAGGGGGGAAAGAATCAAATTGATGCAAAGGTTTGAGCTGCACACTAACAAATATATACTTAGTGGCCATGAGGTGCTTATGTCATTGGTCCAGATGCCCATACACACCATTGAATGGTCTTCTTGCATTCCTTGGCTCCATGCTTCCTTCACTCCTATGTGGAATCCTCTGGTGTTCTCAAACCCTTGGCACCACACCTTTGCTATCACCATGTGGCAAGCTATTTACATACTCTGTGCCATTTGGCTGACCAGGGACAGTCAGCATCTAAGTCCCCTGCAGGTGTAAGGAATCTTCATTCCTTGAATGTGTAAGCCCCTATCATCTACTGTTCCATTGTCACACACCAAAGGTGTTGTGGACATGGTTACAGCTGACTCTGCCTAACTTGTTGACAAGTTGCGCACTGCGCACAATGCCCATGCATGCAGATGAAGACTAAAGGCCTCATGCATAGAAAGACTGCTGGACATGAACAGTCATGCTTTGCACAAGAATGAGTCATCAGTGCTAAAGAGAAAAGAGGAAGCAAGTTAAGTGTGCATTAAAAGTTTTTAGTGCCTGTGTACAGCAGTCCAGTATTTGTCATATCTCCACCATTTCCAAAGATATCAACTCTGTTGTCACACTCACTTAAAGTGCTCAGCCATGCGATTCTGCCTTCCAAATTTGGAGAGGATCCTCACACCCTATGCATATCTACAGCACTCCATCCATCAGATGCTCATTTCACTAAGTCCATCAACCATGGCCACCTCTTCATCAATCATCTCACTTGTCTCATTTGCCAGAGACAGTGGCTATGTATATCTGCCAGGCATTCCCACCAGCTTCTGTCCTGAAGCTCCCCAGTTCATCCCATCATTGTCAGCCCCATCTCATCCCATGCAGCTTGGTCAGTGTGTTCTCCTTGTCAGTATGACTTCCAGAAGGATGTTTTTTGGTCACCTCAGGTCTGTCACTTGGTTAGAAAGGTCTTATGTGGTTATTTCAGTCTCCCCTCTTGATGAAGCATATGGATCATTCCTCCCTGCTCCCTGCACTGTCTTTATTCCAATCTCATCCATCATTCTTCCCACATTGCAACAGCTGCAGCATAATCTACTGTTCTCCAGCCTCCCTGATCACATCCATGTGTAGCACTGCCATGTCAGCTGTTATTGATGCATGCACTGTAGGGAATGTAATTTCCCTACCAGGGGAATTGCCTTATTTTGCTCATTTTACTTCATTTTCATTCTAGATACTTTTTTCTACAAGTTGCACTTGGATTTCGCATTTTTGATTGCTTAGTCAGCAGTAGTGCTACTTGTGTATGGTTTTTTCCTTTAAAATTAATAGATGAGTTACCACAGATGAGAGATGAGTTCAAGCAGGTTGTTCCCTGCACCAAGACAGCCATAGAAGCCTTCAGACAACTACCAGGATCCAGTCCCAGGTTATAGAAGCCCCTTTGGCTTACTCATCCCCTCAGATAATCCATCACCCAGTCTTCACACTCTTAAATCCCAATTCCTACAGTGCCATATTGAGTGCCTCAGTGGACACTGGCCAGACAAGCACAGCTTTGCCTGCAAGTGAACAATCACCTTCATGCAGGACTGGTTGCAGTGCATTGCTGTGGTCATTTTCATAGCAATTCAACTCATCAAGGAGGTAGCACATCAGTGTGTCATGCTGTGTAGTCATGTGGAGTGAAAGGCAAGGAGTTGGTTGACTTTACTACACACCCAGATAGGAAGGAGGATGAAGTACTCACCTGCTCACCTTCAGCCCATCCCCCACCAGACCTGTGCAAGGGTCCATCACTGCCCCACTGGCACAAACATGAAGCAGTATTGTGCTCCACCACAACAGTAGCAATGCATTGTGAATGTTCTGGGAATTCTGGACCCCACCACTACCTTGTTGATCCATTTTTGGATCATGTCATGGGAAAGTGGCTCACCCAGTTGCAGCATGCCATTTGTGCCAATCATGGGGGAAAAAAAACCTCTTCAGCCATCAGTTGGCCAAGATGGACAAGTTTGACCCATTTCATCCAGGACATGAGGCACAGGAGGGCATCACATGCCTTGCCCATATCTAGGCATGGATAAATCTTGTAGTGATTGCCTGGTAAGGTACCAATGAAAGGAGATCAGATAAAATGGGATATGTGCAGATGGATATAAAGACAGACTTCATAGGTCAGCTTCCCTCATTCCCTTATCTAACTTTCTCTGCCATCCCTTATGGTTTGTTAGGTGGATCTCAAAGTAAGCATTGCACTCACTAACAGTGAGGGAGAGTTCCTCGCCTCAAAGGTATTTCATGAACATGCCATCTACAACAGTCTTGTCAAGCTTGACATCCCCACACTTTAGTTTCAGCTTGTAGTTCCTGTCATAAACCATGATCAAAAATGTTGTTGGTCAAACTGCCTGCCAGTACTTACCCCATCCAAAGCATAAACACAACAGCACTAAAGGCAAGGTGTTCGAGGTGCTGTGTGACTGTTAACTTCACTTTCCTGTTCAAGGACTCACCTGATGGCAGTGCTTTGTAGCCTAATGTTGTGAGATGAATGTATTGAAGCAGGGTGTCAAGTGGACAAAGTGATTCTGACCAGGCAAGTATCTTATCCATGTATTCCTTCTTCATGGCACCCAAGTGCTTCCATTCAGCTCCTTCAGAACTAACTCTGTGTCTGATAGATGCCATGATGTCATCAACTTCTGCTGACAGGACCAGGTTGCCTTCCCATCAGTGATGGACATCATTGTGATGCCACTTCCCACAGAATGTTGCACCATCACTATGCCAAAGGTATTAGTCTATGAGCATCAACACAAACTGAGCAATCACACCATGCATACTTTGTCCCACAACATCTTGAATCCCACTTGAACACTGTCAATGGTGCTTTGGCTGCTATTTTCTTGGAACCCTCTCAATGAAAGGTAAAGGGCTAATGCTTTATCTGAGCACCTATTTGACACATGCTCAAATGCATTCTTAAAATTTGGATCACTGTAGATTTCAGAGTCCTCTCCAGTGTGATTCAAAGTTGGTGGCATCCCCTCCTCTGGAAAATGGCTCTGCAGCCATGAGCATGCTTGGTGGATGTGTCCTGAGTATGCCACTCTTGTCTTGGCTGCCCAAAGGTGAGTTTCTTTGCCAGCTTCTTTAATTTGGTGGGCAGTATGCAAGCTAGGTAGTTCTTTTGCAGTGGATACCCTTGCCCTCTTTTTGGGCTTGTCTGGGGACAACATGGCATGCTTGGTCCCAGATGCCTTCTGTCTGACCATCATGACAGGATATCCAGTTACCAGTCATAAACTGATTGGATGTGGCAATGTGGGAGTTGTGATGTCACAAGTCTAAGGCTAGCAGCAACAATGTCACCTAGTTATTTGCAATACATATACTACGAAGTGTGATGAATTCTGAGGACTAGTGTAAATATGGTGCAGCTATAACTAGATATTTCTGGTTCTGTCTACAAAGCATCACATTGGCACCCAGGATTGCACTGAATACACAAGGCATTTGGTTGATTCATCTACATCTACATCTGCTAATGGTTTTACTCACAGTTTGCCTTGAAGCTGTGTTGACACACAGTGCCCACTGTCACCCACATGATTAATGTGTACATTTCCTCAGTCCAACTATCAAACCAAGCCATGTTGGCTGTTGATCTCACCTCCAGCAGTGTCACAAGCATATTTGAATTCCCTTCTTTCTGAGTGTGCTTCAGAAACCATAAATTCCTTCTTGTCCCCCAAAAATCTCCTCAGTACTGGCCTTCCTGCTACAGCACATCAAATCCCCTCCCATCCTTGCCAAACCTCATCAATCATCACTGAGACTGGCACTGCAATCCTCAGTACTGGCCTACTTGCTACAGCACATCAAATCCCCCTCCTTCTGAGCATGCTTCATAAATTGTAAATCCCCTCCCATCCTCCCCAAACCTCATCATTGAGGCTGGCACTGCAATCCTTGGTACTGGTGTTCCTGCTATGGCCATCTCTCAAGAAGTCTATGTTGTGAATGAGGAAACTGTGGTCACAGCAGGGACATCCATCCTCCTTGCTTACATTGCCAAGGTATGTGGTTCTGTTAATATGCTGTCACATACATTGATAATCATGTGCCTAGCTTATCAGTGGGCCTGATTGTGACTAGGTCAACAGCCACATCAAATGTGTCAAGACCACTTTGGAAAACTCGCATGCCAAACATACTCAGGCTGTAAAAGACTGCATCAGCTCTGTTAAACAGGGGACATTGTGTTGCTATCAAGCATGTCAAGACCACTTTGGAAAACTCATGTGCCAAACATACTCAGGCTGTAAAAGACTGCATCTGCTCTGTCAAACAGACAAAGGACATCATGTCACTGATGCAGGGGCTCTTTCCCATTTCGAAGGTTGGGGTATGGTCAGTTCTGATGTGATATAACTATAGGAAACTGCCTGGTTGGAGGCAGAAGTGTTTATCTACTGTCAAAAGGTTGCACTGGCATCCAAGCTCAAGACCATCCTGGACAGCTGGGTGCACTATGAGCAACAGCTGAAGGAGAGCAAGCAGGTTGAGCTTGCAAAAACTACCATTGAAAGGGTTACATCTGATCTCAGGGATGAGAAGATGCAGGAGGAGATATTGTCTGATGCCATGGCAGAGCTTGAGCATAAGTCAATCATGTTGCAAGTTCCTCACAAATTCCCTCTGATGATTGACAATAACAGAACTTGTGAAAAGCAAAGCAATCTAGGGAGGTCATGGCTAGCTAGATTACTTATAGAAAATGTAGCACATCAACACCCTTTTTTTATTGGACTTATCTTGAATATTGATATAGTTGTCCATGAAATCAGTTTTGCCACCTCATGACCCACTCGCCAAAATTCTCACTAGAAGGATACAATAGATAAATCTGATGCGAGGTACATGCATGCCACCAAGTGTAATGAACAAGGATTTATGATACTAGTGAAAATACATGCAAGTGTAATTAGGTTTCACCCTTGAAGTCAATCATGGCACCTCATCTGTCAGCAGTGCTGATGACCCATTCCAGAGCCAACATTTGTTTACCAAATGGCAGGTGACATGAACTGCAAATATCTTCATTTTCAATGATACATTGTATAAATACCACAGGCTGGTTGGTGAATTCAATCAAGGGTGGGTGGCATTTGTCAGTGATGCAGCTGCCTTGCTGTGTTGTAGTTAGCAGACAAGGGGCTAGAGGGGTGGACTAGTTGGTAAGTACTGCAAAGATGTGGGACTGAAGGAGGGTGACTGTGGACTGTACCATAGTGACATCAGTGAGAGGGAGGGTGACATAGATGAATACTGTGGGCATCATTGAAGTGGACTAAAACAATTCTAATATTGGCAAAATGTACATGCTCCATCAAGAGGTGCCCCAGCTAAGACAATATAAACATGGTTTTAGCTGATGTGGAAAGCTGAAAATTATTTTACCAAACAGTGGGTGACACAAATGTGAACATTGTCATCTTTGACAATAGGGTATGTACTTGCTCCATCAAGGGATACCCCAGCTAAGACAATGTGAACATGATTTTTGGTTGGCATAGAGAGCTGATAATTGCTGATCAAATGGTGGGTGACACAAATGTGACTGAAACATCATCATTGACAATAGGGTATGTAGGTGCTCCATCAAGGAGTACCCTGATGAAGGCAATGCAGACATGGTTTTTGGTTAGCAGGGAGAGCTGGAATTTACTTACTAAACACAGGTGACATTGTCTTCAATGATAGGGTGGATGTGTTCCATCAGGGAGTACCCTGGCTAAGATGACATGGATATAGTTTTGGCTGATGTGGAAAGCTGAAAGTTGTTTACTGTTGCAAATGTGGACATCTTTGACTGATAGGGTGTATACATGCTCCATTGGGAGCTAAGACAATGCAGACACAGTTTTGGCCAATGCAGAGAGCCAAAAGCTGTTAACCAAATGGCAGGTGACATGAACATCTACATCTTCATCTTCAACAATATGGGATACTGGCTAAGTCAGGACAGATATCATGAGGCTTAATATCAATGGAGGAAGCCAAATGGTCTCACAGTGTATGCTTGCCTTCTACACTCTGCTGCCTGAAAAATTGAACAGTTATCCATAGGATGTTGTCTTCCTCTGAGCTCTTTTGTGTATATCACATGTTAACCATAACAACCAGACTATAGTCATGAGCAAAGTTGAAGCATGTCTCTACCCATGGGTTGTAAGGGATGGATTAAAAAGTGCATGTAGCATGCTACTCACAAGCTGATATGATGCTACAAAGAGTGTGTAGTAAGCCTGACTAGCCCTTGTTCATGGGATCATCAATTCCAGCTTTGAGACACAATGTATCCTTAGGCATCCACATTCTCATCTGCAAGCTCCACACTAGGCAATGGGGAAGTTGGACAGACAGAGCCCAACACTAAGTCAGGCCTCAAATATTCCAACATGACTGCTGCAATCTCCATGTCATAGAATGGATCACCATCACTCTTCTCACCTGATGTTGCAAGGGGTTGGATTGGAACAGAGAGCTTGTATGTGGGTGAGGACAGCAACTTGTTGAAGTAGCCTGTGACTTGAAGATCATGTCACAGTCTCTCACCATTGACATTGCCTGGCAGCTGGGTATGGTGGATGATGAGGCAGGGTGGACATGTTTATAATTGTAGAACTTACCTGTAGAAGTGTGTGTATGGTGGCACCAGCACAAGCATCTGCCAATCTGGACTGAATGACATCCAGTGGCCAGTCAAGGTGCTGCAAACAAAATTCCACCAGGGATGTGAGATCAGGTTTGTGAGACATCACAATGGTAACAGAAGGGTGTCCATTGTCCAACCATGAGGTAAGAGGTAAAAGATACATTGCCAGGACAGTGGGGTCAGGGAACTCAATGCACTCCTCCGTGATGATGCAGGCAAGTTCATAGTGTCTACATCCAAGGAACTGTTGAGGATCTGTTCTTAGCACCTCACAGATGCTGTCACACCACTTGGAAATGAAGCTCATGAACTCAGCAAACTGGAGTGCAGCAGCAGCTCACAAGAGACTCCTTCCAAAGCCATATTTTGCCAGCCAACAGGCAACATCCATGCTGCACCACCAATTGCCTGTCTACAAATTAAATGAGACTGGATGGCACCTTCAGTGTGCAGGGGATGGCACATACCTCAGTGTCCACACTGCTCATCAACAAAATCAGATAGAGGTCCCCCAATTCAAGACCAATGCCATTTTCTATGTCTTTGGAGGAGTAAACTAGAATGTCTTTGTACCTGGTAGAGTAAGGGGTACTGCTATTTCTAGAGTTGGTTGGTTGCACCAATATTTGAATGAACAACTCACCTGCATATAATGCAGGTCATGCCAAACAGTAGCATGTCATTGTATGGTGTCACAACAGCCTCAATTAGTCCATAGGATTGAAGATTTGTGAGCTCCACATCTGCCTCTCCTGGGGCCTGATGAGTCATGTTAGCACCTGTTGAGATGTGACACAGCATACATAGCAAACAACTTACCATGTGCCAGTTGAAGCCAAATGCCATCAGTAATTCTTGAAAGTGCTGCACAAGGAGACATGGGAAGGTTGAACCCACAATGTCTTTTCCCCTCTTGAGTTGGGGACAGTCTGGTCCATCAAAGATGAAGTAAGGGTGAAGCAACATGCAAGAGATAGCAGAAAGATGACAAAAGATAGTGTCCATTTCATGCAATTGTCCTGTACCAGCTTGATGCCATGAAAACATGTTAATTAGTGAATGCATCCATGCACTAGGGTGATGTGTCATCTGCAATGGACAATATGGACCATGGATGATAGAGTAGTGACCTAGCATTGAATCCTACTAGTAAGCAATTAAACACCTCCATCATCACCAGACAGGGTCACAAGACAAAGCCAGTTGACATAGGCATAGGCCAACACCCAGCTGACAAATACAAGATCAGCCTACTGGCCAGTTGAGTGCCTAGGACCATGGTGTGAGAATGGATGTACTTCAATACAGGCAATCTATGTTTCAAAACCATCAGTGGAGGCACTGGTGACTGATGAAAGAGCTCACTGAGGGATGAATCAAGTCAGATCTTGGGGGTGTGCTCCAGCTAGTGAGCATGCTTGGAACTGTTGGATGTAAAACACTGAAATGCTTGCTGGCAGATACTCACCACAAACAGGCCACTGATGCAGGCAACAAAGGTTGGGAGATGTCAGGGGATGACTCGAATGGGCTTTGGAGGGAAGGGGAAGGCTACACAGAGCGGGGAGATGCAGTAACCCAAACCTGCCCTTACTGCTTATGTCAGTGTGATGTTGATGCCTCGAGGTGACAAGCCAGTTCGAGCAGTAAAGTACTGGAAGTAATTGTAAAGTGGTGTAAAGTCACTTTACAAGGGGAAATTGGCACACACATTTGCAACTGGGCTGGCCAGATTCACAGATGAGCCGGTAGAAAATGCAGACGCACCGAATGGGAAAGACCCTTGAGGTCGCTGTCGAGGTCCTGTGTGCCAGGCGCTGCGACGCGTAGCCTTTACGGTATTACGGTAGCAGGGCACGACTAATACACGGACACTCAGTATGCAGTACTCAGCACTTCAAGTCACTTCAACTTCAGCACCCGAAGGTGACATATGTATTGTACGACGAGCACAGAGCCAACAGTCCAATTTGAACTGACTTGACGAACACAAATGCACTGTACTATACAATGTATTAGACAGCTCTGAGCTCAGTATACTAGCAAAGAAGCAGTTCAGCCGAAAACTATCTACATCTGCAAGACGGTCGAATTACAGCATGCGCTTCAGACAGTTTTTGAATTGTTTGAGAGCTCGGCACGCACTATTACTGATGCTAAGCGCTCTAACGGTGCTCTTAGAGCACTAAGCAATTTGCAGATGCAGCCTGCCACGATCGACGACGCCAGCGCCGTCACGAGGCATCAGACACTCCGAACGGCCGTCCCCGCCGCTGTGGCTGGGAGGCCGACCCAAAATTTGCAGGTCCCACGCACCGCCACCTGCCAATTTTTTCGAGATAAACTGACTTACTACAGCTGAGTGCGTCCAAGTCGAACGGATGCGATGGATGATCTCGACGTTGTCCAGAGAGTGAAGCGCTTCAAGGTGAGAGAGTCTCCCCCTCGTCGTTGCCACCGTAGACCAATATTGCCAGTACCAATCCCACACGGAGTCCCTAAAACACGTCCACCTTCCCTCTGCACTTCAGCTCACTAGCAAATTCGATCATGACATAGCCGTGAGTCCACTTGCATGCAGTAGTACATCGTCGGACGAATGGCCCAAACCGTCCTATTCCATCTCAGAACAACGAATCCCACTTTTACAATTCCCTCCAGCAATGGCGACAACTCAATCTGTCCCCCGCGTTTGTCCAATTTGCCAACAAGGCAGAGTCCTCTCTCCGCTTCCATGCCCTTGCTCCTCCATAACTGGAGAGACATCATGCAGCACTGGCAGGCCGCTCTCGATTTTGCAGATTCCGAAGCACTTCCGAGTCTTCTTGAGTGCGTGTGTTTCCCTTCTCTTCCTTTCACCCTTCTTCTCACCTACAAAACCAGCCTCCTCCAAAAACTCGCACATGACCTCCGCACAACCCTTTCGCCTCTCTACCCGTCCCTCCTCCACACCCTCCTCTCGTACCTCCCCCGCCCACTCCCCGCATCCGTGCTCACTTCCCTCCTCGCAACACTGGCCTCTCTCTTCCGCTACCTCCTGATTCCATCCATCCACCTCGACCTTCTGCACCAGACATGGTTCTCTTTTCACGCTGCCCTTCCCAAATGTAACCATGAAGTCCAGCGTGCAGCTGCGGAAGTATGGGCATCAGTGTTACGACGGTTGAGAACGAAGGCGAGGGACAGAGTCCTGGCGTTGATGGCGGCGGAGTTAGACGGGGTTGAGGATGCTAGTGCATGGATATTGATTTTTGCCTGCAAGGTACGTTCCTTTGGTCTTGTATATAACTCGCTCCACCGCAGTTATAACCACTCTCTTCTCCTTCAGTCTGTCTCGCAGACACTACATACGACATCTCCCTCTATTATCGTGCCCATCTTCGACCATTATCTCTCCTCCGCTACTCCCCCATCTACGTCTTCAAACCCTGAAGGACCTGCTCTACAACCTCCTCAGACGAACGCTTACTGCTCTCATACATCACTGTGCCGGTCCGGAACAGTTCTCGCCGATCGCAGATTGTCCTGGTAAAACATGTCGAGGACGCATTGGCTCAATCGCATCCGAGTAAAGACGCACCAGAAGAATGCGTACCAGGAGAACTACAGGAGCACCGACAGACAGGCTGAACGAAGGCGCCGATCAGGATGTGGAACATCGTGAACGCGTTCGGAGAGTACTCCGTCTTGCTGCGATTGTGTGTAGTGTTCGTCAGGGGTCAAGGTTATCTGGTAAGCACTTCTTTATTCCGATGCTGCGCCCCACTTTTTTCTCATTGTTTTATCATCTGTTGACGAAATTCCTCTGCGGTCAAACTCATGACATTCAGCATCCCATATTTCCCGTTTACTCGCAACGTTATCTCACTTCCCCGTCCCCACAACCACTCCCACCTCGGCCCACGCGCCTATGCACGCTCATCCTGATACAAAGGCATCAGATTCTGTTTCTCTCGAATTCATATGCTCGTTGTTTGTTGCCGCTACCACATCCACCTCGTCAAACACGGCAGTCGACTCATCGATACGCCCATTCCTCCAACGCATCCAACACTCTTCGCCTCGGTTTTTCGTTTCCCTTGTCGGTGTTCTCTCCTCTCTCGGGTGGCAGGGAGGAGCAGGAGGGGGTAATTGGCTGATGATACGCGACACCCTAGGTGTGCTGCCGTACGACGAGAGAGGCGTCATGAGGCTGCTAGCGAGGTATGTGAGGGGCAATAGGCGCCCTAGTGGGAAAGGAGGTGCTGGCGGAATGGATGTCGTGTGGAAACGTTCCTTGGGTGCGTGGGTCGTTGGGAAGCTTGGGGATTGGACTTTGAAAGGTGAAGGCGAGGATGGGAGAAGAGAAAGAATGGTCGAGGAGCTGTACGACATATTGGCGCTGGCGCCGTACGTGGAGGAAATGCCGATGTTGGTGATTGGCATCGTAGATCGTGTCCTTGGAGATGACGACTATGCAGATGGTGCGCAAGGAGAGGGGAAAAGAGGGCCTGGAAAAGAATGGCAAGAATGGTGTGGGACATACGCCAATAGCGCGTACGTTTTAGGTGCGTGTTTACGGGTTTTGGGAGAGCATTTCTCTCGATCCTCTCACGGTGAGAAGAACGGGAGCAGGGATGCCATCGATGGCGATGAAGAGGAGCATGAAGGAAACGAGAGAATGCGGAAAAGACAACAAACAAGGAATCTGAGAGGGACGGAGAAGACAGAGGGGACACTCAAGGATCGGATATACGCCCGTCTGGGGCGGTGGACGCGCATGATCGTAGACCGATACGTCTGGTCGGAGAGTGCGCTGAGTGGGCTTGCAACGTTACTGCGTGCAAGGTACATACACAACCCACCATTTGACATTTCTGCTGTCTAATTAACTAACTGTATCGTGCAGCACCTCGCTACCAACCAGCACGCAGGTTCCCTACCGCGCTCTCACACCCCTTCACAGATCCCTCCACTCCCACTCCCGTGCTATCCGTCTCTCGGCGCTCCAAATCCTGACCTCGCGTATCGTGGTGGGGTTATCGAGTGCGGAAGGGGACGTTTTGCGACGGTGCTTGCAGGGCGAGGAAGTATCGCTAGATGTGGGAGGGGCGAGGGAAAGAGTGTTGCGGATCGGGAGGGTTGGGGTGGCCGTTAAGCATGGTGAAGCGGATAATACAGAAGAGGACGGTAAGGAGTTGCGCAGAGTAGAGCGAGGAGGAGGGGAAGAGTGTGCGAGGTGGTTGATGGGTGAGTTTCGTTCACCACTCCTACGTGTAGGGAATTTTATGTATACTGACATGATGATTAGCACAGCTCAAGGTGAATCTTCGTCCGTTGTGGTCGCCTGCTGCAGAAGCACTGTCTGGCCTCGCCAATCGCCTTGGCGATCCCATATGGAACGTTATATGGGAGGAGTTTGTCGAGACCTTTTCCAAGTCGTCGTCGAACATGTCGGAAGAGGTTGTTACTACGTTCGTCCCGTCATGGCTGACTGCAAAAGACAATCAAATACAAGACCATCGCGACGGTGATACGTGGGAGGAGGAACGGAGTTGGAGAGATGGCGCGGCGCATAACGTGAGAGAGACGGTTGCGGAGTGGTTAGATGAAGGACTAGAGAGGAAGGCTATCGTTCAGGTGAGCCCTCAGTCCTGTTGGTTTATATTCCTTCGTTTTTCCTTTTGATTGTTACCTGCATCGTTGATGATATGACCTGGGTCGAACAGGAGCAGCGCCCTTCCGACAGATTGGATCGCTCGTCATACGAGATTCAACTTCTGGGTGCGATTGCACAATGCCCCACTGTAGCAGAAAAACACAATCGCGAGTTAGTCTCTCTCTTCTTGAGTTTGGTCAGCGACGTCGATTCGTGGTCGTCTTCGCCAGGATCTCTGCTCTCTCGTGGCATGCCCTACACTATCGCTCTCCCCCGCCCAAAACTCATAGCTTGGCTCGCTCTCTTCTCTAAATTCTCAAATCCACGGTCCTCATACGCATCCTCCACGCTACACTCCCTTTATCTTGGACTTCTGGCGCACCCCGACCGATCCCTCCGATCTGCGTCGATGCGATGCATTCTGACATATAAATCTCCCTCGCTCACGCGTCGCGAAGATAGTCTGTGGCGGTTACTCGATAATGAGCTTTGGCGGGAAGAGTTGACAGCTGTAGCCGAAGATTTGGGGAGAATGGAAAGCGAAGTAGTTGGTGTAGTGGTGAGAGTGTTGTTCGGAATCGTAAGAGAGAGGAAGGGGCGGGGAATTGGTGCCGGCGAGAGGCGCGCTGCTGTTTTGAGTGCATTGGGAGGATGTAAAAATGAGGTGTTGGCTTTGCTCGTGGATTTGATGCTTGCACCGATGGAGAAAGATTGTCCGGCATGGGCTGGCAACGAAGAGTTTAACATCGAGATGAGTGGAGGCGTTATAGGCGCGAGACAGCAGATCGGGTACTTGAATATGCTGGGCGATGCGTTAAGAAGTTTGGGGGTAAGGATGGTGGACTGGTGGCCCGCGTTGTTTGGGACAACGGTGTCGATGGTTGCTGCAGCACAAACACGGTTGTCATCCAAGGTCGAACTCTCCTCGGAAGTCCATACCCAGGAACGCCAGGGAGGCGAACATCCGACTGAGGACAATGAGTGGGAGGAAGAAAGCGATGTAGAAGGGCCAGCGAACAACGTGAACGATGTGACGGAGATGTCGGCAAGAGACGCACGCACTATTCGACAGCTCGGCCTAAAGAGATTGGCAGATTTCTTCCGTGCCCCAGCTACGTACGACTTTTCGCCGTTCTTACGGGCCACGTTCGATACGATCATCTCGCCTCGCCTTGCTGCCTTGGATCAAGAGAATATACAAGCTCCTTCTGCTCTTTTGGAGATTTTTGCGTCTTGGTCCGCGCGGCGCGAGTATGTGCATTATCTGGTACAGTTTGATGGTCGAGTGGTGCCCAAGGTACTAGACTGCCTTGTATCCCCCGGCGTCAAACCCACCGTGGTAAACTTCGTGCTTGATTTTGCAGAACGCCTGCTCGCACTTGGTGCCGAGGACGACGCGGTTTCGAATGCGCTCGTTGCACCTCACCTTTCGTTGTTGTTGAGCCACCTAACGACGTTCGTCGAGCGTACCAAAGGAGATCAAGACATTTCGACACCTCTCGCTCAAAGACAGATTGGCCTGCTCGCTCAACTCGCTCATCACATAGATGGCGCTCATGTGGAATCCCTGCTCGGGTTGCTGACCCCGCTGTTACAAAAGCCCGCACGAGTGGTACCGGAGCGCACCAAGGTAGACATGTTGCGCATCTTGGAGTCTCTGGTTCCCCTCGCGCCAAGCCTGGAAAGCCCCTCTTCGATAAGTTTTGCCAAAGTACACGAAGTGCTCTCCCGCCTGTTTCTTACATTCCGATCCAACACCTCCCGCTCTGTGCTTGCTGCCACTTTCAGTCGCTTGTCTGCATGTACTGGCGAATTACAGTTCGTCGCAGCTCTACTGGACTCTCTGAACGCTTGTTCTACGAAACGCGTCAATGAACCTGATTTCGACCGTCGTCTCGCAGCGTTTGCGGCTTTCAATGACCAACAATACAAAAATTTGACGGGGCGTAATTGGCTACCTGTGTTATACAACGCTTTGCACTCCATTCAAGATCCCGAGGAACTCGCCATCCGCAGTAACGCGGCTTTCACGTTGCGCCGCTTCATCGGTGTCGTGGTGGATAATTCTACAGCAGATGCATCGTCGCTGTTGCCCCGAGTCGTCCTTCCCATTTTGAAAGGCTCTTTGCGCTCCAAGCATGAGCTCGTTCGCGCAGAGGTGCTGGGCGTCCTTGCGTATGCGGTCTCGCAATGCATCAGCATCTCTTCGCTACAGGAGATGCGACCGCTTTTGGCAGGTGGAGACGAAGAAGCAAGCTTTTTCACCAACATATACCATATTCAAACACATCGTCGTACGCGTGCACTTCGTCGACTCGGCGAACAGTGCGATGCTGGCGCTCTGAGCAGTCGCATATTGGTAGACGTGTTCGTACCGGTGGTCGAGTATTATGTCGCGTCTACGACGACGTTTGATCACTTGCTCGTGGCGGAAGCAATCAACACGCTCGGTCGCATCGCGAGAAGACTACGATGGCCTGCATATTATTCTCTCGTGCAGAAGTACTTGCGGGGCTCAAAAGACAAGGGCGACATCGTCAAAGTGCATGTTCGTGCCTTGGTCTCTATTCTGGAGAATTTCCACTTTTCCATGGAGGACGCTGTGCGAGAGGTCGAGCCAGAAGGTGAAATGGATGTTGCAGAGACTCCGGAACAGGAACCATCACAAGCTGCTCCGATCGAGCATGAGCACGATGTCAAGAAAGTCTCGGATGCGGTCAACGCGTATCTCCTCCCGGCACTCTTAGAGTACCTTTCGAATCGCGATGAAAATGAAGACAGCCTTCGTATACCCATCGCCATTGGAGTGGTCAAGATCGCGATGCATTTGCCTGCTGAATCCAGAGAAACTCAGATTACAAGACTACTCACAGTGCTGTGCCAGGCTCTGCGAAGTCGCTCCCAAGACACGCGAGATTTGGTGCGCGAGACGGTGTGCCGAATGGTGGCCATGTTGGAACCTTCTTACCTTGCATATGCTATGCGCGAGTTGCGGGCAGCACTTGTACGTGGACCGCACCTCCACGTACTCGCCTTCGTGACGCATGCAATGCTGAATTATGTGACGGCTCCTGAGCGGAAAGAGGAAGCGTTCACGGATTTGGACAGCTGCGTAGATGACATTGCTCACGTCGCCTCCGAAGTCGTCTTTGGTGAATCTGGAAAAGACGTTCAACATGAGGATTTCAAGACCAAGATACGTGAAGTTCGAGGTAGTGCTTCGAAAGGCCTGGACACCTTCGCGCTTACTGCAAAATATGTGTCTCCCGATCGTATTAACGCACTACTGCGCCCCCTCCGTTCTGTCATGGAGGTGACTACTTCGTCGAAACCAATGCAGGAGGTCGACGAGGTCCTCCGCCGGGTCGCGAGTGGTTTGAACTCCAATGCACGCCTGGGTCCCCCAGAGCTTTTGGTGTTATGTCATACGTTGATCAGTCAAAATGCCAAGTTCCTGCAGGAGGCACCTCCAAAGCCTAAGCCAAGAGGTACAGGCAAGAAAGACGATGCCATCGTACAGTTGAAGCGTAAGGCTGTCATTCAAGAGGACTGCTATACGCACAACTCCTACCGGTACGTGCTACATCCAGTTTGATGTGTGTTGTGCTAGCTCACCCAATACTAGGTTTGTGGTTTTCGGTCTGGAACTATTCAATACTGCTTTCCGACGTTCTAAGTTCAACCTGCATGACCCCCACATTTTGGCTCGGCTGGAACCGTTTGTAGTGTTGATAGGAAATACGCTGTACACGAAATCTGAGGCTGTGCTCATCGCTGCGTTGAAGGCAGCCCCCGCTATCCTCCAGTGTCCGGTGGGAGCTGCGTCATCTTCAGCGGCTCTCATCTCGAAGCAAATTCTTGTTATCATTCGTTCCATGGGCAGTACGGAATCCGAGGTAACGCAGACCGCATTCAAATCCCTAGCGACGATCCTTCGAGATTGTCCGTCCTCGAATGTCAAGGAAACCGACCTATTGTTCCTACTCGAAATTTTGATACCAGACCTTGAGGAACCAAGTCGTCAAGCTAGTGCTTTCGCTCTCCTTCGCGCCATCGTGTCGCGCAAACTCGTCGTGCCTGAACTGTACGACCTCATGACAACGGTGTCGTCGATCTTGATCACTTCCCAGTCGCCGCATACACGTGAATCAGCGCGTTCGCTTCTACTCCAATTCCTGCTCGATTATCCTCAAGGTTCGGGTAGGCTGCAAACCACTCTTGCATTCTTCGCTCGCAATCTATCGTTCGAACATGTGTCGGGGCGTTTGAGTGTACTGGAGCTGCTGCACGCCGTCATAACAAAATTCGATGCAAATTTGCTGGCCAAGCATGCAGAAATGCTTTTTGTTGCCCTCGTGCTTTGCATCGCCAACGATGACGAGAAGTCATGTCGGGAATCCGCAGCAAACGTCATACAAGCACTCCTGAAGCGCCTAGCCGATGAACAGAAAAGAGCCGTCGTGGGACATCTACATGCATGGGCCACACAATCAGAAAAGGCGAGATTGCGGGGTGTCTCTGCTCAGGTGTACGGTCTACTAGTCGACGCGCTGCAACGTGACGCTACTCTGCCCCTCGATACTATTCTAGCTGACATTCTGGCCATCACGGAGAACGCTTGTGCGATGTTGACAGAGGAAGATGATGATACTGCAGACTATACTTCAGAGTGGCAAATGGCGTACCATGCTCTACAGACACTAAGCAAACTGTTGCACACATACCCTGAACTGACGGTGGACTACTCCAAGGTCGAGTGGACACACGTACTTGCACTGCTCGTCTTCCCCCACCCCTGGGTTCGCAACGTAGCATGTCGATTACTCGGTCTACTATTCGCAGCCCAACCAACTCCGTCTGCGCAGAGCACGGTTAGTACGGAGGGTAGTCCACTCACAGATACGAGCATGCGGGACATCGCACACTAAACTTTGCACGATGCTCAGAAGCCAGAATCTGGAACCGGCGGTGGCTCTTCAGGTCGTAAAGAACCTGTTTTTCGCAGGGAAGTGGTTCTTGGCATGTCCACGTACATCACATACAGCCGACAACGTATCCTCAGAAGAAGACATGTCGGAGGATGAGGACGAGCATGATTTGAGAGATGACGATTCGAATGGAGATCCTCTGCCATGGCTTTTCTCTAAGCTTTCCTTCCAGGCTAGGTCCGCTCATATCACGCGCAAGAACAAGGGTACCTCTGCGGTGCGTCGAAATTATATCATTCAAATGTACTGACTGACGCCTCGAAGCAGCAGGCCAATTGGTCACTCTGCCCACTGTCTGTATTCCGCTTTTTCGCAGCGATGATCTCGCACATGGATGGACCCCAACTCGAGCGTTTCCTCCCGCATATCCTAACGCCCGTCCACCACATCGTTGAAGAAGATACCATACGGGACGCTGCCATAGGTACGCAACTGCGCATTTTGTTCTACACGTACCCGTATCTAACATTCGAATATCCAAATTTTACCTCTCCTTCTCCGCTGCCCTTTTCTTCTCGACTTCTCGAATTATGAAATAGACGAACTAAAAGCGACCGCGACGGAGTTGATGGACTTAGTTCAAACCAAAGTTGGAACGACAGCCTTTGCGAATGTATATAACCGCATTCGGCAAAACGTACTCAGTGTTCGTCAAGACCGACGTGTGGCACGTGCAACCCAGGTGCGCGACTTTTTTTATTCCCAATTATTCCCAATTATTGTTCTTTCCTCACCTACCTTCCACAACGTGCTTGTGATATAGGCCATCACGGACCCCCAGGCAGCTGCCAAGCGCAAGGTCGCACGCAATTTGATGAAGAAAGAGAGTAGGAAAAGGAAGAACCGTTCGTTTGCGTAAGTACTTTCTCCGCTCTCCGCTTATCACCATCCGACTTGCCTCGAATAACGTATCGATCCTATCTCACAGGGACAACCGCGGGAGATTAAAAAGACGTCGAGATGAGTGATGTCATCCTAGCCAAAAAAAATATTACAGATAGGATCATTTTGATCCTACTTTCCCGATCCCCGGCTACACCTGTCCTGCAGATCATTCCTTTTCCTTTGTTTTTCCCAGTCTCATTCTTGTTCTTGTTCTTGTTCTTCACAAGCATATAATTTATTCTGCTTATCCCGGAACTCACTGGCACTACATAAGCCGACGACTGCGTTCTTTTCATATCCGCAGCGATAAGCACAGCCCGATACGGCAGACTACTTTGGCGTGTAGTGTGTGAGACTGCCAATATGACTACGTACAATGATTGGTGAAGCGATGATATCACGGAGCCGCGTCTTTTGAGTTTGCACCCCAGATTGCCTGGAGTGATCAGTGAGTGACGTTTGACGAATTTGACGGCTTGGCAGGGTCAACACATGCACAGGGTTCACTTTGACGCCATCTGAAGCAAGAACTTTCCCTTACTACTGCAAGCTCCTGCAATGAACATTACTCCAACAGTGTCCACTGTTAATAAGGTAGTTACAACCCAGTTGTGAATTCCAGTCGAGTGAAATGAACGAAAGTTGAAGTGAATTGAACAACGAAATATATAAATGATCTGATGCTGTGCATAAAACCGATCCAGCCTGACTGTGTGGCTGTGACTCCAACTCCAAGAACAGCTGATATATGTGCATCTGATACTACCCAACAATGCCTGTGTGGTGCGTATATGTCGAGTAGGTGCCGGCCATCTGAAGTGGAAGAAGCGCGCGCGCGCGCGTATATATACACGGCGTTTGAACGGCAAGAGCATGGTCAGGGGCGACCCTTGGGTTCATAGGCGGTCCATCCTGGACCGGAGCCATCTCGTGTGTACACAGGTGGTGGTGGTTCTATATCGAAAGAGCGTGGTGTGGAAGGCGAACACGGGTTTGAATCGTCCTTGCTCGTACTGGAACGATAGGACGGCGAGGTTGGAGAGAGTAATGGGGGTGGAACGCGTTTGTGGGCGGCAGGTTCCGCCTTTGGGATGGGATCAGGCTCCGTGCATGTAAAGTCCCAGTCTTCGTCATCGCGATGCTGGTCGACGAGATGCAATGATTTGTGTTCTGATGAGTCGGTGTTAGAGGTATGTTTATATATGGAGAGACGTGCGATAGCGCTAGAAGACAGAAGACGACTCACTGAAGCCAAACTTAGACGATGCCTCGGATGCGAATGAGGGCCGGAATCTGTCGGTCACCGCCGACATTCGATGGGGGGATGGGTCCAGGAAGGCTTGCTGTTGTTGAGGTTGTCGCCTGAGGCGAAGAACAAGCCAGGTGATGAGAGCGAACATGAGTACGCCGACGATGCCTACTGTCAAAGCGACGGCGACTGCACGGCCATTGGTAGGGGGAGGAAAGTCAGGGGGTGTTGTGGGTGCTGTCGTGGGTGTGGGATCAGCATGGTTGGAGAAAGACATGGTGTCTGGGTCCCTGGCAGTCCAGGGTGGCTGGTGGGGATGCTGAGACACACGGACTGAACCTGATAGGAGATTCACATCTATTAGCAAGCAGCTGAGACAGAAAAGAGACAGACGACGCACGGGCACGCTGAATGGGTCTTTCGAGTTCGCAGTGCTGCCAGTCGACAACAGGCAACCCGGGACAAGCGGGCTTCTCATCGCCAGTCAAATACTTTCTCGCTCCATCTTCTTTACTCCATTTTGGTTAGTCCATCCAACGACACAATTACATAAGGACTGTCACGTGGCCAGGATAAGGTGTCGTCGATGTACCATGCAGGCGGCTCGAAAACCAGTCATCCAGGCCTGGCTTTCCTCTGTCGTCGAAATGGCTGACGACGACGATCATCCTTCTCACACATGGCAGCGAGACCGTCTCTGGGACGACTGGCAGTCCTCGATGCAAATCGCCCAAACCATCCTCCTCTCCAGCAGTACAAAATTACGTTTACGATTCATTCAAGATGAATTGAAGTGGCTTGCCAATGATCAAGGTCCGCGTGTTCCGTATCTTCGCATGGCCATTTTCACCTATCATACTAGAATTGAGTCTAAGTCAGACGATGGACGTGTTCAAGTTGCTCATGCAAACGTATCCCCGATACATCGACACGCAGTCCAGAGAGGCTGTCGAAGAACTGGGAATGCTACTGATCAACAAAGATGAATCGAGAGATGCCGATTGCAGGTTGGGCATCGCAGAACAAACAGTGGACTGGCTAGTCCACGAAGTCTCGTCACTTGCAAAACCAGGCATCATCAGGTTAGCTAGCTTACCATACCACCCACTGGAATCCATCACTCATGGCCCCTGAGCTTCTATGCGCCCGCAGACGCGTTTGTCTTGCTAAGTTGGGCATGTGGACTATACATTGCCTGCTCAAAATCACCCCCTTCTGATTCTTGGCGCAAGCTGGTCGGCGTCATCGCCGTACTGGTGGACTTCCAACTTAACCCATCCACACATTCCAAACCGACCATGCAAAACAGTGCGCTCGTGCGAACACGCAGGGCACTTCGCTCCGCACCTGACCGACTTTCGATGCTCATGTCTGCACTCATTGCGCAGGCCAAATCCAGCCAAACACCTCTTGTATACATCCCTCTCCTCGGGACAGCCGTGGACGTGACCCTCCGCCTGAAAAATGTGAAGGATGATTCTTTGAAGCAGATAACACCTGCCATCAAGGTACAGTTCATGGGGACTTACCTTGCCATCTCCCTGATCTCCTTCAGGAAGATATTATGGCGTTGTACACCAGTGCTGTTCTTATGTCCAAAGGCTCCGTTTCTCCCCATACATCCGTATGTCTCTTTCCATCGTCCCTGGGTCTGAAATTGAGTGTCCCTCAGAATGCATTTCACGACTTCATCGAGTCGTCCGTCGATCCTATCATACTGTCCAGCTCAGTTCTTCCAACAATGGAGAAAGCATTACTACGTTCACCCGAATACTCCCTCAGTGGTATAACAAACCTTCGTCATGTTGACTATGCACTCACTCACTCATTTTAGTCACACGCGACTTCTTTCTAGCATATTCGCACCCTCTTGACATTGCCATCTTCAAGAAGCTCCTCACGTCCTGTCTCAGTTCTGCCAAGTCCAGCAATGCCACAGCTCGCGCCAATACTAGTGCACTCTTCAAGGTCCTTGTGAACAAAGTCCCCGCCGATGCCTTGGGTTCGGCAGTCCCTGAAATCTTAGCCCTGCCACAAGCGGGCAAAACCACTGGACCTGATCACCGTGCAACCCTTTATACGATGCTATCAATGGTTCAGCCCAGCGCAAGCGTGTCTCCCTTCATCGTCAAAGCACTCCCCCCGCTGATACTGAAAGAAACGAACGATACCTCCATCACCATCCTCACGTCCACCCTCCCACCCCACCTCACATATCTCCTCCAATCCAAAACTGACATACTCATGGAAACGCGGACCTCCATAGCTAAAGAAATGACAAACCCCAAACCCGCCCTACGCAAATCTTTTGTCTCGATCGCCGGAAACACGCTTTGGAATTTGGCCTCGCTCGATACCGAGCCCGCTATTAGCTTTGTGAATGCTATCAAGGGCTCACTTGAGACGAATTTAAAGAGTGTATCTGCGAATCCTCTAGGTGCGGCTGCTGGATTGCTCGAGGGGTACGTCGCTCTGGCCGTTCTTTTAGGACCATTGTCTAGGTCGGGTCAATTTGGTATGTACATTTTTCTGTCATTTGTCGGATCCATCTTCATGTCGTGTCTGACTCTTATTTGGTCTTGTTCGCGGGTGCGACGTACGGGATTGGATATTGAACAGCCGATCTTGTCGCACGCAATACATCCGTAGAGATTATCGCTGGAACACCCACCAAACCTTCTTTCCTTGTCTGGGAAAAGATCTATCAGCGTCTAGGAGATGTTGAAGAAGAAACGTGGTTATTACGTTGCGTAGATCTTGTTGTTGGGCATCTTGAGACCGAACTATTGAAGAATGAGCATTTGAGGTGGGTCTATTCATCCTTTGAACAGCCGGTCCAGCTGTCATTCGTGTATTGGTACCTAACTCATACTTATTTCCTGCTCTTTGTAGGACACAAGTCGGCTCTATATTCCTCCACTTAGCGGTGCATTCCTCTTCTTTCGAAACGCGCCGCAGCGCCATACGTACTCTCGAACTGGCGGTATCTAGACATCCTAATCTCGTTCCCCTCTTCATAAGAGAATCACTTCTGGCAGCGTTGACGAAGGATAAGTCTTCAACAACGACCTCGAAATCGGTAGTTGCGGTACCATCGCCATCGCAACCGGCGTCTGACGACCGCGAAAAACCGGCAGCAGTGGATAAACAAAGGCGATATGCCTCTCTTCTCCTTGCATGTGCAGCAGGTTTAGGTTCGGGAAGCCAGACATCTCCGTTTCATGACCAAGGTTTGGGAGTGGCGGATAGTGCAGCTTTCACCGACCCCATCCTAGCTGACTTTGTCGTACTTGCCCACCATACTATAATATGTACGTGCTCCAAAAACTCATGGCTTGATTATTCTTCAAGCTGACTGATGCCGCTACTTTGCAACGCTATGCAGCGCCGCCCTCACATTCGTTGTGGATTGAGATGTGTCAGAAGGCGGGACGTGATCCCCATGATCTAGTGCAGAGACACATCGACTCGATAATGATGACCGTTCTTGAAGCGTCGATGGTTGACCCTAAGGCATGTGTTTTGTCCTCCTTCCCAGTACCTTCGTGTCTGACGCAGAAACGTCATTCGCAGTTGGGATTCGCAGATGCCAGCTATCGTACTATCGGCACTCTGGCCTTCGTATGCCCTGAGGTTGTTTTGCCGCGCGTCATGGACCAGTTGCGTGCAGATATCGATGTACAGAGTATCAACGCTTTGACGGAGACAGATTTCGGGATCTATGAGACGCCAGAAGGGACTGCGTATACTGATGGTGGGTAACACTTTACTTTGGCATCGGTATCGTTCCCCCAGCATCCGAATGACCCGATGGACAGTGTTGTCTTCTAATAAGAAAGAGGAAGGCCCGAAAAAAGGGAAGGATGCCGACATCGCCAAGTGGGAGGCAGAGCTGCGCCAATCCTTAGCGAGCAAAAAGGGTTCTAGCCAAAGGGCAAGCAGCACCGTTACACTATCGAAACAAGCTGCGGCACTCTTGCAAGCACAATTGGATAAAGAGGCCGTGGTGCGGCAGCGTGTGATATCGCTCAAGATTCACTTGCAGCGCGCTCTGGCATTCATCAGGAGCGTGGTATCGACGAACGCTCCAGAAGCCCGCGCGTACGTCTCCCCAATTTCGGCGATGTTACTGGAAGGGGCACTCGGACAAGGATCAAAGTTGGTTGGCAACGCCCTATTCGAGACCTTCATTGTTGGTGGTTCTCTTTGATGATTTTGCTTACTTCCTTACGGTTTACCTTTAGGACCTGGCTCGCTGCTGCTCGGAACGGCTCGATACGACTCGAAAGTGGGTGGGCGTTGCTATACTTAGAGCCCTTCAGTTTCCGTGCATTCCGGAGGAATTTCTGGCCGAGCCGCTGCATGGTACATTGTTCTTTGTTTAACCTGTGCTCCCCTAATGACCCGTTTTGTTCAGCGCTTGTGTTGCGGGTCTTGTATCGCCTGAGGTCAATTTCGGAGCAATCCCCGTTTGACGCTGCCACCTTCTCGTACGCATTCCCTCTCCTAGCGCGGGTGCTTCACCAAGGTGGGATCGATGTCTCAGAAGATGAAGAAGCGCTAGAACAAGTCGCGCTAGTCTTGGATATCATCCGGTTCCACAGCAACGAATGTATGACACCCTCACTCACTTGACATCTCGTACTCATGGATGTGTTGCGGAGCAGTCTCGGATACGAATTTCCCACGCAAAGATGCGATGGAGAGTCTCGTCCATGTTATCAAGCTCCAGCCAAGGCTAAGCAAAGAGGCGTCATCGGCTCTGGTTGACATTGGCGAAGCTATCCTAGCGACCGCCACCTACGCCGAGATATCAGTATTGATTCAAGGGACGCTCAATCAAGAGATCCACGTGCGAAACTCGTGTCTACAGGCCATTCAGGTAAAGCGCATATGGTCAACGGTCATTAAAGAACCGCTCACGTGTTCGACGGTAGCCGCTTGATCTGACTGATTTCGATTGGTCACCAGAGTTATGGATCGCTTGTCATGACGAGGATGAGCAAAACGCTCGTCTGGCGAATCATGTATGGGAAGATAATGGCTTGGACGTTCCAGAAGATTTCCTTGGACAGCTCCTTCCGTTCTTGGGTGTGTTATTAGTTTGGGACGAGTCAATGTTCTTTTCTGAAGAAGTCACAGGGCATGTGAATGCATATGCAAGAGCAAGCTCAGCGTTTGCCATAGCCGATGCCGCTGGCCATCTTCCTCAAACAAGCGAGAAGATAATCGTTGCCTTGCAAGATCTCTACTGCGACAAGGTTTGGTCGTTTCATGAAGTCTGTGATGATGAGCACTGATCGCATCATGCAGGCCAAAATCCTCGCACCTGAGTATGATGAATACGTAAGTTACGTGAACCTTTCGAGATTGGCTTCGTCTGAGCGTTTTCTTTTCCTAGGGAATGGTTATTCCGGAAACTCTGAATCGTCCTGACCCTTGGCCAACCCGTGTGGCCATCGCGTCTGTCTTTGAACAATTGGCACCAGTTTTCCCGGATACCCAGGTAGAAGCTTTCATCCGCTTTCTAATCAAGGATGAAGCGTTGGGTGATCGTTCATCTGAGGTACGTCGGGGTATGTTGCAAGCAGGTACCGCTGTCGTGGATCATCATGGTTCGGCACAACTCACTGGGTTGTTGACGATCTTTGAGGATCACCTGGCTGCTCCAAGCACTGCGTCAGAAACAAGTGACCAGACCAAGGAAGCCGTAGTGATACTGTTCGGCCGAGCAGCTCGTCACCTGGAAGCCTCCGACCCCCGTATTCAGGGAATTGTGGGCCGCTTAGTGGAAGCCCTCAAGACGCCAGCCGAACAAGTCCAAGTAGCCGTTTCAGATTGTCTTGTGCCCTTGGTTCGACTGATGGGAGACCGCTTGGACACTTTCGTCGGTCACTTGTTTGACGAACTTTTCCATGCACCCAAGTATGCAGCACGCCGGGGCGCAGCGTATGGTTTGGCAGGTACGATCAAGGGGCTCGGTATTGGATCTATGAAACGCTTCGATGTCATCAACCGTTTACGGACCGCTGCTGAGGACAAAAAACGATTTGAGTTTCGCCAGGGAGCGATGTTCGCCTTCGAAACTCTTTCCACCACCCTTGGCCGACTGTTTGAACCTTACATTACCTTCATGCTTCCTCTTCTCCTGTCTGCATTTGGGGATGGGACTGCTGATGTGCGTGACGCAGCTCAAGATGCCGCGCGTGTTATCATGGGTAACATGTCTGGGTATGGTGTAAAACTTATCTTGCCGTCTCTCCTTTCTGGTCTGGATGAGAAGCAATGGCGATCGAAAAAAGGTTCTATTGAGCTGCTCGGGATGATGGCTTATTGCTCTCCGAGACAGTTGTCATTATCCCTACCCATCGTCATTCCTCGACTTACGGGTGTTCTAACGGACACCCATGCACAAGTCAAAGCTTCAGCAAATAAGAGTCTGAAGCAGTTTGGTGAAGTCATCAACAATCCTGAGATCCAAGCACTGGTTCCAACACTGCTGAAGGCCTTGGTAGACCCCGCCAAGACGACGAACGCTTTGTCCTCGCTGCTTGAAAACGTCGTTCGTGCATTACATCGATCACTCGTCTCTCGCTCTGGTAAGTTGGCGATTTGTAGTTGTGTGCGGCATTAAAGCGTAGTAGGTCATTCCTGTCATCGAGCGAGGCCTCCGTGAACGAGGTGCGGAAGGGAAGAAAAAGGCTGCTCAGATTGTTGGCAACTTGGCATCCCTCACGGATTCCAAGGACTTCGTCCCTTACCTGTCGACTCTTCTTCCCCATGGTACACGTTGTTCTTGTCGATCCCGTTCCAGAGGCGCGAGCTACTGCAGCAAAGACTTTGGGAGTTCTTGTCGAGCGGCTCGGAGAGGTTCATTTCCCTGATCTCGTCCCAGGGCTCCTGAGGACGCTGAAAGCGGAAACATCTGGCGTCGATCGTCAAGGTGCTGCTCAGGGGTTGAGTGAAGTCTTATCTGGGCTCGGAATGGAAAGACTGGAAGGTCTTTTACCGGACATCATCGCAAATGCTCAGTCACCTCGCAGTACCATCCGTGAAGGCTTCATGTCGCTATTGGTGTATCTGCCAGCAACGTTTGGGGCGAGGATTCCAACCCCATTTACCAAGAATTATATCCCCGATTCTCAGTGGACTTGCTGATAGCGAAGAATATGTCCGTGACGCAGCCATGCGTGCTGGCAGGATGATTGTAATGAATTACTCGGCCAAGGCAATTGACCTACTGCTACCGGAATTGGAACAAGGGATGTTTGACCCCGGATGGCGTATTCGTGTAAGTTTTCAGTTACCCTGTTCCTGTTACATTTGTGTAACGTTTGCACCGCAGCAATCGTCGATTGCTTTGGTAGGAGAGCTCCTCTTCAAGGTTTCGGGTATCAGTGGCAAAACGGAAATTGGGGACTGAAGAAGAGGATGCGGAACCGGTTGTCGCAGAATCTTCACGCCGTGCACTTGTTGAAGTTCTTGGAGAAGAACGTCGCGATCGTATACTCTCGGCACTTTATGTTGCAAGACAAGATGCTGTGAATGTGGTTCGCCAGTCATCAATACACAGTATGGAAGGCGCTAGTACACAACACACCTCGGACAGGTGAGTATAGATCAAAACGTTTTAAGATACCTGGTCCTAATCACCTTCTGCAGTTCGCGGAATCCTTCCCGAGCTGGTCAGCCAACTCATCAAATTGTACGCCGGTGGAGAGGAAGAACAGCAAGAGGTGCGTACCAACAGAAGGCAACGACACTAAATTTAACATGTACAAACAGACTGCTGCTCGTACAACCCTCGAGTTGTGTCGTAAATTTGGCGAGAAACTAGTAGGTGAAATCGTGGCAATTTTGAAGAACATGTCGGCATCACCAGACACGCGTACTCGGGAGGGAGTGTGCCTCATGCTTTCCGATATCATGTGAGGCCTCTCTCAGTGTTTATGATTGCGTACTAAGCATGTCACAAGGCAAAGCACCACAGACACCCAAAGAGAAGGTCACGAAAGCGAGATTGTCAGCGTGGTTCGAACCTCGCTCGTTGATGATGACATCACCGTTCGTTCGGCGGCAGCCAAGGCGTTTGACACCCTTCAGGAGCATATCGGAGGAAAAGCAATCGATCAGATCATCCCGACGTTGCTGGAAGCCCTAAGGCAACCTGGAGAAAGTTCCGGCACCGCCTTACAAGCCCTTCGGGAGGTTATGTCTGTACGTATATGTATTTCTGCAGCTCTTTCGTCCGTTTTCACGGGATAACAGATTCGGGCGTCTACTGTATTCCCCGTTCTGATACCTACCTTGATCTCTACCCCGATGACCATCTTCAACGCGCGTGCATTGGCATCACTAGTCACAGTCGCCGGAAACGCTCTAAGCAAACGGCTGTCCGTTATCCTGAATGCTCTCGTCAAGGTTTTCGAAGAGGACGAAGATGAAGAGCTTCTCGGTGCTACTGATGAGGCCCTTCGAGCCCTGCTTGGGTCAATCGAAGATCCGGAAGGGCTCAACACGTTGATGATGCTTCTCCTTGGATGGTGAGTAGTACGGACCCGGTACGACATGTTAAGCTGACTCTCGTCTAGGACGAAGAGTGATGCTCCCAGGCGACGGGCAAGCGCCTGCTCGTTCTTTGCCTTGTTCTGTGAAGAATCACAGATAGACTCTTCACTATATCGCGTTGATTGGATCCGACAGCTGATATCGCTTTTCGACGATCCTGAAGTTGTGGTGCACACCGCAGCCTGGAAAGCATTCGATACGTTCGTGAAATCCGTTCCTAAAGACGAATATGAGCCGCTTGTCGTCGCCCTACGTCGTACGATCGAGGGTACTGGGGCTCCAGGGAGAATCGTTCCTGGTTTCAGCCTGCCCAAGGGTGTCGCACCCACTGTTCCCATTATCATTGCTGGACTAACGACCGGAAGCAACGAGCAGCGCGAGCATGCAGCGTATGCTATCGGAGATCTAGTCGAAAGGACGGACGAACTGGTCATGAAATCCTTCGTTGTTCCCTTCACAGGACCTCTGATCCGTGTCGCCACTCAAGCAACGACGTATCCTCCTGGCGTGAAGACTGCCATCCTATCTGCACTAGCCAGTCTGCTGGAGAGGATTCCTAACCATGTCAAGCCATTTTTCCCTCAACTACAACGGACATTCGTCAAGTCTGTCGGTGACCCTGCGAGTATCGTTGTGCGCACGAAAGCTGCAGAAGCCCTGGGGATTCTTATGCGTAGTCAACCAAGGGTGGATCCAGTAGTCACCGAGCTGATTAACGGCGTACACGGGAGCGAAGAAGAGATCGCGGCCAGCTACGTGTTGGCATTATCTCATGTCGCCCAAAATGCACAAGCCCACGGCGGAATTGGTGAAAAGGCTAGAGAATCATGCACGGAACTCCTCCACCGAGCATTCCGAGAGACTCACGATGGTGAGCTGAGGTATACACTGTTTATTCGCAGAAGTATTTATTATATCCATTTTAGATCATCATACACTGGCGATGGCAGGCCTTTTCGTTTCACTGTCGGCGAGTCCGGAGTCTGTGAAGCCCATTGTAAGGTACAGATGCATTTACCCTTCTGCGATCAAGAGCTCACGCTGTCGAAACTAGTACATACCTCACCTCGGGCACTGCTCCCTCCGCTCTATCTTCCCAAAGTATTCTCGCTGTTTTGGCTTCGGATGATTCAAATCGACTCGACCCCAGCGAGACCGTCTTTGCGAAGCTGGGTCTTCTACGTTCTGTCGCGTTAAAAGTGAAGGAGAGCGCTGCCAATGAACGGCCTATCATTTCGCGACCTGCCCGGGAAGCTCGGGAATCTTTAAAGGAAATGGCTGCAAATGGTGAAGCAAGTTTGGCGGGCATATTTTGACAAATGCTTCGAGATACTTGTAGAATTTGTGCACGTTTACTGATATCTTTGTTCTCGTACCTGACGCATCATCACCAACTTTACTTCATCCGTGCGTCTGATAAGAATGACCCATAACTGAGGGCGTTGGGCTAAAGTGGATGGTGATGAACTGGGATATCCCTCATCTTGTCTAATATCCACTGACACACTAGTACTAATCATACGCAATAGCTGATTCAACTTTCGTCACCTTCTCGGTTGTTCCGGTGTAGGGTTTCGGCCCGACGTTGACAGTATGTTCTCAAGTGATGTTTGTTTTTATGACAGGTCCAATATGTTTCTCTTATATCTTCCCTGCCTTACTTACTCAACTCTCACCCCCCACCTGCTTACGCTAAAATCAATGCCCATGTTAGCCGCGCACCATACCAAAAACATCGAGCGGCATCGCACTGACTTTTTCCTGGTCCGCACATTCGACGAGTGTGGAAGGGGAGGTGAGCGTGTCGTCATTCACAGGGAGCAGGTCAAGGCATACTTCGACCACGATCGCGCACTCCGTTTCAAGGACAACGTTGCCTTAGATACCCCTGTGGGTTATCACCTGTTCCGAGAGTCGTACAGTCGTGAGGCGAAGTCGACGGCGAGGTTTGCATTCTGCGAGGTTGATGAAAGCAGGAATATAAAAATCGTGACTCCAGGACCTCCACCCATCGAGCAGGAGGTATTGTCTGACGGTGCGGACCTGTACAATCGAGAGGAAGTAACTGGTGGAATGGTACTCAATTAGCTCGCAGGCGGATATTGTCAACTCCCTCCTATGGGATGCCGCTAGGCAATTGAACGAGCAACAACAGAGATCTCACCAGGGTTACCTCGATCGCTTGCAAACGAAGAGACGATCGACGTCGTGGGTCAGACCCCTATGGCGACGGCTCTTCTTACGACAGACATCGTTCTCGTGGCTCTCGACTTCTCGAGAGCTAGCAGGAGGTTGGGAAACCCAGCGATTACCACTGATCCTGACACCCGCGAACCCTACGCACCCGCACGCCCCACCGCTGGGCCCAGTACCGTCGCTGACGACCAGCATACGATTGGAGCTGAAGGTTACGAGGAGCACGCGGCTAGTCACGAGACTGCAAAGGGACCTACCGTGTAGAGAGTTACGCCACAGCGCGTACAATTGGAGAGGGTACTTCTTTCCCTACAAGAATACAGACTCTCAAATCTGGATAAACCTGTAGTGTGCTAAAGAAAGTTTTGTTGTGTCCCATTGCAAGTGTTACTGCTTCACACGCTCGTTCCGGAGCCACATCTGGCCACCCCAGATCTTTCCCTCACGCGTGAGGAGCCAATGTTGCTACAAATTTTCAAAAAGAAATACAGTAAAAGCTATTATGATGATGATCAATGCGATGTGAGGTTACAGAACAGATACAGTGCATTGTCATTTCAATCAACGACTACCAAATGCTCAAAACTCTTCTTTTGCAAATCCTTGTTCATCATCCCCTCTGGGGTAAAGGCCTGTTTAACCTTCTCCCCTTCCCTGTCCACAACTTCCCAGTCCTTGTCTACATCCATGAATGTCTGAAGCAATGAAGGTGAATAGCCACTTAACATTGCTATGCCCTCCCTCTCTGCAGTGACAGGCACCATGATGCCTGGTTCGGGACCACCTATTTTGTTCTTCATTGTCCTTAAAGGAAGGTCGGGACCCTGCTTGTACATAATTGTGAAGAAAGGTCGAACGAGGATCGAGGGTGTCACCGAAAGCTCGTCGACTGTAGCTAACGCAAGAATGTTGAGGAGGTCCTTCCAGTACCCATGAGACAGGCCACTCCGCTGTGTTTTGTTTTTCCCAGAACGAAAGCCATAGGGGCTCTACCAAATATCGAAGGTTGGTGATAGCCGTGCGGGGGTGGCGCTCGTATAACCAATCAAACGCGCCTGACGAGATGAAAGAGATCAATAACATAATCCGGGATAATAAAGGCGACAGACGTACCGGTAGAAGAGTTCCCTATCGCCCTGTCCGTCATGAATACTCCTACAGCGCCAGATGAGGCGAAGGGTCAAAGTAGGATCCTGTGCCCAAGCCTCCTCCAGGTACCAATCCACACTTGTTCCACTGATCCCCTTACGGAGACCCATGTACGCATCGAGAGTCGGGGAGAGCGTTGAGCTGAATGCCGGTGCATCGTTCTCCGTGTATTTATGATGTACCGTTGAACGAAGGGCATCCATCATTTTGTTCTCGACCCTGCTTTCCACGGAGCCCTCCACGATGATCTCCTGAGGGGGAGTTGACTTTGGAGGCGGGAGCAATGCATCCAGGAAGTTGGGATCAAACAGCTCCGGAATAGGAGGAAGGGTGACATTCTGGGAAGAACGTACGGCAGTGGGAGGATCGATGACGGTGGACATGATGCACTTGGAGACTGACCACAAGGTCGTCCGTCCCAAATACTTATACATGCTGGCTCATGACTCCAGCTTAGATGACGATGACTCCCAATATTGGTTGACCCGGATTGAGCGTCGCTCCAGTGACTCCACGTCGTTTGACTCGAACAATTCCTGTGGGCTATTTCTACTTGCCCTGCGCACAGCAAGCCCCAGGAAGTCGTTCCCTCCAGAGCGCTCGTCCTCCTCGATAGTATACACCCCATTAACTGCTGGACTTCCGTATTTGGTAATTCAACGTCACTCTGAGAGTTTAATATCACGTGTCGGCATCCGGAATCCGCCGAACCCACACTTTTTGCTTCATGACGTTATGCCATCACTCTTTTATTTGACCCTGTTTATCCCGTGTCCCCCTTCCTCGTGGGCCCTGACATATAAAAGCCTGGGTCGTGACTACCCCACAACGCTTCGGTGTGCAGAAAAAAAAATACCTGTAGTCATGTTTGCAAAGTCTCTCGCCGTCGTCGTCGCCGCCTCTGTACTGGCTGTCCAGGCCCAGACCACCACTGCCTCTGCTGCTGCCTCGACGCCTTCGTTGAGTGCGTGTCTCCTCAACTGCGTTACCACCGCTGCTTCCAGCGCAGGCTGCTCTAGCTTGTAAGTGTCCCTCTAATATTCCGCGTTCCTGCGATTGGCGAGCTCGCTAACGCGTCTGACAGTACCGACTTGAATTGCGTCTGCACGTCCAGTACTTTCCAGTCCGACGCCGCCACATGCTTGACTGCGAACTGTACCACTGCCGATATCCAGGCCGCACAGGCTCTTGAGCAAGAGGAGTGCGCGTCCAGTATGTCTCCGTGTTTCTCCCTTTGTATCTTTTGTTCACGCATATTATATTAGTCACCGGGAGTGGAAGTGCGACTGCAACTGCGACTGGCACTGCGACAGCTTCAAGCGCATCTACCACGTCTCCCTCCAAGACGTCGACCAGCACTTCGAGCACCAGCACAGCTACCCATACCAACGCTGCAGCCGGCCTCGCGCCCTTCGCTTCCGAAGGCTTCTTCGGCGCGATTGTCGCTTCTGCTGGCGCCCTCCTTGGTGCTGTCTTGGTTCTTTGAGGATAAATAAACGCCCGTACCTTCTTGGCAGCACACTTCCATGACACGCTGGCGTTGCTTTGACCCTGTTCCTTGCGGCTGTCATATGACACGGTGCTGCTTGTTCCTTTTACTCTGGGATAATTGTTGAACATTGAGTGCTTTCGTAAAATAACGTTTTACATATTACGACCAATGAATGTCTATTCGTGCTGTTCCGAAGGGAACAATACTATTTTGGCTTATGATCCACTTGCTGTCGCTACGAAGGTGCGCGTGATTTGATGGTCCGTACATAAAAATGTTCTTCCCGAACTTTTGTCATGTTGATCAAACCTAATAAGGTCTCAGGTGACATTACAGTATTTCTGTTCCTTAGGCTCAATCTGCCTGAAAGAAGTGCCACTATTCAGTGCCATCTGACGTGGCAGCGTTACCACCGAAGGGTGCCCTCGGATAATTGCATGTGTACCACAATCTTGGTCGATGTACTTGTCCACAAACCATACAACCGTGGTAAGTATTTGGCGGATAAGGCCCGGTGCGCAACATATGATCGTGCGTCACTGTTATCGCGGATTCAATATTCAGTTCTGTTGTCACCTCATACGCGGGGCCTGGGCCCGTCGACGTATGGTGTATCCAAGCTGCACAGAGCCCTGCTATTTACCCGTATCTGTACGCGCATAGTTCCACGGATCCCAAGGCCCCAGAGTGTCATGTCTAATCGCAAGTGGCATGCAGACTCTCAGTCAGGGCACAAATGCTCGAAGACAAATTATTTTTCTGGTAAACGCCACGCGTCCGGGCCTGAATTCTGATCTCAAGGACAGACACGGCAGACACATTGAAGCAGACACCAATCAATTGTCTAAAGTTGTCGAAGTGTCTATCGGACCCTATACATGAGTCGCTTCTTGACTTACAGAACTTTGGTCTTTATGAGCTGAGCGCAAGCAAGTACATGCCCCGGTAACCCGGCGCCGCACGTAGAGTTTCTGGTAAGTGGGTCCCAACGTCGAGTCGCCATCCGCAATCGCAGCTGCGCTACCCTTCGTCTCCCATGTATTTCGCATGGAATTATACATACTTAGCTTTGATTCATTCCGATCTCATGTTAGCTTCTACCAACGGAAGCAGTTCCCACTTTCGTATCCAGAGCCCACAAGCTACAAACGACGAACGAAACTGATGTTACATCTGAACAGGGTGGCCCTCTCCGTCTGTGCTTGGTTGTGGTTTCCCAAGTTATCCTTGGAATGACTCCGCAGGTGTGTACCTGATTGATCCGCTTCTGAGACGACCAAACCTGCCTACCTTTTTACACTGCTGCAGTCGAGTATACACACATGTCCTCGCGCTAGCGATGTTCACATGTTGACATTGTCAACTATATGACACGTAACAATCCTTCAGCCCGGAGGTACGTGGAGCAACGATTCAAGACTGGCGGGTAAGGAGGAAATCTTGTATTTGAAAAACTCGATGTCCATCGTTCCGAGCTCGCTCCCAATGTCGCGGAGCGGCTGGCGATGCCAATCGACGACAGGATTGAGCAGCTAAATAAAGGCAAGTAGTGGAAGGTATTGGGAATGCAAATTAACATGCTTTGTATGCCCCGACCGTAACCGCTTGAGCTGAATCCAAACGTTCAAAGACGGCCACAGAAGCGTGATCAAGGAATGCGCAGTCTCCTCGTGTTTTACATCAGGTCCAGCGGTATACATGGATATAGCTTTACAATGCTATATAGCCATTACAATGGTGAACCCAAGTATGGCCAATGGAATATCAAGGAAAATCAAGGTATAAAGGTCAGTAGTGATGTAAATGTCATTGGTAAGTTCAAGATCACAGATCTCGTACACTTTGGATGATTCCTGCTGAAGTTAAAGATATGCAATTTTGGGGCATGGACACACCTCCGAACCCCACCAAAGTTATGCACCAATGAGATGATGATTACGCAATAGAAGAAATCATAAGTAAATAGTACTTGTCTGAGTACTGAGTAGTGTACAAGTCCCGCTCTTGGGAAGGAGAAGGTCATCTCGTTGACAGTTCCGTCATGTCAATCATCACGAATAGCTATTTCAACGGTACCCATCTCTATCGGTGGAAGTCCTCCCACCTTGCACAGTGATCCGACACTGGAAGAATCAGGTGTGGGCATGGCCACGAGTACGGCGGCACGTAATTTGGATGGACGGCTCCGGAAGGTGGGTGGTGATTTGATGATAGGTGGTGAAGTGGGTGAGACCACGGATCGGGAACGCCTGCGAAATGGACCGAGGATTCCCCATGCTGGTAGTGGTCCCTCTACATGCTGGGGTGGGGGCTCCTCCTTTCCCGAGTCGATGTATGCCATGCTGATAGGCTGTGTATCGACGAGTTGTGCGACACGTTTAGAATATCTCTTCCCATATATATGGAAGGGAAACCCCACCTTAATATCGGTCCATGCCAGCCGTCCACTATGGCCATCTACAACCTCAGATCTCTGTATCCACGTCTCCCACACGCCCGGTTTCTCACCCACGGCCCCCTTCCGTACTGGCGGACCGATGTCGTTCCTAGACCTCCGTGTTCGGCCACCGGCCGCAGTGTTGGCCCCCTGACGCGTTGGGTGGTCAAGTAATCGCTGGTGTCGTCGCCGAAGGATGACGCTACGAACGACGATGGCCGATGCGACGGCGAGGAGGATAATGAGTGTTGCTGCAAGTGCGGCGTAGGAAGTGTTCAGGGGGGTTAGGGGTGTTCCAGTGAGTGAGCCGATGGGTTGGGGATCGGACATGACGACGATGAAGCGGAGACAAGAAAGATGGAGGAAGGGGTAGCAAACGGTTGGTTGGCTAGTTAGTTAGGCCGACGTGTACTTGTAGGTTGAATGAAGACCAGCGTGGAGGGACGTACCGATAAAGGTGTAGACTGTGTGTGTTACAGGGGACCAGGCGGATATGGTGGTAGACATTGTGGATACGGACGTGGGAAAGGCGATCGATGATGCAGTCGAACGGTGCAGGTGTTCACGGTAATTGAAGGGAGAGCGTCGGGTTAAGGTAGTGCAGAGGATGTCAATTTTGCGATACAATGAAGCAATGTGATGTCAGTGAGATCGAACGCCATGCATGCTACGCGAATATTTAGAGTGGGAAGGTGCTCACGGTAGAGGGCTGCGGTTGAGGTGCTGCTGGTTGGACCAATTGCCGTTGGACTGGACGCCGACAGCGAAGTTGACGTTGAGGAAGGGACGCCAGACATGGGAGACTGGTGCTCACTGCTTGAGTGTCGATGCTGAGCGTGGAAACTCGCCTGCACCCACAAGTACTAATGATGCTATTATGATAGATTAAAGTACCGGGGCTGGGTTTGAATCATCGCAGCAAGTACGGTATGTATTGTTGTGCGGAGAGACCGGGCCGGGCTGGCAGAGTATCGAGGGTGCTGGATACACGGAGCACTCATCAAGGCGGGATACGAAGAATGTCGAGGATTTTTTGACAACTCCTGTTTCCACATCGGTCGATTGGTCCTTTGGTAAAACAGAGCTGCCAGCTGAACTGCATCTGCCTATGATCACATAGTCAAGGGGGAACGTCGGGTCTTTGATCTGCCTGGGGGAGAATAATGTGGACAGCAAGGATCGCAGACTCGAAGAAAACCCTACATATATAAGCCAGTCCTTATCAGAATGATGTTGATTCAGAAGTCAGCCTTACTTCTAGATTCCTCCATATCAGAACCTATTCTACCAGCGGCCCCCGATTTTCAAGTGAGTCAGACATGTATCAATGAGTGATGGTCATCCGCCGCTATTCACTGCCATCTATTGATCGCGCTGCCGGTTACAAATGCCTACAGGACATGCTTGGATGGAGGATGCCTCGATTTTCCTACCTGGGCAATCTAGGTCAAAGATGCTATGTGCAGACTACGAGCCACGAGTCCCACTCCGTTCTCTGTCACCGAGGCCGAAATGACTTCATACATTTGCGCTGCGATGCCAGTGCGCTCGTAAATTCATTATGAACCAGCTCGTGTATCACGACACGTATCGGAACATTCCGGTTGTCCGTCTGCCCAAACCAAGTCCAAGTCAACACGGACGGCATCAAGTCAAGTAGAGAACACGTGGTCAGGTTATGATAGCTAGTATCGCGAGATCGATGTATTAGGTTACAGTAATGCGGTTAAAGCGAACTGAAAACGAAATACCTATCGAGTAACAGGTGCGTACTAGTAAGTGTAGTCGATTGAAGCTAGCCATACGGATTCACATACGGTGCGTACCACTTACAAGGCGTTCTTCAACCTGTTTAACTGCCCCAGGCAGCTGTTGGACTTACATATTAGAGTGTAATCGCAGCACATTGCAAGTCACAAAGGTGGCGCACCTTGCATGCAAGGGAAATCGGATCGTGAAATTTTGCCGGATTGTGTGAACTTGGGCTGCCAAAGTACGCCAGCAATCTCCTCGGTGTTGTCCTGTTGTGGGACAGTGCTCCGCACGAGGTACCCGAACGTAATAATTGACGACTTGGTCGGGTTGTGAGGTGTGTAAAGCAATGAGTCTTGTGACGCGTAGATCCTCGGTAGATGGGCCCTTACCCAGGCAGAGCAAAAAAGGAGTCTAGCTATGTAACGGGAGGCTGACCATCGACCAATGAGGAACATGCAAGTGTCCGAATTTGGTGGCGCAGATGACGTCTGCACAGCAATATAACTGGAGATGGGAACAGGCGCCAAATTGCTCGGAATAGAAATGATAGCTATTCGGAATAGTACCCCATTTGGTACCTCCATGTATGCATGTAAGGCGAATGACGAATGCAGGATATGGAAACCGGTTCGACAGGTCTGGCGGAACGTGGGTTCCTTGGACGTCCACAAACTGCACGTTGCAACTAATGGGACCTCAGGATGTCGTGCCGACACGACGTTACCAACCTGTGTCTATCTGTTGACACAGCAGCAATAGCCACTCCCGCAGCAACCTACATTGGGCGATGGTCTGATGGCCGGGTGATGGGTGAAGAGTCCATGGCCGCTAGTCAATTGGGTCGTATATGCCTGTCATAATAATGCACTCACAACGAGTGCCGGTGAGCATCGATCGCGGTGGTGAACCATTCGACCGGAAAAAACTCATCAACATGACAACGCTGCCGGTGCTTGCTGGCAGAAGTGGCGTGACAGCCTAGTGACAGGTGACAAGTGTGACTGGTCACCCGTCACGCCTTCCAAGAAGGGACAAAGGTCGGCCTTGTGCTCGGCCTGAGACACAACTCCACCGAGAGTTCGCTATATTACAATATACCCCTCCCCGCCACTGCTCCGCCAGCGCGCAAGCTCGAGTTTGTATATTCACTCCCTCATACCTCCTCTACCAACCACATAGGCTTAACTCGGACAGGACCACAAAGCCATCCCGTTGCTGCGCGCGCGCCACTGAATCATGGGCAACTGCGCCTCTTCCGCCCAAGAAAAGGCAGGCAGGGCCAAATCAGCCGCTATCGACCGTCAAATCGAGGAGGATGCAAAGAAATTCAGGAAGGAATGTAAAATATTACTTCTCGGTGAGCTTACTCCCACATGTCCATTGTCCAAATATCTTGTCCAGCGCCTCCATTGTGCCTTATTCGACGGAATGCTGCGTCGGCCCCTTCCCGTTCCAAGCTTCCTTTATGCGCTCCTTTCCCTCGGCGTTCTCATTGTCTTCGTCTTGTTCTAGGCGCCGGGGAGTCCGGAAAGTCAACGATCGTCAAGCAGATGAAAATTATCCACCAAAACGGTTTCACTAACGAAGAACTAATGACCTTTCGACCCACGATATACCGTAATACACTCGACAGCGCCCAAGCAATTGTACTTGCAATGCGCAAGATCAACGTGGACTGTGCTAACCCCTTAAATAGAGTTTGTCTTTGAGCCTCATTGTCTCGGCCCAATATGTGACGCATCTGTGTTATTAAAGGAGAATGCAGACAAGATTCTGGATTACAGAGTAGACGCTACACCAAGCTTCGTCTTCTCTCCGGACATTGCAAAGGCCATACACGATCTATGGCAAGACCCGATTATACCCACCGTTCTCGATCACAGCAGTCAATTCTATCTCATGGACAGCGCAGCCTAGTTAGTCTCTCCCGAATCAAAATTCACTTTGGAGTCGGATCTTGAACTGTTACTTTCTAGTTTCTTTGGTGAAGTGCTCCGAATAGGGACCTCCAACTATCTTCCAACTGTAGACGATGTCTTGCGTGCCCGTGCAAAGTCTACTGGCATCACAGAAACCCACTTTACTATGGGTCAATTATCGTACGCAACCCGTCATGTTTTGCGACCAGTTTGTTTGAACATAGCCTTTAGGATACACATGTTTGATGTCGGCGGCCAACGATCAGAACGAAAGAAGTGGATACATTGTTTCGAGAGCGTAACCAGCATCATCTTTTGTACCGCACTGAGCGAGTACGATCAGGTGCTACTCGAAGCAAAGGAGCAGGTATGTTGATTTCGTTTGCACTTGGTCTACTGCTGACGTGTCGGCGCCAGAATCGAATGGTCGAATCCTTGATATTATTTGAGTCTGTTATCAACTCGCGGTGGTTCCTCCGAACATCGATCATATTGTTCCTGAACAAGATCGATGTTTTCAAAGTGAAACTACCAAGGGTGATTTCCATTTTCTGGTCCTTAGTCAATGCTCAATTATGTTTGAGCAGGTACCATTGGAGCACTATTTCCCAGAATACACTGGTGGTTCAGATATCAACAAAGCCGCCAAATACATACTGTGGCGGTTCATGCAAGCAAACCGGGCAAGACTGAGTGTATATCCACAGTCAGTCCTTCACACCCTCCCATCTTATCTGCGCACAACTGACCAAAATTCACGTAGTTTAACCCAAGCAACGGACACGTCGAATATTCGGCTCGTATTCGCTGCCGTCAAGGAGACTATTTTACGCAACGCACTGAAAGACTCGGGAATACTCTGATCTTTCCCTCCCTTCATCCTCCCTTCTCTATCCATCAACCCAACTTCTGTCCGCTGTCATCACACACCCGGCGGCACACGCTCCGTCAGTAACTTCCTCATTGCAGCTCTGAGCATGGCGCGGCTCGGGCATGTATCAACTCTTCTCGCTGTGCATCACGTGTGGAATTTCTCTAGCATCTCATTTTGTTTAGCATATTCATAACGTATTTGATCTCGTCTGCAATATGTTCGCAATCGCATATCGCCAGTAATTCGAACCTTCGACCTGTGGCGTTCTCTGTCTGCTGGTTTTTCAGGCAATGTTAATGTTTCGGGTACAGTTTACTTCTCTACCTACTGCTGTGTCTGTCGGGCGCCCTGGTCGTTGTGGATTGATCGTTCTGTTACTCTTACGTCATCAGACAGCCGAGTTATTTCGAAGCTCGGTGAGAACTTGTGTACGTGGCTGTCATCATCTAACTTACTATGCTTTGAACCTCGTTCCCCTTCATATATTTGAGGGGCGGGCCTTGATCAATGTTAGCCGTTTGGACGTAGCTTAGCGATAGCACCCCTGGTGGATTCAAGTTGGTAGTACTCCTGGTCGCTGTCACGCTTGCCCTGACAAATGCAGTAATGTGTCCTCCAGTACAGCTTCAATTGAACAAGGACAAAGACGAATGAGAGTTACGGCGGAGGCATATGCGTATATGACACTCTCGGATGCCCCCCTCCTTGTATCCACATCCACACATCCACAATAGTAGCAAAGCTGGGCGGACTGATGGCGGCCAACAGATCAAGATGGCAGGAACAGGTCAGGAGGGACGAAGCGAGCCCCTGCGACCGCTATCTCACCAAGGCCGTAGGGCAGAGCAGCCAGGACAGGCGATATGACGACATTGATGACGCGTAGGCAAAGCCGCCGCCGGCTGAGAGCTTCGGCCGCAGGCGGCCCGAGGTAGGGACCTCCGTCGCAGTGGCAGTCGCACCCAGTCGATTAGTCTCGTATAAACAAATTTAAACCCGAACAAGAAACACCATGAGTAATTGAGTACTGAGGATACCCGCTCCCCTCTAACTCTCACAATCATCATCCTCAGTCTCCCACTGATTCAACCCAAGGTCCCGCACGCTTGCAACAGCGATCAACAATGGATGCTGCGGATCCAACAACCTCAATAGCCTCTCCATATCCTCCAGTGCGAAGTCTTCCATCTCCTCCAACAATGCCAAATCTTCCCGGTCTTCCGCAATCTCGGAGGCGGGACGACCATTCCGGACCTTTCGTTTATCCGCGAATGTGGTCAGCTGGGCTTTCGTAGCATCAATAAGCCCGTCACCGAGCTCAGGCATGAGAGTATCCATTCCGACCACCAGTAATGAGTCGATGATCGATCGGTACAGCGAGGCGACAAAGGATGGGTCCGTCTCGGTGCGCAAGCATTGGATGAGTTGATGAAGAGACGCTTGGACTATCTGGGGCGTGAGTGTCCCGCTATTCTTGCCGCACGACAGTAAGAGAGGTATCAACCTGTGGTGTAAGCGTCAGTACGACTGTAGCACACACCTAAGGGCAAGAGACGAGAATTACGGCGACGTGGAAAACCAATATGACGTACCGGCACGCAGCCTCCCTGACACCCTCGTGGAAATAAAATTGTAAGGCGGGTAACGAGAGCTCGAGACCCTGCGAAAGGTATGGCCCGAAGCGCCCTCCCAGCATGCTGCAATATATCACAAGTGTATCAAATGCTTGACATTTTTCGTCGATGGTCGATGTGCGAATCCCGACGATCTGGCCATCCATCGATATGGTTTCCCATCCCTCACGCTCGCAACCACCATCGTCGTCTGCAAGCGGGCGCGAGATGCAATTAGCTTTGACTATTTGCGGCCATAAAAAGCATCTTTACCATAAACTGAAACGTCCGCTTTGGCACTCGCTGCGTTTAGTAGTGGAGGCATGACCACAGGAAGATAAGGCTCAAATTCTGGACCAAGCGCTTGGCATATTTTTGCCCACGTGGCGATTAGATACGTAGCAAGCATTGTGTCCGCAGGGTCCACGGGAGAATCTATGATTCGTTTCAATACACGAATACGAGGAGGAGGCGGTCGACAAACTTTGAATATTAATCAAGGCATCTATGAGGGTACGCGAGTCGGGTCGGAAAATATCGCGACCCACAGCAACGGCTTTCGCCCCGTATGAGAAAATGCAGGCACAAGGTTTGGTAGGGACCAACCTATCAGACCAGCGCACTCCATAGCTTTCACGCGAAGTTTCTGGTGGTGGGCGCTATTCGCATTCCGAAGCACATTGAGGAGGAGGGGCATGATGGATGCATAGTGCTGATGGCGTGTAAGAGGAAAAATCTACGAGTTCGCTGGAACGATTACCTTTGCAAATGTAGTCTCACTAGCATCTGCAACCATAGCTAAACTCGTAATCGCTTGTTCCTGGCAGTAGCGTTTCTCTTGCTTGCCTTCCTCAGAATTCGCATTTAACATTTTCAACAGTCGCTCTACGATGAGGTCGAGGTAAGGGACCAGAGTGTCATGCTCGACACCCTCGCAGAAATTGATGAGGGCGGCGGCAGCATGTGCATGAACTCTAGCAGAGACGATTACGGTATCACACAGTGCCTCGTGGCCAAATCGGGAAATTTACCGATGCTCTGGAGCTTCCAACGTCGGAATCAAAGCTGCAAATAGCTGTTGATGGTGCTTCTCTTGGATGATCTCCTAGAATGTAGAAATAAATGGTATTGCTGTGGCGCAAGTGGAAACTGAACATCGATACCTCCAAGTCTGTGCACAGCTGACCTCTGGGCGCTGGAATCAGCGCAAGGCCGCATTCTTATAAACACGAACGTACAAGCACTGGCACGCAGCGTAGCGGACGCGGGGATGACCATCCTTAAACATGGGTGTCACAAGACTGGCGCCCACGATGATCAGATACAATGGAGGTTCCCTAAACGTGATTGCTTACTCTACAACTTTTCCTAGTTCGATTTGCATTATCTGTGCGGAAGGAAACGGCTTGCTAGGGTTAAAAAGTCCGAGCTAGCGATGGACACACCTTGCTCGTGCCTTCAGCAATCGCTGCAATCGCCATCAGACCTGCATGTCGTTGTCGCCAGTCATAATTTGCTAACATGGATGGAATGTGTTGGAACGCGGGCGGAAGAATTTCCTTGCCTCCTAAAGCAGAGGCGAGCCTATCCAACGCTTGATCGTACGCATATGGGTAGCTCTCGTCGATGGCATCATCGGAAGGCTATATGCGGAGGTTATCACGAAGGGGTAATGAGGGCTGGAAACTTACATCCGTGTCCAGCCAGATATCCAAACCATCTTCAGGAAGTTCTGCCATACCCTCGAGGCAGGCGCGGACTATAGCGGGTGTCCATCCCTCGACTTGTTTAACCATCGCCGGCCTCGCCTCGCTCAAACTAACCATGAGCTCCAATGCTGCCCTCCTAACCTGTTCTTTATCTTCATCTTCCGCGGCTTCAGAGTCTGCTTCATCACCCAGTGTCTGCTCTGGCGGGAAGGAAAATGAACGGCCGGCGGTGGGGAACGGCTTTGCGACGGTGGGCGTGGGCCCCGGGTCAGCAGAGGGCATTATCAATGCGCGCAGGAACGACAGCAAGGCGGGAAGGTGAGGAGCAAACAGTTGTGGGCGTGAAGAGCACAGCGACGTCAAGGAACTCAAAAACGTCTTGAGATGTACGTTGGGTAGTGAGGGAAGGGTGTCTAACATTGGATAGAGTAGCGATAGAGATTGTGACAATTGGTGCATATCCGAAGCGGTCAGGTAGGAGACGGATGCTCTGAGGGCAGCCAGTCGAACCTATAGGACGGGATGTGAGGAATGATGAATGAATTGCAGTTGTCAGAAGTGAGCGTACGTCTACACTGTGAGAGTCCTGCAGGCCTTTCTGGAAGACGGAGAGGACGGCCTCCGTTTGTAGATCCATGACAAGGTTCGGGCTTCCCGAGAACACTCTGAAAGCGCACTCACGACTGCCGGTCTCTGCAGATTGCGTCATGGTGAACGCTTGGGCCTGAAGGGCGTGCCAAGGGCGCCCGCGGCTCATTGCATTGTTAGCGAGATCACAGACGGTGTCGACTGTTTTTCTCCGTACTGAATCTGATGGCTCTTGCGACAAAGAATGGAGTAGCAGGCGTTCAAGTGTTGCGAGGGCTTGGGTTGACATGTGGTCGTAGAGTGTCATTCGTGGGTCTTTTTGATGCTGTTGGGGAGGGGAGCGAAAGAGGAGTCGCCGGAGAAGAACAAGCGAAAAGGATCTCATCTATACGCCGATTTTGATCATCCACAAGGATTTGGATGGACTGTCAATACTTACCACTTCTGTATCTGCTACAATGGCGAACTGGGCCAACGCGAGCAGATAAAGGTCTGGCGTTTGGGCGAGACGGTCATTAACTGCCTTCTCAGCACTACGATAACGGATGGTCAGTGTCGGACGAAGGAGCGAGCAAACTACTAGTATCTCGTACTTTGAGCGGATTTTGTTGTCGCCGAGCACGAGATTTGCCAGGATCTGTGTGAGCTCGTTGGTTATCTCCTGGGACACGACGGCTTCCATGGTACTAGTGGGTGTTACTCTTCGAGCCTATTGAGTTTGCAACGAGGCAGAGGGAAGAGGCGTCCGGTTTGAGTGTTGCACTGGTTCTAACTAGTTGGCCGAGGGGACCATACACAAGTCAGGACTGGCGATAGAGATTATCATATTGGCACGGCCCGGCGACTCGAAGACACCCGTGCTTGTTTGTTTACTATAGCGACCACCACAGCCGACGAACCGGGAACGCATCATTCGACGCGACAAACCTGAAATTGCTTGCGTTCTTCTAGGTCCGTCGAGCCTCGACACTATTACCTTGTGTGCTTGTCACAAAATTACTGGACATTGTAAGTCTCAGTCGTCAATTATGTAGTATTAGTGCTTATCCGACAACCCACGGGTAGTCACTGCATGCCTAAGTCGAGGGGCCCACCATACGCAGACCCACCATCTGCTACATACATTGTTGTAGTCCGACCATGGTCTGTAGCATCTCCACCAAAGAGAACACAACAAGACTATGATCGAGTAGGGACATGGGTTGCCTACATACTTTGGGATGCAACAGGTAGGGGCGCCAGTGTACCCAGCATAGAGTCAATATATCGAATGAAAACTGTGAGTGTATATAATCTGCCAGCACAAGCTGAAGGCAAATGAATTTAGCGTGATGAGATGATTGTGCAACTCCCACTTGGGACTGACATTTCACCACTACTAGGTGAACACCATTGGCCATCCTTTGTTAAAGGATGGAAAAATCACAGTGGTGCAGGTGGGCAGTCTACCCTAGTGTTTCTCTATAACTGGCAAAATAATGGTGATCCAGCCAACCGTAAGTGCTTTTTTAACTGTGAAGTCTCGGCCCTTGATTTTGGTTCACATTGGCACTTTCAGGCAACTGGGAGGAATTTTTCCCAAATATTTTACCACTTCATTCAGTGCCAATCAAGTCACCATATCCATACCCATCATGGGCCAAGCTGCCTTCTATTCTCTCATCTTTTGCCTTGCCTATCCCCCAAGGACACTTTGCAGTGGCTATGGAACATGAGCATGAATATGAACCTATAAAGTTGTCAGGAAAATGTGATTCATATAAACTGGGTGAGTTGTTCAGCCTGCCTGAGTTGTCTTAACAACTTCCAACTGTTTGTTATCAGAAGAGGATGCCAAGGGACCTTCTGTCATCTTTTAAGCCTGAACCAGATGATTGTAAATCTGGCATTATCAAAATTGAGAATGATCAAAGTGGAATATTTCCCAAAACAGAAACAACCTTGGGTAAGGCAAGGAAAGTGCAGGTGTCAGATATACCACTAACATGTAATTAGGTCATGCATTTGCTGACAAGGATTATCGGCCATCTGCAGAGCTGCTTGCAGCATTCAGCACCCTGAATCAGAGTGTGCAACCAACTGCATCAGATTTTCCAACAACAGATACATCCCATGATCAAAATGTTGAAGTTAAAACAATACCTCACAGTGTTGACAAGTCTGCCAAAGCAATGGGCCATACAGCACTTAAGAGGGAAATATCCCAGGAGAGCATTGTCATAGGCAAGCATAGATGTTATCATTGGCTCTGTGGAGACTTGACTAACATGATACCACAACCAGGTAAGAAACGAATCAAGGTGGAGGAGTCATAAAGGATGTAGCCCATACTTATATCCAATTCCATGTGCATTACAAGTTACCACGTCAATCATCCATGATCTCAACAACAGTTTCCAAAGCCACCTTTGGCTTAAGCAGTGTGGTCACCGCCCACTGCTTTTCCTTCTCGCCAGTCATGGATATCCTGACTCGCTTCCGCAAACCAAGGTCGGTCGTGCATAATACTCTGGCACCAGTTCCAGAGGCTGCTTCGTTGTAAACGTCCTCCATGTTGGCGGGGTCAAACAGGGATGCAGGGGGAACCGTCAAGACTTCCAAGTCACCTGAGGTAACGTCCTCGCCGACAATCTTGTTCACGCGCACAGCCAAGGTGACGAGGAACAAGACTTTCTCTCTGAACTTGGAGGACAGTGCTGTAACAAGCTCTGCTTGACTTGCATTGCACCCTGCAGCTAAGAGGATATCAGCAAGGCCAGAAAGAATTTTCGTGGTAAGCAGAGAGGTGAGTTGAAGCTCGTCACATTGCCGCCGAGGAATGTTGGCGCGCGTGAGTGCACGCCAACGACCGGATATAGCTTGTGCCTCTGCGGGTTACAGGACATTAACACCCTCTAAGACCCCTGTGGGACTACTCACCTGTGTCGCGCACCTTCTCATATATCTCCTCGATGAGCCGGTTCTGAGTCTCATCTCCACCGATGTTCCAAGCACGAGTAATCCATTGAAGTACGTGAGCGAAATACGCCTGGAAAGCAATCTGTACGAGGATCGGGTCGTCCCTGTGTTTCTTCGTCCCGAGGAAGTGCACAATGGCGCCTCCGATCACACCGGTGACGCGATTCGCCCCCGCCATCTGCTCCTCCGTCTTCATAAATACCTTGTCAGGCATGTAAGACTCTATCATGGACTCGGCTATGAACGCCGTGTGCTGGAGGATCTCTGAGTTGAGTCTCTGCAACGTATTGAGGACCTCCGTTCCAGAAAATGTATCGGCAGTCGTAAGGAAGCTTTGTGCTCCCTTGAGTTCCGACGTACGGTCATCCAACAAGGCCATTATTTGGCCATACTCCTTCCTCAGTGTCGAAGACTCTTCCCTCGCAGCCTCGATATCCCTAGTCAACGCGTCGAGATGCCTGTTTAAATCAGGAATCAGGTTGGCCTTCGCGCGTAATTCCTTATTCTCCTTTTGAAGCGCCTCATTGTGCGTGTAACTTCCGTCCAACTGTGCCGAGTAACCCTCCAATGTTTTTCGCAGCTTATGCAAGTCGGAGTGGGCCTGCGCTCGGTCACGATTCATCTCCTCCAATACGCGTTTAAACTCCTCTGCCTGCTTTTCTAACGTCGCCTTATGCCGGTCGTTTTCCATTCTGAGGGTGCCAACGATTCCATCCTTGTCTCTCCGCAACCGATCGCGCTCCACCGTCACGGCTTCTACCTGACGCACATTTTGCTGCAGTTTCGACCGCAAGTTTTCGATTTCGTCCGCGAACATACCGTCACTGGTGATCTTCTCCGCCTTGAGTCGCTCACATTCAGCTCGGTGTTGTGCCCGTAGCTGTTCGGTCTCTTCGGCCTGTCTCCGTAAGGTTGCCTTCAGCCGGCCATTCTCCTCCTTGAAGACAGCATCAATCTCGGCGTCATGTAACCCTCTCCTGACGGTGGTGATGGAAGATCTGCTTTGTTCCCGTGGCACTTGGGATTTCCCTTGATGAGCCTTCTTGTGGGATTCAGCCTTGGGCTGCTGCGCTACACGTGTTGGATTGGCGCTGTGCTGTCGGTGAGGCAGAGGGTTTCCCTGGGGATTATGAAGAAGGGTAGGATGATCATCTTCACCACCGGTGCCGCCATCACGGATGTCAACAAAGCCGCCATCGTGGTCATCGGTGGATGCAGACGTTGACGCAGCAGTAGGCGAAACACCGTCTACGTTTTCCCAGCCGTCCGCATGTGACGGCAACATAGGCTCGTCATAGCTGAGTTTGGGTGGAAGCGGCTGCGCTTTCGTCACTGGGGTTGCAGGCCAACCAAAGGCGCTGAAACTCGGAAAAGATGGCATACTCGTTTGTTATGGTAGTGGTGGGAGAGGACCTGGTGCTGGCGGCGACCCAACTTGCGGGGTGCTACTGTGCCAGCCACTTCGCTCGTGCTGAACTCGTGCTGAACTCGTGCTGATATGTAACACGGCCGAGGTCATGATGGAACCTGTTCCCGTGACCCAAGATGAAACACTTAACCTCACCCATTCACATATGACATGCAGTAGCACACTGAGATGGGACGCGGAATTCTAAGGAGATTGAGTCAGAATGAGTTCTCCAGCGCGAAACGAACAGAAGCGAACATCCAAAAAGCTTTGTGATAAGTTGTCCGTGGGCGAGGTGGGTTGCCGTTGATGCTAGTACGGCCGGCACAATGCCGAGCTCTGCTGCGTATGTTAGTACCTCGTCCGCTAATAGAGCTTTGGTTTCAGCGTGGCGAGGTGGTGATTCGGTAGTTTCGTGAACGAATCTAGAGCGCATTGTATGGACTGTACTGTTTGACGAGCGTGTGGGTGTATGATGATGGAGGTATTTTACTACTTTTAACTAATACAAAAACCGTTCCGATTCAACCTCACTCGTACCTCAAAATAAAAATCTTCCCCTCCTTCACAGACAAAATCACAGCCCCCTGGCTCTGGTCGATATTAATCGTTTCCACCCCATCCAAATCCAGCTCCTCCGGGATTTCCAGCGTCCGGACGACCGCTTCCTCCCTGGCTCTGCCACCACTATCGGAGGTGCGCCCCTTTCCACGTCGGCGATCGTACGCCGTATATACAGGTGGGAACGTCACGAATCGTAAACACTTGGGCACACGATGACGTCGCGGATCAAATATCGTTCCCCCCTCCGCGCGCCGGTCCGTCGTTGTCTGCACACCTTGAGAAACTGGACCGTCCTCCATCCCCTCAAATAAATCACTCGAGCCTTCCTCCCCGCTACCCTCCACGCCGTCCTCTTCTTCACTATCGGTACATGGTGCGGCTTCCCCGACAAGTCGAGAAGCATCAACACCATACACACCTCCAGGTTCAGCAGCATATTCCACCCACACAGCGTGCCCAAAGTCGACGGCGACTAAGGGTCTCGGTCGATCCCCAGCATCCTCGTCCTCGTTGTCCGCTGGACTATCCAGAACGCAAACGACCTCGAACGGCGTCGAGACGTACCACAAATGCAACATCTCGTCGCCGTCGTCCTCGTCATCTTCCGTACTTGAATCCGAACTGGGCCTGTCGGTATCGGTGGACCCAGTAATTGGAACCTTGAAATAATGCTGGGCAAGCACGAATTGGGTGTGGTGTGTTTCTGGATAATGTCTCGCCAGTAGGACAACGGTGCAGCTTAAGCGGGGGACACCAGGTAGCGTTGGCCACCATTGTCTCACAAAATGCGCGGATTCGGGGTACCATGGTGGAAATGAGTATGGATTTGGAGCGGGTTCGGGTGGCTGAACGGCAGGAACGGGAGACGTCGAATGTTGAGCCACGGCTATGGCCAGAAGTTGCATCGCCGATGCTGACGCGGACGATGAGCTCGACGACGACAACACATTCTGAGTTTCGATCTCCTCATGTTGTACATCATCCTGTTCCTCCGCGTTGTGATCTATAATCTCCCTCATCTTCCCCTTTCCTTTTGAACGTGGTAGCTCCACAAGGGGTTGAGAAGGCGAACCATCAACGACAACATCTTCGGTGGCTCTTTCTTTGCCTTTTCCTTTCGAACTACTCTCTCCTGATATTTTCGTGATTCCCGCACCTGCATCCTCACCTGCGGGATTCCCACTGGACTCGACGTTACCGCCACCACTCGGCGATCCCGCCGAAGACGAAGGTCCAGCAACCGATTGCATGTCTAATACCGAAAGCGCCTCCAAAGCCACCGATGTTGATGACTGGACATCCCTCCCCGCGCCAGACGTAACGCCTACCCTTGGAAACACAAACTTTTTCGAAACCGATTTGACGGGAGGCGACCGTGCCGAAATCGAAGGTAGATGATGACGCCGGATGAAACCTGATTCTTGTCGCTGAGCTTGTGACTGGGTTTCCTCTCCAACACTACCATCACTGTCACCGACAGTTCCGTTTGCGGCCACGGGACTATGGTTACTACTCAGCTTGAGAGCTCCGTTGCGTGGGCGGGAGTAGCTGCGCAGGGCACTGAGAGGGTAGAAATGTTGGTAGGCAGCGTCGGCTTCTTCCGAGTGGATGACGATTTGATTGTCGTGGAGGATGCAGGACCAGTTAGAAGATATGAGCTGAGCGAGATGTCAGTACGCACGCCGATCGACAAGAAACTGACGTCGAAGAAGTCAGGAGAAAACTTACACAACCCACACCCGTATCCACATAGATATACTCATCCTTGTCCCAATCAAGCAAAACGTATAAGCCTACACGAAGGACTGAGACAGCTCTTGACACGGGGGACCACGAACACCCACCAATAGTGTTGCTGCTTGCAAGCCACACGAACGCGCTTAATAAACGCCTGGGAGGATCCAACAAAAACACGTTCATCACGACGCCAGTCGTATAGAATGATGTCAAAGGGAGGAACGTGGGTTTCGCGATGATGGTAGCTTCTCCTGAACATTCTTTCGAATGAGTTGGCGGCTCCGGCATGTGTGCCGTGGTGGCTATGTACGTCCCGTCTCGGGGAAGCGAACGCGAAGATGCGTCTGAAGACGTTCCGTGTGACTGTGAAACCGTTAGTTGTTCTTCGCACTCTGCACTTGGCAAATTGACCGGTAGCACCGTCGATGATGACATCGGCGAACTGCGGGGGCTGGTAGTTGTCGTCATAGTGTGATACTTTGAGTTATTCGGCGAGGACGTTATCGATGAGGTTGGGGACATGACAGGTGATTTTGGATGTGATAAATGTGGAGTATCAATCAGAACTGATGCGTTCGAGGAAGGTGACGACGATGGACTGGTACGTTCCGGAACTTCAGGAGGGAACGCCAACTTCATCAAAACAAATTCCATGACGCGATTGTCATCATAGCTACCGGTTCGTTGAGTATGTGTCGACGAGCGACGGAATGGTTCACTTACGATCCCTTGAGCACCCTTGCCATCGTGAAGTACACGGCTCGTTCTTCAAACTCGACACGACACTTCCATAATTCCCACTTTCTTTCATTTGCAGCGTCTGCGTTCCCTCCAATGCCGCTATGATCGTTGGTATTGTTGGGAGACCCAGGCATCCTGCGTAGCTGCGACATGAGCGACCTTGGGTCCCACTCTGCGAGGCAAACATCACGAGCGACATCCCAACACACGACACGCCCGCTCTTTGTCGCACAAAGCGTATACGAAGCTGTTATCGGCGACAACCAATCGATCTCCTCGTTGGGAGGTGCCGATATCTTGATGTACCAGCGACTTTGGGGTTTCCCGTGGCCGAAGTATTCCAGAAAGGGAGACGATCTCGCGGGTCTCGGTGCGCGCACCCTCCAGGCTTTTTCGAATGTATGGGCTCTATCCACGGCTCTGATGAGGTTCTGGGTAGAGACATCTGCGAGTCGCCGGAACGCAGGTAATGGTAATGGTCTAGAGCGGCAGAGCAAAGCATGAGCCAAAGAGCGGTAGACAGGACGCGTAAGGGTGAATGATCTCAGGGACTTGCATGTCTGGGGCGTTTCAGGTCAAGTGGATCTATGTACATGAAAATGGGCATAAGACATACGGCTTGTAGGCTGTGGATATCGTCGATGTCGAGATATTGGGCGATGTGGAATAAGAGATCGTATGGAAGCACGGGCAGAGACATGCCTCGTTGCTAAATACTAAGATGGCACGGAGAGATCGATATTCGATGATGGTCTGCGTGATCGCAGCAAAGTGGCTGGCCACGTGACCACACTAGTGACTATAACGAATTTACTAGTACTGGTGCAACGAAATCCAGATAACGGCTGATTGTCCGTGTGCGGAGGATCTTATTGTAATAGTTTCCGCGATTCTTTTTGTTGTTGGGGCGAACAAGCTGTGGTATGATGACTACATACGTTAGCTTTAACTGCATGCGGGAGTCCGGTCTGGGACCCATTTGGTCGTACTTGTACCCCCCCAGCACAGGATTACCGTTCCACTGCCTGTACAGGTGCTGTGACAGCTGGACTTGGTATAAAGATCCAACGACATATCCCCATCTAAGTGTGCTGCACGATGGTCGCATCTCAGGGCCAGATGTATAGAGCTATTCAGGAGATCCAATTCAGAAATAACCGTCCCTCCATCGACTACTCCAAACAACGGCTCGAGAATGGCAGCGTTGTTAGCACACAGGAACGAATCGTAAAGGACGTACGTCTAATATTGCATTCAATGACATCGCTCTACCCCGTGGCTAATTACCTCGATAAGGTCGTTGCACCCGCCACGGACGTACCCACCGATTCTCAGCTCTTCGCTTCACCAGACCGTACCAAACCCAATCTCCCCTTTCTGAAGAACCACTTCTTCAGAGAGGGTCGGGTTAAGGAGGACCATGCACTTTGGATCATCGAAAAGGCAACAGCGCTGCTCCGGGCGGAACCGAACGTCCTCGACGTCGATGCTCCCATCACAGGTCAGCATTCACCGCCGGCCTTGTTTACGATCCATCACCGCTGTAATTCACATGCTAACACCCCGGGATATAGTCTGTGGGGACATCCACGGTCAATATGTTCGCCCATCTTATCCGCGTACCGTGCTGTGTAGCTGACGTCATATATACAGTACGACCTCATGAAACTCTTCGAGAAAGGCGGCAGCCCAGAGACGACACGATATCTGTTTCTGGGAGACTATGTAGATCGAGGGTACTTTAGCATCGAGGTACTATCCCTCTCTTGCACCGTCCATCCAGCTCATCTTCTCTTCAGTGCGTGCTCTATCTATGGGCGCTCAAGATACACAACCCAGGCGCAATATTCCTTCTCCGAGGAAACCACGAATGCCGTCGTCTGACGGAATACTTCACCTTCAAAACCGAATGTACGTCCCCGCCATCGCTTTGAACTGATGAGTGTTTACTCGCGTTGCAGGCAAACACAAGTACTCTGAGCGCGTGTATGACGCTTGCATGGAGTCGTTCTGCGCCCTCCCTCTCGCAGCAATCATGAACAAACAATTTCTCTGTATACACGGCGGACTCTCCCCCGAACTTTTTACTGTCGATGACCTCCGAAACGTAAGTCCCGTACAACTCTTGTGTTCTCCCTCCACATATATGGGAATTTGGCCTTCGCCACACTCCGCTGACCCCTCTTCCGATACAGATAGACCGCTTCCGTGAACCACCCACGCACGGGTTAATGTGCGACATCCTCTGGTCGGACCCAACCGAAGATTTTGGGTCCGAAAAAACGACAGAAGGTTTCTTGCATAACCATGTCCGAGGTTGTTCGTACTTCTTTACGTGAGGATCCTCCGTGGCTAGCCAGCTTATCTCGTTGAGTTGTTCTTTTCTTGCCTCTGTATAGGTATGCTGCGACCTGTAAGTTCCTTGAACGAAACAATTTGTTGTCGATCGTACGTGCGCATGAGGCTCAGGACGCTGGGTGAGTTCATTCCTTTTTCTCCCATTTCACTGAACAGTTTCCGGCGCCTACTAACACCACCGAATGATGTCTCTAGCTTCCGGATGTACAGGAAAGCCCAGAACACGGGCTTCCCAGCTCTTATTACGATATTCTCAGCACCGAATTATCTTGACGTATACAATAACAAGGCTGCCGTGCTGAAATATGAGAATAATACGATGAATATTACTCAATTCAATTGCACACCCCACCCATATTGGCTCCCGAATTTTAAAGACGTTTTCGAATGGAGTTTACCATTCGTCGGGGAGAAAAGTCAGTCCTATTTCTGCTTCCACTTCAGTAACATTACTGATGACCATCCTTTGCAGTAACGGACATGCTTGTCGCGGTCCTCAACACTTGCACAAAGGAGGAGCTCGAAGAAGAGACTATGACATCGACAGCATCTTCACCTTCCCATTCTGAAGACAGAAGGCGCGTCATCAAGAACAAGATTCTTGCTGTGGGTCATATGGCTCGCGTGTTTTCCCTTCTTCGGTGTGTCCATTCTTTCTCCGTATGGACGAACCGGTAGCAGTCGTCGTGCTCACGGTAACGGTCGGATTGTGCAGCGAAGAGTCAGAGAACGTTTCTGAGCTTAAAAGTATATCTGCAACAGGGAAGTTACCCTGCGGCACACTTGCGCTCGGTGCGGAAGGCATCAAGAAAGCGATCATGAGCTTCGAAGACGCGTTCGTATCAATTTATCCTCTGTCCTCGTTTTGTACACGCTGCTTACATACTTCGGTCCTTCCTCCCCTCGTAGACGCCGATCTGATATCGAGAACGAACGACTTCCACCGGTGCTATTCGACAAAGTTCCGGAACGGACTTTCCTGACTCGTTCACCGCCTCTGCCCTCATCCTCTGGTATCTCCTCAATTACGAACTCAAACACCCACCCACACTCGCAACCACATTCGCAGCTACACTCGCGTCTTAACCGCTCCCCCACACCCTCTGACGAGGAACGCTCAGGAACGCCCCTCCTCGATCGTGCATCATCGCCCGCAGGAAGTGCATCTAGTATGAGCTCTCCTCCGACACCTCCTCCGCCATCTTTCGCAGCTGTGAATGAGCGTCGATCAAAGAGTCCGTCACCGATGTCCAGGAGTGTGCAGAGTACGATTTCGATGATTCAGGCAGCGTTGGATGGGAAAAGGAGTGGTGGAAGTTAATATATAACTTTTGGTTTGTTTTTAGGTAGGGAGGCCAGCTTGTTCAATTATTCCTATGCACCCCATGCACAACAAAAAGCTAGGACACTTGATATCGGTGTCCAGATCGCTGAAACTCACTGTCACGGGTGAGCACATTCAAACAGGCCACAACAACGACGGAACGTGGACAGGCGTGTGGTATTAAGCGATCAAGCGTATACGCTGATACAAACAATCGACAAAGAGAGAGAGAGAAAAAAACGGGAGAAAGAAGATATGACCCGTGAACACAGACAGCACCAGTTTATATACCCCCAGAGTCCAAACAGCGCAACACAGCAGGAGGGATCCGCATGCTCGAACGAAAGCGCGATAGGAGGTGTGATAGTGTCACGTGTTAGCGTGAGTAGCGTGTTGGTGGTAAGCGTACGCTTGCAATCACTTTGAATGAGTGTTTGAAGTGTCAGTCATATGGTGCGACGTTGAAGTGCCCATCCACTCACCCAATCACACCTCCAAACAAGAACACTCCACTACATTATAATTCCATTTCCGTAGAGGTATTCGCTCCCGAAGAACCGCTCTGCACTCTCAGATGAACACTCACAGCTCTCGTACGTGATTGTGATTGTCCAGAACAGTTCTCGCCTATCGCAGGTGTACGCCGAGAATGCGTTGGCCCAGTCGCAAGTGAGCGGACCCAAACTTCAAGAACGCGTACCAGGAGCAATACAGACACCCTCAGGAAGGTGGGGACCAGACCTTGATGGGGAATATTGCGATCGTGTGTAGTGTTCGCCAACTCGCCATCCGCAGCTTTCGTGTTGCGCCGCTTCATCTGTGTGGTGGTCGACAATTCCACGGCGGATGCATTGTCATTGCGCACTGCTCCGAGTGGTCCTTCTCACTTTGTGCTCCAAGCAACTACAAGTCAGTTGTGAAGCCCATTGGAGGCGAGCATAAGTAAACCATCAGTTTTTGCCAGTGGAATTAGAAAGTCAGCACCTCGCGTTTTCTCTTTGATTGCTCGAGCTCCTCCAGCAAGCAGACTATGTCGGGTCTATACACTTCTTCAAACCTTCTGCTTGCTTCCTCGAGGTTTTTGTCGATTTTTTGACGGGCCCTGCGCCTTTCCTCCGTCTTTCGTTTCAATTCTTGGCGATTTTGTGCCAACTCCTGTTGATAGTCAATTGATGGCGCGTCGAGGTATGGGCCTCCTGTTCTGTGCGTTGCCGCACGAGCTCTTCCCAATGCCTCTCATATATCCGGCACTGGTCAAACGGAGATCACTCGAGTCAAATGTTTTGATTTTCAAGCTACATTGACTAGCTGCAACGTAGCAGTAACAATGTTCGTGGTTCCCAAGAAAGAGTTCTTTGCAGGCCTCAAAACATCAGGTGCACACAACAGTAGCAGCTGTGCACGTAGAGATAGTTATCCAAGCAATGTCAGTGGAAGAAGAAAAGAAGGGCTGAGAGTTGAACAACCAAAGGAGGCTGGGACTGACTGATGGTGTGTCTTCGAGGGCACAGAGCACTTCGTATTTGCCGTAGGCGTTAGTAAGCCAAATTTTCAGATTCTCCCGTTGGCTGGCCGAGACTACTCGGAGATATTGAGGGGTCCTCTTCCACTTTAACGTCTATGATGGTTGCCGCATGGATGGCCTGCTGGATAGGGAGTGGGAGATATGGAGAACAAGAAACTCGCGCAGCTTTTCTTGCTGTTCCTTGCAGTACTCTATGAGCTCCAGCTTGCATGAGGCGGTCTTCTCCCAGTCGAAGAAGACTATGTCATGCCATGTACTGGCATCCATCTACAAGTGAATCGATACGAAAAGATAATATGCGTCGATTGGACCCAGAGGTGGTACGAACCGACGAAAGGATGTAGCGAGATAACGAAGACTAGTCTTAATCCCATAGCTCCAAGTAACATCGGCAAAAGTCCCGGACGCTAGGCAGGTGCTGTGAGACATGACTCCAGAGAGTGACCACACGGTCTCAGAGCTATTACATGGGGCGGAGTGTTGCAACCCCTATCCTCCCTGGAGCATCGTCAGGCGACTCCGGCCCGGTCCATCGGCCCGTCGCGGGAGAGCGTACCCAAGCTCGATCCTCCATCTTTCGTCCCAAACCACTTCCTCGTGGCGCTCCCATCCCTTTGCACCACCTAACACCATACCGCCACATTCTCCAGATCAGTACACAAAGTTGTTATGTGTGTCGCACCAGTGCTTCTTATACATCGACAGGTCTAGCCAAGCATCGAACTACACTTTCCCGTACTTGGTGCCGAAAGTTTCGAATGCGCTCGCTGCACTCATCTTTCGTTGTTGCTGCGCCACCTGATGTCGTTCATCGAACGTACCAAGGGGGATCAGGGCGTCATTTCTGCGCCTCTTGCTCAGCTTAGGCATCACATCGTAGATGAAGCTCAGGTAGAGTCACTGCTCCGGTTGCTAACTCCGCTGTTACGAACGGGAGCGCGCTGAAGTAGACATATTGTGCATCTTGGGGTCTCTGGTTTCCCTTGCGCCAAGCTGGCAGGCCCCTCTTCGAAAGTTTTGCCAAAGTATACAAAGTGCTCTCTCGTCTGTTTCTCACATTCCGTTTCGACGTCTCCCGTTCTGTGCTTGCTGCCGTGTTCAGTCGCTTTTCTATGTGTAGTGGCGAATTACAGTTCATCGCGGTTCTGCCGGACTCCCTGAACGCTTCCCACGAAATGCGTCAATGAACCCGATTTCGTTCGACATCTCGCGGCGTTTGCGACTCGACGATCAGCAATACACAGCACTGACATCGTGTGGTTGGTTATCTGTGATGTACAACGTTTTGCACGCCGTTCAGGATCCCGAGGAAGCCGTCATCGCAGCTTTCACGTTGCGCCGCTACATCGGTGTGGTGGTAGGCAAGTTCCACAGCAGATACCGCTCTGAAAGACGCTAAATTTGTGGTCCAAGCAACTACAGCATCGAACGTTGCCGGAACAGAGTTTACTGTTAATACAGTAACCAGGTAAAATGAGTGTAAACTGATGTGAATTCGACAAAGGAACAAATAAATGATCTGATACTGCGGGTGGAACCGATCCAGCCTGATTTTCCTCTAGTTCCAAGATCAATTGGTGCACGCGGATCCGATGCTGCTCCGTAACACGTCTACCTTGGGTGAAGGAAAAAGCACACACGCTCCGCGGATATAGACACAGCGTTTGAACACGAGGGCTTGCCCACGGGCGGGCGTTGGGTTAACAGGTGGACCAAAGCCATCTCCTGTGTGCACAGGTGGTGGTGGTTCTATCTCGAAAAGACACAGGTTCGATGAAATGCGTTGATTGAATAGTACAAGGAGCTGAGCCGCGAGTATTGTTACTCCCATGGTGCACATACCCGATATTTTGATCGTAGACCGCGCGATCCTGGCCTGTGCGTGGGAAATGCAAGGACTAAGTGTTTGTGTGATTGTTTGTGTGTGTATGTGTATGTGTACAGGTTGTCATCCAATCGCCACCCGCTGCGCCTCCCGCGGGCTGTCTTTCGTCGCGCACCGCTAATCAGCCTCTAAAATAGCGTGCAGACAATCAAAAGAACAGAGTAATAATCAGGATGACTCCGACTCGCTCGTCCCCATCGGCGACAGCCGCAGCGGCAGCGACGGCGACGACGACGACGACGACGGGTGGCGAAGATCGCATCTGCTACTACAAGGGTAAACACACAAACAGATCATGGCAACACCTCCCTCCCGAACTTGTCAGGTGCATGCGCCTCCTTGCCACTTAGTACTTACTTGGCACTGACCACTAGCGTGACAGGTCGATCGCCACCCACCTCCTCATCGACCTCCAGTCTTCACACTACACGCCCCTTACTTGGGACGCAAAGGAACTCTGGCATCCCCGAATCGTCTACACCACTCTCTGCGATGCCCTTGACTTGGAACGTATCATGCAGGTCACTCCCGCTTGGGCTGCTGCGCGTGCGTCCTTCTCTTCTCTTTGCTATCTTATCCCAATCTTTAACCCGCTCATGCACCACACTCCCCTTGTCCAGTCGAGACTCACTTCTTCTGGACCAAAGCATGCACCGTCATCGACCCGCACAGCGTCCTCGCTCAATTCTCTATCCTTCGTCCCAAACCACCACCACCTGGTTCGCCGCCCCCTCTGCACCACCAATCACCATACCGCCATTTTCGCCAGATAACTACACGAAGCTGCTACGTCTGTCGCATCAATGCTCCCTACACTTCCGCAGGTCTCGCCAACGTCAAACGCACCTTCCAGTCATTGAATTTGGGCACAATCACTCTGTGTAGGGAACATCGGAAATCCACATTTTGTGGATTGTGTTTGAGGGAAGCACCCCCCAACGAATGCGATCCTCCTCATCCCCTGCAGCAGCAGCAGCCACTTTTGTCTGCCTTGCAGGTATCGGTACCGATACAACCCTTCCAGACTGCATCTGATGTACAGGCTGGTGCGATGAGATTCGTACAGCAGCAACAACATCACCAACTACCCCCACATTTCCAACCTACAACAGTCCCATCTCTCCCATTCAACCCTGCCCTCATGGTCTGCTGCGCCGAAAACGAAGACGACGAAACCTGGCCTGGTATCGAAACAACTTGTCGGTCTTGTCGCAACGAGTGGCTGTGGCAGAGGATATCCTCGAGCGCTAGAGATAGAGAGGCTGTTGGCGGTCCCAGGTTTGGCGCCGCTGTGTTTCGGTCTCCTTCCGCTAGGTCTCATTCGCATGTCGCGAAAGCGGGACGACGTCGTTCTGATTCTTCTCGTTCGTCACATCATACCCTCGATAGTAGTAACGATAATAACGCGGACAAAGGCATCTCGATGTTACTTACTCGTTCCCCTCCCTTTAAATACGCCTCTCCCGATTGGGAGACGCGTCAGACCGTCGACGCATTCATTGATCTTGGCGAAGGCTCCATCTCTGAGGTGATAGGTGTCGCAAGGGAAAAGTTTTGGCTGAGGAAGGAGACAAAGATGGTCGCATTAATGGAGCAGGCTGTCGCCGCGACGAGGTGGGCAGGAGGGGAGATTGGTGCTGATGTCGTAGTGGGTGGCGAGACTGGGACCGGGGAAGTGGCAGCGCACCAGCAACGCGGACAGAAAGGCTGCTCGCCTTCTCTCCGATCGCACGCATCCTCTCCATATGAAGAAATCGCATCTCAAACCACGTCCCCAAACTCCCATATCTCCCAAGCCCCCCGCGCCATCGAATATGACCACAACCAAGACCCATCCTCTGATGTCGATGTCGATCCTGACCTCGAGGACCTCGAGGAAGAGGAAGAGGAGGAAGACCCGGAACTCCTTTCCCTGACTGAGGATGCCGGCGGTATTCGCGATCTCTCCATTTCCGATTGGGCACGCACGAGGATCCTAGACGGACATTGGGTGAACCCTGCGGATCAGTGGTATGGACACGCGTGGCCTGCCGGTGGAGGTGTCAGAGACGCGGGGGAGGAAACAGAGAGCGAACCGGATTTGGAGGTGAATAGTGCGGTTACTGTTGATGTCGGGGCAAGGATTGGAGGGAGGAAGGTAAGAAGAGTGAGAGCTGTGCATCCGTGCCCGTGGACAGTTGCACCTTCGACTTCCAACCCCTCGTCCTTCTCTGAGGGTTCCCTGAGCGCGAACCCAAATGCAGACGGTGATCCAGACCCAAATTCGAACCACGAAGACACCCGTGATGAAAAAGAACAACAGGAAGAGGAGGACATCCATCCTCGAATGACCACTGTTCGATCACACGCTCCACCCTCGTTCTCGCTCTGCGAACAGGCATACCGCGCGTATCAAAAACAATTGAGGGACATCCTTTTGCCTGCGATGGTGAACCTAGTGCGGAAGATCGTCGTCGAGGCTATGTATGGTGTAAGGGGTTGGTCGCGGTTCGACCGCGATGGTGGTTGTGAACGAAGCTCGCCTGAGGGAGTGGGACGTGGGCAGAGAGGAGTCGTCGACCCCGCTGTAAAAGTCGCAAGGATGGGCATGGAAGAGGTTCTTGAGGGGTTAAGACAACCCGGTGTGTGGTTTGAGGGATATGATTGGGTGGCTTTGGCCTTACCATCCTCGACATCATCATCATCACCGTCCTCATCTCCCTCCGAGCCCGGCGGGAATACGAAATTTGGAGGGGAAACTACAAAAACTGAGGAACGAGAGGAGGACACGAATAGCAGCACGTCAGACAGAAGCGATACCTCGTCGCATACGACGAGTCCTGTATTATCGACGACGACGTTACAGACGACGCCGTCGCCTCCTCCTGCCCGTGGGCAGCTGGAGAAACGAGGAGGGAAAGTTATTCCACCACCACGTGTTCCACGGCCTGCAATATCGACTCGGACGACGAGCCCTTCTGTTTCGGGCTCCGTGACGTCTGCCACGGGGACTGATGCCAGCCCTAATACTGCTACCGCGACCGGGACCAAGACTCCGAAGCCTACCTATTCGCCACCGATACAAATATCCCCGACGTTGGCGCGTCCGAGACTTTTACACCCCATCCCTTATATCCCTGTCACCCTTGCGTTTATGCCACAATTTAGCTTGGAGGCCTTCAGAATGGTACGTAGTGCGCTCTGTTTTTTGTTGTCGGGTAGGTCATTGATCAAGATTTTATTTATTTATAGGCTTGGCGGGAAGCGTGTGCTCCACTTTTCCATTGTCGATGCTCGATATGTGAGCGGGCCATCCTGAACGCGAATGCGAATGCGAACGTGGGCACTGGAAATACCAATACCAATGCCGTTTCGACACAGCAGCAACAACAAGCCCCCGCGCAGAATGTGCGTCACGAGGTGTACCAAGACCAGCATCATCATCAGCAACAACAATGTCCGCCACAAGTTGTGTTAGAAGAGGTGCAACTGCGTTCTCATCCTGAGGTTGTCGCGCATGAAGAAGAGGAGGAAGAGGAGGAATACTACGAGGAAGAAGAAGAGGAGGAGGAGGAGGAGGGAGAGGAGGAAGAGGAAGAGAGTGAAGAGGAGGACGAGCAAGGGGATGCTGATGCTGATCCTCCACCGCTTGCTAGTCGTCATGATCATGGTCGTGAGCATGCAGTCACACCTAAGAAACGGTCCTGTGGTGATTTGGATGCTGAGAATCAGACAGAGGAAGGAGTCGGCGTGCCAAGAGTAGGTACCCCCCCGAAACGGGCGCGTATGGATGCCGTGGTGGTTTCTGGCGTTCTGGACGTGTCCTCTGTTACCCCCTTGCCCACCCATAAACCAGAAGCAGTGGGTTCGGACCCCGCCACAACTGCTGATACTGCGACCCCTCGGCAACGGAAACGGTCGTCTGAGGAGTTGGAGGTGAGCGGTGACGGCGGCGGCCAGACGGATTCCGCTTCGTCAGCAGACAACCATGCTGACCCAATGCAGATGGGCTCGTTGCAGAAACGGTTACGTGTTGAACCTGCAAGCGCTGCTATTGTTGATGCAGGTGGACGTGACAGAAAGACATCGACTCCCCGCTCGTTATCGACGACTCCGCCCTCGTCTGTCACCGCTGTGAGCAGCAGCCTTCCATCCCCCGAAGAGGACCGTGGTAGTGATGACAGGAAGAAGACCAGAGGAAGAGGGGGATGTGTAGATGTGAGTATGCAACGAAGCGGTGGCGCGGGCGTTGTGAAGACAGGATTAGTTATGGGGGGCGAGTTAGATGGACTGTATGTGTTTGAGGAAGTGTGAGCGGCACTATTTTCTATTTCGATATCCTCTTGAATGTGCTGCTCTGTGGGTGCTTTATCCTTTTGACTTCCGATGTTTGGCGATTTTTTCTGTAGTATGTATCTCCAAACCATTGTATAGTATACCAGTCATCTTTGCAGGTGTGCATTTCCCAGTTTTGAACTAGATTTAAGTGCCGAATTTCTTCGGCAGAAGCCTTGATTACAAACTGAGCATGGAATCAAATAGTTTAGAGCTTGTATAGTCAGCACAGTTCAGTTGCAGTTCACTAATTGGTGACAGGCATATGAGGAAAGGATGGGACATTGGCAAAGTTACAAGTAGCCTGCTTGTCTGATCCATCTGATTTAGTCTGACAAACTTTAATTCAATTCATTTGGATCCTTGGCACACCATTCAGCTATCTAGTGTCAGACATCTGGATTGTCTGGATTGTCCGAATTGTCTGCAGCAGACTAGATGTAACTTTCCTGATGTCAGATAGCCAAAAACAGGCTACATGGCCAGAGCCCAAGTGAGTTTGTAGCTGACACAATATGCATAGAGCAGTGAGGTCAACTGCAACAGACTCAGGAGAGGAAACACACCAGTACATGAAAAAAGCATCTACTATGCTAAGGAAATGGCACTAATCAGTCAGGAAACATGGGGAAAACTACTAGAAGCCTAGGCTAGCCTATCTAGTGAGGTGGTGGGAACTAGTCCAGAGGGGTGAGGGTAGCCCCTGAAACTGCCATCTCAAAAGGGTGCAGTGCAGGAATGATATGCATGATGACATGCAGGCACAAGCTACAGGTGGCTGTGTGACAACCAGTGGCAGCCCAAGTCCCATAGTACAGTTGCACTTGGCCAATTAGTCTGGGTAAACTTGTTTAAACCTAAGAAGACTCTTGGTTTGTTCTTGTTTGACAAGTGGTGCACAGGTTTGGCATTAGGTCTGGCAGTGTGTTAGAAATCTTTCACCTAGCTCTACTGCAGCAAATCCTGACTGTTCTCCAGGCACACCTGGCCTTGTTGGCTGAGCTGATTGGCTTGAGCATTCACAGAGACCTGATCCCATATCACACATCCAGGCTCTCAGGAGACATGTGGGCCCGGGAACTTCTGACTGATCATCCTGGCCATATGTATCCACTGTCAACTTGGTATGCATCAGCAAAACCTGGGACAAGTGTCTGGTGCCAGCCAGTACTGAACAGTGTCATAGTGTTCATAGTGAGGGTCTACCTAGACAGTGCTTCCATAGTACTATCATAGTATCCATAGTTTCCCCTGAAGAATCCATAATCTGTTCCAGTGGCACAAAATCTTAGGTTTTCATCAGCAAAACCCAAAGTTGTTGTGCAGTGCAGTACAGCCATCTACAGATGCAACAGTGCCACAGGAAGGTTCCCCACTGTCCAGTGACCACAGCACATTGAAATACTGCATTTAGATCACAAATATACTGTATGGCCATTGTCATCCATGCTTTTTTATTGTTGTGGTAGTTGAAACCAAGAGCCTTTGGTGTGCATCCCTTGAAGCACTGGGGTTTTGCAGACTTGCAGACTTCCCAATAAAGAGTAGGGGAAGCTTTTCACTTCCATCTGCATTGCAGGCAAGTCTAATTGTGATGCAAAACTTGTCCTTCTTCTGAACTGATATTAGTGCCAAATGGTTGTCTACATGTCATACATAGCTTGAGACTCATATCCTGGGGTCACTAAATACCGAAAATTTCCAACCACATTTTTAAGACTTCGGTCATCTGAAATCAAGTTCCATCATTTTTTCCAAGTCAAATGGTATTTCTTTCATTGAATTCCGATGGTGCGTTGAGGAGATATGGTCGACGGAAGTTGCATCAGTAAATTCAGCCAAATTACAGCATGCACATTAGACAGTGTTTGAATGCTCGGCAAACACTGGCAAACATTAAGTGCTTGAAAACCCAGGTTTTTGAACACTTAGCTTTACTGATGTGGGTGCTTTTTTCTCTTACATAAAAAGTCACGTGGCCAACTTGCCTGAAATGGACAGTAACCAAACCTAACCGCCTAACAAAGCCTGTAGTATGCTAATTAAAGCTAATTAAATTGTATGATATAGATACAAGTTTGAGTCCGAGTTGACATACTTTAAACTCCGAGCACAGGTGTTCTTAGTGTGACTGATGACAAATTCGAGCGAAGTTGGAACATGTGGCAAGCTACAACACACACCCTCTCTAGTTGCAATTTCGACCTTTTTTTATATTTTCTCTACTGAGGGATGTTCTGTATTAATTCCTCTACATTTTACTTTATTTTATTCAATTTGTATGTACGGTGACAGAGAAGTATCTCTCCCGGACCCTGTGAGTTGTGCAGCCACTCAGGTGCACTTGGGGTCTCACATAGCCACCTGAAAAGTCACGAGCATTATTTTGAAAACCACTGTAACACCTACGGTCTGACCACAAGTCGAGATCGGGTAATGAACAAAGATATGGGTGTCAACGCATAGCTACATAATGGGGAAAGGGTAGGAAAATATCGAACGACCAATGATCGCGGCCTGTCATTTATTGCACTGGATGAGGTTTCCGTTCTCGGGCGTGACCCAGGTACACGACTGTGCATTAGACTGCCATTCATGCAAGAGTGTAGCATACCGCTCTTGTGTGCAGTGCATCTGATCAGCGTCTCAGCGATGAAGGTCTACCCTTACACAGTATTGCGAGGGGAGCTCTGCCAGTGATTGCCCGTTATATCTCGCCGTGAGGAAAGCCGTATAGGTTTGATGGCCAAGATCCTGTTTCCTTGAATTTTGATTGGCCGTGGTTCACCTATCTGCGCTGTGTCAGCCAGCGTGTGTCAAAAACACGGGGCTTCCATCCTCCAGTACCGAACCAATTTCTCCTCCGCACATCACGCATCATGGATCAATTCCTGTGCTGTCAGCCCATCGCTACAATCTCTTGCTGGTGCAACAGCTATCAATGACAAGTAGACGTACCTGTGTCCTCTTCCACTTGAAATAACGATTTCTTGTGAGTGGATGCCGAACGTGAACCACCAGATCCAGTTGTCCGATTCAATTTCCTGTAGTGCGGACCATCACAACGGCGAAGCAGGGCCTGAGGCCTCAGGGTTTGTCTGTTCCCTTTCCGCTGGAAGGCGAACGAGACCAGCAACATGTGGAATTATAGCCATTCAACTTTCTACCTATGTACTCGAGATCGACATGGCCATACATGCAGACCAAATGTGTCCTACCAGTGGGCATGTATTGCTTTGAACCAAATATCTACGTTCTTTATTCGTCGGCTTTGGAGGCTTGAGGCATGGAACGGGGGTGGAACTTGACATGGCTCAGACTTGTTAAGGAGTGAATTTGGGAAGGTACCCATGCATGTTTTGTTCTCATGTGTTCCCAAATTCCCACATGAAGGGATCGGAGTGATCCCAAATGCGCTGAGTATAGTTTAGTTCCGTGTCGGTCGCGCTATGTGACCGCTGGGATTTAAAGTTAGGTTGAGTTCAAAATATTTTTTGTACCAACAAGCAGAGAGCCTTCCTGGAATGAAGCAGCTGGCGGCTTCAATTTTTAATCGTTCACATTTCCTGTGCTCAACGCTCAGCATGTATACAATTCCTAGAGGGAGTCCCATGTATGTGTGTACGCATGTTTACAACCATGGAACCTCGATCGAAGGCACGCAACCAACGCATGGTGGTGCACCTTTGACTGCTAGGGCTAGGGGAGAAACTGGCCAACTCACCAGCGAACGGTATAAAGCGGACAAACTTGCAGGTCAATCATGTCTATCTGCAAGGAGAATTTCTTCTCCAGACTCTTTCGCCGCATCTTCGGGATGAATCCACCGCCACTCAACCCCCCAACTATCTATGGTCTGTTTACAGCACTCAACGACTGCTTGCCAGAAACACAAAACACTTATCGTTGGGAGGCCTATATGACAGACCGCGAGTTTCCGGATTCCTCTCTGTGTTTTGTTGACAAAGTCACCTGGCACAAGTCTTATTCAATGGATCAACACGAATTTTTGCGCTTTGAAATTAAAGCGCCCGATGGCCCCCACCGAGCAATCGTTGTCGTTGACAGAACGGTCGATATATCATCTATTGCCAAGATGTCAGCTGTGGCCCTAACTTCTTCTGGGTGTTGTACATCGTCAAGGGCATTCACTCAGGCCGCTGTTGATCAAGTGACTGCCGCAACTATGGGCACTCCATGGGGGGACAAACTTATGGACAACCACAATTGCAGTCTTGTTTCTACTCTCACATTTTCTACATGTGCACCCTCTGCAGATGAACTGTCCACTCTACTTGCACTCATCTCGGAATACCGCGAAACATACCATCTCATTGATTCCCAGTGTTTCTGGTATGCGAAAACTGCATTCAAAGCTCTTGTAGAACTCTTCAACGGCAGCGAGAATCCGGCAGACGAGGACCATGGCGGAGGCAAGATACATGGTTCCAAGTTGCCGTTGCCTGGGGATGTTCATCACATTTGTCGTATATATAAGGAGCGACGAGAAGCGTTGCCCCCTCACTCTGACCGGGTAAGTCGACCGTGTTTCCCCCTGTTGATCACGTGTTGAATACAGGTTCAAACAGCTCAGAAAGGGTCACGCAGATACCACGATGCAGGTGGATCTACAAGGATCAAGGGAGGACGCAGATAGGTGTGAGGAAGAAGCAGAGAACCATCTTCAGGTTTTGGAGGCAAAGGTCAGCGAATTGGAAGCAAAGCTAGAGGCAAAGAACCGTGAATTGGAGGCAAAGAACCGTGAGCGACAGCAAGCTTTACTAGCCTCGGAAAATCGGGAGCAGCAACTTTTGCTGGAAATGCAGGTGTTGAGAATCCAGCTGGCGAGGGCGGCAGAGAAGGCTTAAGGGAATAATCGATGAAGCCTTGAAGAATGAACAAGGAGCAGGTTAGATGTGCTACTCTATGACGGTCCTAATGATATGCCGCTCCCATACATACATCTTGCTCAAATCGTGTATCGTGCTGTAACCATAAGTTAGTTTCCCGGTAATCCATGCACGCTCCATGTTTGATTTTACCCATTTCAACCTCCAGTCGTCGCTCTGAGACCCCTGAGTCGTGTACATGATTCTTCAGCAAAGTCGACATTTTGCGACTTAGGTTTTGAGCAAGGCCTCCCCCCTCAGGTTTGGGCGATTGATAAGGCTCCTTACCTGACGCAGCTGTGGATCTCGGTACAACTACATTCTCTGTCGACGCTTCGAGCTTAATGCACACCAATCTGGTGTGATAGTTCATACAACAAGAACACCGCACGCGACAACGGCACGTTCAACGTCACCAACTACACGCATACAGGTGCGCGAAGAAGAGGTTGGGAAGACAAGTACTCTTCAGCCGACGAGTTCGCCGTCGGTGCCACTACCAGCATCAACTGCGCAGTTACCTATAGCTGGAGAATCACCAAATTATCACCTGGGCCACGTACCTTCGGTAGGGGTACAGGCAACACCGAAAAAAGTCTTGGTTTATCCTGGAAACCGTCCAGGGCAGGTCTAGAAAATTTTGGTTCCGACAATGAATCCTTTGCTACACACTCCTTTAAGACATTACACAAAATTGCCGCCCTCGTAGAGCAATAGCGGGAGCGATTCTTCTCCCAACGGTGTCGAAGCACGTGAGCGTTCCCAAAGCGAGGTGGAAGGACAGAGGGATTCTCACCGAAGTACCCGTATCGCCATAGCACCTAGTGCATGCCTCGAAACGACAGTCAAAACGATCCGATAATCAACATGTTGTGTTTGTCTGGCAACACGCCTGGTGAACGTCGACGTTTCCTTCCCCTCCAATCGGAGGGAGAACCACTTCGCTTTCGGGAGAAATACTGACCGCGTAATCGAACTTAATCGCCTATGTTTCTCACGAAAAACAGAAAGCTAGGACGGCAAGTTCAACTTCGCACCGATTCAGATATGATAACCGCAATGATTTGTACGCGTTCTTGAGCTGGACGTCACGCACTGAGGGGCTAATCCGGGCGGGGGAGAAAGCATTTATGGGATTCAGTGCTCAAACTGTCAGGTTAACTTAACATCACCTACCAAATCATACGCGTCGAGCACGCCGCAATTCATAATAGGCTAGCAGAACACGTGTCGGTCAGTTTTTTCAAAGGATAGCGGAAAGAGTGGACCTCGCTGTGGTAGAAGTCTCGTAAAGCCAACGCGCTATCCTCGTGTTGGTTCTGCAGCAATGTATAGCGCGTACATTGTAACACACACATTCCCTACTAGAGAGGAGAGGCATTCAAAATGGAGTAAGAAGACGTACATCCTCATCCTCCAAATGTCCGGCGAGTCATCAGAATTGGGGCAATATCAGATCCTGGACGGTATGAAAAGCACCTGAGTCCTTGCCTAAATCGGTGTTACGGGTGATACTCTATTGCAGCCCTAAGAATGTCGCGCTGCCGTATCCCAAAAACTGTGATTCTTGAGATAAGTAGAGTCTAGAGGTACGTTCATTGCTCTGGAACTTGATGACGTTCAGGTCCTCTGAGAGTCGCCGCCGATTTCCGAGGTGAAGTGGTCCTCTGTTTGGCAATTGTTTGGATTCTCGATCATGTAATCATTTCTCGGATCACAGGCGGCTGTTCCGTTCTTATTGTTACCAAAACTATAGTAGTATTAGTCCTGAACCAGTCAGAGATGGACGCCTCAAAGAGCCCCCCACCTCTCATGAAGGCTGCACCCAATACCCAATGCCACCCTGACAAGTCGCTCCCCCCTTCTCCTCCACCTTCCTCAGCTACCCGTTCACCTAGCCATTCTTCCAGCGGGTCTTCTTCAAGGTCTGCGGTCAGGGATGCTAAACGTCAGCTTCCAACAGTTAAGGAGCTCATGCGTCTCCTTGCTGTTGAGCAGGACACAACCCGTGATTTACAGCAGGAGCTCTCCCTTGTCACCTCTCAGCTCGCCTTTGAACAGGACCGTGCGGATACTGCCGAGCGTAAACTCAAAGACGTCGTCACGCGCCTCAAAGATGCCAACGATGTTCGGTTGGTTGCCCAAAGTGACGTCGCGAGGTTGACAGAGGAACTGCGGTTATACAAAGTGACGTTTGAGGAGGCGCAGAAGGAAATATTCAAGGCTCAAAATGTCTTGCAACAGGTAGAGGATCAGAGGAGAGAGGCGGAAGAAGAGGCGACCAAGTTGCGGAGGAAAGTTAGGAAGATGAACGAAGAGAAGGTGATTGAGCTGGCTAGAGAACAAGGGAGAAAGCAGGGGTTGCGAGAAGGCATCGAGATGGGCAAGGACATAGGTTACCTCAATGGAAGAAACAAGGGATACGTCACCGGACGTGCGACTGCTGATCGTGTGGCGGAGAAATATTTTGTCGCTCCCGACGACAGCGAGGCTCGCAAGTCGCGCGGCGACCTCGCAGAAGAGACTGAGCCCCCTTACACAGCAACTACCACTCACTTCCCTCCCAGCAACGGCAGTAGTTCTGCACCCACTCACCCGAACGCGAACCATGGAACTCGCTCTCGTTCTCGCAGCCGTGCGGCAGCAGCGTCGTCCTCCGCGCGAACGACCATGTACTCGCCAGCAGGAATGCACTCGGAAATTCTCTCCGACGGATGGATTCCTGAAGCTGATTCGTCTCTCCTCATTCGACTTCCCGCTCCCTACGAATTGGCTAGACCGCCTCCAACCCCGACTACAGGTTCACCTGCATTATCTAATAGATCGCGTTCCCCAGTATCACCTCGCATCCCCGTCCCAGTTCCTGTCGAACAGTTTCTTCATATGGTTCCCGAACCGCGACCGCCAACTCAACCACCAACTGAAACCCACGCTGACCGGCGGCCACCAAGGGCTCGGCGACGGTCCTCTGGTGATAGCTTAGGCTCTTCAACTCGTACATCCGAGCTTGACTTGCTCCACGCACCGGAGCATGTCACTCGTAGTAATCCTGCAGGTGGTCTCAGTCCCATCCTTGAGGCGAGCTTCCAGGAGTCTCTCACACCGTCCAGCGGCAGTGGCAAGCGGAGTAGCGAAGATCTCGTGGACGAGGTGAGTAGGTCGCCGAGAAAGCGTGTTCTCAATACCTTTGGTCTCAGGCCTCATGTCCTATTCATAGAGTGGCTTCGTGCACGTGTCGATGCCTAAGCCTCGTACACATGTCGAAGTCGCACATTCAAATACATTGAGGTCCCCTTCTCAGTGTCTCTCTGTCGATCTGAAAGGCGGCTCTCGTCCAGCGAGTACGTCATCGTCTGGGACCTTCAATATCGTTATTCAACCACCGGTACGTTCATGCTTGTATATATTCGGTAGATCTCCTGTGGGATTACTCATTTCATACGCAGTCTCGCCCAGCTTCGAATAATTCTCAAAGTACGATTTCAGCAACTCGTACTCATCTTCTCAGCCCAGCGGATGCGGATCGGCCAATGCCACTTCCCACCCATCTGGAAGAAACATCGACTACGGACCCTATATCTTCGACCGACGATACGATCCCTATTACTCTCCCCGATGGTGTTCTTCCCCCAGGTTTTGTCCCTACAGGCCCGCCTACGCCACTGACACATTCGAGTCGTGACACACGGTATACGGCCGCGGGTGTCCCGCTCCCGCAGTCGACGGTCGAAACGTACCATCATCGTCTCCCCTCGTACGGTAGTTATTCTGGAAGCACTGTTGCCGCAGGCCTTCCCAATGGCGGCAGTGTTAAAAGTGGTGGGGATACACCTGCTGTCATACCACCTCCACTGGATAAGTTCGCGCGGAGAGAAGATTCAGACGATTCGTCGAGTGACGCTGAGTCGCTTTCCACTACGCCCACGCGGTACCGTGTGCCATCGAATGCGAGATACACACCCTCTACTACTTCATACGGTGGGGGTGCTGCGGGAGTTCCGTTACCGCCATCTGGGTACACGGCCGCTGGAATAACTCTTCCTCCAAGTTCTGTCGCGGGAACGCCGTATTCGTATATGAGGAGTCCGGGTGTCGACGCATTGTATATGAGTATGAATGCGAATGCGGGGACTACGCCTGCTGCGCTGGGAAGGGTAAAGTCGTTCTCGACTGACAGGGGTACGTCGATCAGAGGATGACGAGTATCACACGATGCGGCCCTTGTATGTCGTGATGTCTGCTATTCTATCTGTGATAGATCCGGTTTTGAGCAGGCTCTCTCCAGACATTCCCATTTATACGATCTGGTGATGATTTATTGATTTCACGACCTAATAGTTCCTGTGATCACGAGTAGCTTTCTTGACGAGAGCTGACGTGTTCCTGAATGAACTCACCACCATATTGCATAAAGTACATCGTAGCATGTGTATTATGATCATACGTCCCAGAGTTGTCCCAGCTGCTAAACGCTCTAATGACCGTATGAAGATCCTAAGCCGAGTCCCAGTACTTGGCATTTCTTTCCAGAAAAACATCATCCAACCCACGGGTTCCATCTAGACAGGATTAATTCGCTTGGCGAGCAGTGCCCGCTTAGCTCAGTGGTAGAGCGCGCCACTCGTAATGGTGAGGTCGGTTGTTCAATCCAGCCAGTGGGCATTTCTTTTTATGGATGACGCTTTTTTTGCCACTTCTCACGAATATTTCGGAGATCCGGCCCGTTGAGGAGGACAATACCCCACCGCGTAGTAATGAGAATGTTTTTCGTCCCTATCACGTTGTGATTGGCGTAGTGGACCCACTGCCGCCGGCGTGTTGTGGCGCACCTCTGTCTCCACGCTTGATATCGCACTGGACGCCATACACGATGATGGACGTACGTAACCGTAGGTGAGTTGAATGAAGGTTATTGCCAATCTAATCAAGTGTCAGAGCACAATGGCCACCCCCTTCGCAGGGTTACTGAGCACCGCCCATGTTCTGCCGGCAGCAAGGGGACAATGGGAGCCAAAATCAAGCGAATGAAGCACTTCTCATCGTCACATGGTTTCCACAAATTCCACCTCTGCGTTGTCACACCGACTCGGATGTGAACGTTTCCAAAGCGGGAGGGAGCCAAAATCACACTTCTCATCGTCCCTGGTTCTTACAAATTGCACCTCTTCCTTGTCACACCGACTCGGAAATGAACGTTTCCAAAAGCGGGATATGACGGTGATGTAGCTATGGTGGTAAGTAAGTAGTAATGGAGCATCATCCATTCGGAGGGGGAGAGAGAGAGAGAGAGAGAGAGAGAGAGAGAGAGGGAGGTGTACAGACAACCTGACCTCCTGTCATGGCAGAGATAGAAAAACTTGGAAACGGTCGCCAACGCTCCAAAGGAGTGCTCGGGGCAGTCGAAAGAAAGCAAGGCCAGGCCTCGTGAGGAAAGTAGGGAACCACCGATCACGCTTGTGTCACAAAGAAATGGAAATGAAAGAGTATTTTGCTATCGCGCTGGTATAAAAGAACGGTACCCTCCCCCAAACCTTCATCTTGATCATCCACCGACTTCGTCAGTTGTTGCACTCTGTGCCACTCGTCCCGTTCCGAGTCTGTATTCTTGTTGCATCAGCGAAGGAACACCGACACCTTCCACACGGGCTGCTCTGCTGTGCTGATATCCTCATTGCTTCCTCGCCCCGCTCGACGCATTCTTCTATCCATTCCACTGATCGGCTCATTCCTCAATACTTGCAACGACATACATCAATTCCATAACCGATTCATTGACATCATGATACTCACCACTCAACATCCACGGACGTCCACCAAGCCACTGGCCGGTCCCTATTTTCCGGATCTGTGCAAGCGCGTGGTACGTCTTGGTGTTTGCGACGCCATTCCTCTCGTATACTACTACTTTGAGCTGATCAATCGAACGGTTAGCCAAAACTCACGAATTCGACGTGGATGGATGGTTCACATGTGTTGACTTTTGATGAGCAAGAAATGATAACTACTGCTAAGGCGGCGGCGGCGGCAGGTCGTCTGGGATGTATCGGTACACCTTCTCCTGCATTCGGGCAGCCGTGCCATACGCCTGCTGGTTTCAGTGCTCCCGAGTTCTCTTCGACGTCTTCCGATTTTACGTGCCCTTCTTCGTCGCCAACAACAGCGCCCTCCACCCTCATCTCCGCTGAAGAGCAGACTGAACAGGACGACGCCGAGCTCGAAGAGCTCATGATACCGGGGTGTCTGCGTCGGCAACTGCTCTCGGCTGCTTACGCCGACGCGCTTGGTGCTACTGCTCCCGCCTCTGCGAGCATGTCCGCGACTGTCGAGGAAAACGGGAAGGGAGTGCTGGACGCACTCGCAGCCGAAGCTAGTCATCGAGGATCATCCGATGATGAAAACTCCACCGAGATCGGGAACAAAGCTCCGACGACGCCTTCGGCGAACACGTTCGCCCCTTCCTCTACATCGGACACCTCTCACTCAGACGAGTCCGTTGACATTCGTACACCTTCCCAACGTGTTCCGTTTAAGGTTTTGGAGGAATGTAGGTCTTGCCCGTGCATTGATGACGTAGGGGACCTGCGTTTCGGGCAGGGGGAGGAGTTGGAGAGATTGAGAAAGAAGGCGCCTCCTCCACTCCGTTTGGGAGACGATATAGTAGCAGAGGAAGCGGATGTGGAATGGAGCTGTGTCTTCTTAAAGGAAGATGCCGGCGGTGTTGATGCGGATGAGCGCACTCTCGTGTGTAGTGAGGTTAGTGAGGTAAGTCGGGTTTTGCCGCGGCGTGCGGACGTGCTATAGATGTGCTCATGTCGAATGATAAACAGCCGTCGAGTCCGTGGCTAACGTTGAAGAATACACTGCTCCCGTTGGTCTTCAAGGACGCCAGCAACGACTACAACGGTATATGATGCACATGCACGCACCCACGATGATCGGTAATGGTTTCCACTCGGTTATTGCTGGACACTACCCTTTGTGTGATCACCACCCTGATAGCTGGATATGCGCGTGGCGGATGGGAGCTCACCAGATCTGGAAGAGTGTCTCGTTGTAAGATAGTAGGCTGTATATCTTGTGTTTCGGATCTGTATGATGTTGTGAGTTTATGTGCCTGGAAATACTAGTTGTACTGCGCCGCATGCGGCTGGGTATATCGCGACTCGCTGATGGTCGGTATCATGGAGGGTTGGGTGATCTCGTCTAAGGACAACCGGGCTCACGACGGGGCTCGAGTGAACACGCGAAAATTAACTTATACATATAGTTACTAAGCCTATAGATAATACTGGGTACAAATGCTCAGTTATCGCTACAAAGTCGAGAAGCGAGTCCATCCAGATTAGAGGATGATACCTGCCGCTTCGCTCAACCACAACAGTAACCTATCCTGTGAGAGCGTAAGATGCCTTAGCAAACATGGATACACATGTTCACACGGACCTTTTCTTCCTCGGCATCGGCGTACATAAACCAACTCTGACCGTGTACAAATTGGATTGCAAAAGAATGGGGAATCGCTCTCAGCTCTTCGAAACCTTCGTACCACTCGTGTAGACCCTCTGTCCGGTTGTCTAGCTCGACGACGTCGATTGGATGTGCAGTGTCCTTTGGTATCTGGTATCAGTTAGGTCTGGCAGATAAGGTTGCCGAGGTAAGCCCACCACGTGGTTTGGGTATAACAACATTTGGCCGCGGCCAAGGTCGAACTTGTAGTACCTCCGTTTCCATGCCAGTGATTCTGGTGTTTGTATGGTAACCCATCCGCGAGCGGCTTTCGCGGTATTGTTGTTGTTGAGGAGCGATTCGCCGAGTTTGGCAATGCGATTGCGTCTCTCCTCAGCGGATCGTCTGCGCTCTTCCTGTTTCTCGCTCGAGGAGGATATCGCACGTTGGATGTGCTCCCGTCTCCACTGGTCTAGTTCCTGGGTATATTCCAGGCGTCGCTGATATGCCAAGAGCTTCTGCTGGCGTATCTGTTCATGACGTTCTTCCTCGATGCGCTTTTCTTCCTTCTCTTTCTCTTCTCTGCGCGCGGCAGCCTGCCGGAGGTGTTCCTGAAGAAGGGCACGCCTGCGTTCCTCCTCTTCTCTCTCTCGGCGCTCTTGTTCTTCCCGCTGCAGTTTCCTGAGTTCCCGGCGGGCGCGTTCTTCACGACGAGCCTCTTCTTCCTCGCGTTCGCGTCGTCTCTGTGCTGACAACCTTCGTCTCGCTGTCTCCTCGGGGGTAAGTGGTACTGTGGGGATTGCGACGTGCGTCACGTAAGGTCTACGTGGGAGGGCATGGATGTCACGGGGAGGTGAAGAAGGTGCGGTGGAACTGGAAAAGCGCTGGACTTGGGACGTGTCGACGTCGTTGAATCTGAGGGCTACTTTTTCATTTACATACTCGTCGTGATCGTCGATGGGTGCTGGGAGTGGCTTTGAGCGATATCTGGCAGTGTTAAATGAAATGTTCTGAGTGATGAGTGAGCGAAGTGTCCCAAGGACATTTAAGATAGCAGCTGACCAGGTCCTTCGGAGGCGGGGTGGGTGGCTGCGGGGAGGGCACCTCGCCAGCGGGTGCCGGGTGTCGTCGGAATGTAAACCAGTGTGCGAGGAGGCTGAAGGGACGTGGCATGGGATCAGATGGACGGGGCGATACCAGACAGGTGAATATAAGGGGACATAATGTTTATCCATGGCAGCGCAGACAATGACATTACCCATCCCATTGATTAGCGACAGCAACAATAGTCTACCCTATACAGACCGTGGGAAGATTGACTCGAGTGAGATACAGACCACGTGACACCCTCTCTGGCCCCCGGCTTCGTTCGCACCGAGTGACAGTACTTCAAAAGATGTTCGCTCTCGCCCTGCGCAGAGCAGCAGCAGTCCAGCGACCCCCACTCACACCCAGCCTCCGCTGTCTGGCATCCCAACCAGCAGACAAGGGCTTGCATCAGACACCTCCGCCCTCACATCTCCCGAGTCTCGATTTTCAGCCCTCGGAGCCAGAACAGACCCGCACCGAGAGAACGGGTGCAAAGTCTTCCAAGGACTCGTTGTCTTCCATAGAACGGAAACGACGCGTCTTGGCTCGATTGTCGCTTGGCCTCATCGCCGTCGGAGTGGGTCTGCAGCTCGTCTATTTGGGACGTCAATGGGACGAAGAGGAACTCAAAGCCAAAAAAATAGTACGGATGACGACCCACACTGTCTTTGTCCTTTCATTCATTTTGGCTTCTTCAGAAACCTCAGGATGCTCCATCGACGCGATGGGGCAGAATGAAAACCCGCATTGCGGATGTATTCGGCGTGCGTATGGTTGCCCGAATCCCTTCAACGTGTCTGTCTCAACCTCCCTCTCTTCCACAGTTGTTCAGCGAACCTGTGTGGCCAGAACTATTACCCCCACCGCTCCCACCACAATATCAGAAACCTTACACAATCGTTATTTCACTAGATGATCTATTGGTAAACTCCGTCTGGGACGTGAGTCTGATCTCTTTTCGGTCGTCTTACCATTGCGCCTAATTGACTTTGACAGCGGCAACATGGCTGGCGAATAGCGAAGCGTCCCGGCGTGGATTATTTTCTTGCATACCTATCTCAGTTCTATGAAGTCGTCATATTCACCTCTCAGTATAGCTACGTACGTGTGATACGTCCCAGATAAAACAATGTCTGGGCCCATTTAACTGTTCTTTCCACAGACTGCTCTTCCCATAATCGAAAAACTCGATCCGTATGGTTTCTTCATTTCTCATCGACTCTTCCGCGAGCATATGCGGTCCACGACGGGTACCGTCGTCAAAGTGCGCGTTTTATGATATTCGTTTTCGTCAGGTATTCAATTGCTATGGACAGGACCTCTCTTACTTGAATCGTGACCTTTCCAAAGTCATCATACTCGACACCGATCCCGATCATGTGTCCACCCACCCCGAGAACGCTATCATTTTACCCAGATGGACCGGTAACCCGGGAGACAAAGGACTTGTAGCTATGATTCCCTTTTTAGAGTGTACGTCCTCGTATTCCTTTATACTGCATGATCTCAGGCTGCTCACGAGCTCTCTCATCGCACAGCGATCGGTATATACAAACCTCAAGACATCCGTCCCATTCTCGAAGCGTATCATGGCAAAGATATTCCAATCGAATATGCGAAGAAAGAAGCCGAGGCTCGTCAACAGCATATCGCCGAATGGACGAAGAAGAGAAAGGGTCTTTCCACTGGAGGGTTTACTTTCAGTTCCTTGTTTGGAGCTAGCGAGGTCCGTTTCGTCAGTTTCTCTCGGGTGGCCCTGTGCGATGTGTGAATGATGAATGCATCTACTGTCCATAGGTCTCCCACTCTCCCATTCCACCGACCTATCTGGAGCAGAAACGAACAGAGGCACAAAATATCTACCGACAAGAACAGGCGTATCTCCAAGCGAACAAGGCGACCCTGGATAAGATGCTGGAGGAACAGAAGCAGCAGGACGCAAAGGAGATGTCGGGAACGTTGTGGAATATGATTGCAGGGAGGAAGCAGGAGGATAAGGGTGCGGTTGGCGGTGGTGCAGCCGTTGGAGGAGCCAATGGACAGACGCAGAACGTGGAGAGTCAAACGGCTGCGCCCACGCAGACTTAGGTTCCTCTGTGTAAGTGTCCGTGCGGAATGGAAAGGGAGGGAAGATTACTCTGGAATTATCACGATGCTCTCAAGGCATGGTCAGTACTCTGAGTGTATGGTCGACATGGAGACATGAAGGTTCCGCGGCTGGTACGGTAAGTCCAGGCATAGGATTCTATCATTGCGGGTGGAATTTTTGTTGTTAGTTGGTGGCGATTGTGGCTGCCCGGAGTGGTTAGAGTAAATTGGTAAGTCTGTGTATGCAAACTGCGAGGAATCTGCCATAAGAGAGGGATGGAATTCATGGCTCCTCAGAGCGGGTGGGAGAACCTTCTAATTGACCTTTCCATTCTTTTTCCGACCTGATTTTGATAGTTGCCAGGATAACAGGGTAACGAACAGTTCAAGGTATTCCGTGCCGGTGTGACCAGGCATTTCGCTGGCACACGGCGAGAATGCAAGAGGTCCGGTAGAAGTATAGCGGTGGGATTTACTTGGCAATCAACTGTGAGTTGTGTCATTCTGGACGAAACACGTTACTTCAACCTTGTTGGGCAGATCTTGTCGAACTTGAATTAGAACGCCCCGAGGTTGATTTTGGGTGTCATGGAGATGTTGAATGAGGGTAAGAACTCGGGCCGCGACGGCGAAAAGAGACGGCTCTGTGGCAGTTGACTCATGGGGTGGGTCCTTTCTTGTGATAATAGGTTTTCTCCTGTCTTCGACGTTGTCGGTCTACTAGCAGCGTAACAGGCAAAGTAAGTCATGCACATCGACGGATTATCGAAATTTTGCTCGTTCGCTGGTGTTGGCGCGGGGGTTGCATTTGTAGTTGTGTACCTATGCAGAACGTATACCTCGGCTAAAGTAAGATGATGTCCTTTCTTTTCGATAGGTGGATGTAGCTGAGTTTGTGAATACTTGCTCAGCTGGATCGCATACCTACAGTTGGATCGTCTGGCCTACTAGGATTTTATTGGTCCGCGATTCGATTCCTGACGCATAGTTTGGAGATTGTGCAGGAGGGTTATGAGAAAGCAAGTGTTTCCCTCCTCCCTACCTCATCATTTCCATCGTAGTAAGTATATCGCTGCAACGGAAATGCTCAACGTAGTTTCCAGCACAAAACAGGCATATTCAAAGTTGCCGCTTTGACCCATTGGACGGTCGTCCTGAACCGATCTCATTTGGATGATATAGCGAAAGTCTCGGACAATGAATTGTCGTTTTTAGATGCGGCGAACGAGGTGAGAGATATTGCACGCGTTAACGCTGCAATTGCACTCATGCGTGTCTACGTCGTTCGCACCGTCGTATTTCGATCGACGCCGGGCACATTGGTGCTGGAAGAATATCCAAATCGAGTATACACTGAGCCCAGCGATCCATGATGATCCGTACCATAATTTAATCCTCCGATTGCAGTTGACGAGGAATTTGGGTGCCATATACCCAGACGTTCGGAATGAGCTAGTCGTTGCGTTTGGAGAGGCATTGGATCTGAAAGGGGACGGTGAGGTTTTTAGATCGAAAGTTCGATGGTGAGGCGTTGATATAAAGTCGACGTAGAGTGGAGCAGCGTCACGGCGGTTGAGATGGTTCGGAGCATCGTGTGTAGGATCAATAATCGGGCGTTCGTCGGTCTTCCTCTTTGTGAGTCGTTGCTTTCGTGAGTGCATTACGTAGACCGGGGTTTTGACGCCAGGGATAACTTGTGAAGGTCGGGACCCGGACTGGATCGACTTGAACATCCAGCTTACCGTTGCTATCGCAAAAGAAGGGTTCTTGTTGATGTGGCTCCCGAAGTTTATCATGCCGTAAGTCCCTGTTTTTGGGTCTACTGACCTTGACGGTAAGACTAACGTATCCCCTATCTAGCTTGGCAGCGAGATGGCTCACGCGGAGGACCGAAAGTATCAACCGCGCGGCTCGACATCTTGAAATTACAATCGGGGACCGCCAGAGACACATGAAAGAGTATGGTAAAGAGTGGACTGACAAGCCCGTGGGCACATCTTCGTCGCGATGCGCCTTCCGACACTTACTAGTTTCCGCCAGAACGATCTCTTGCAGTGGTGCATGGATGAAGGCAGGGAAAGCTCCGTGGACCAGTTGACGGTGCGTATGATGGCGATTAACTTTGCTGCAATACATGTGCGCGTCTATATCCTTGTTTTCATGCGAGTGTTTTCTGACTTGTCGACGTGGCGCAGACTACCTCAAACGTACGTTTCGTGTGTCATGACAGGATGGCTGTCTCGAGCAGGCGGCTGACTTTGGTAGGGGTTTGCACAAGCGCTTTTCTTTTTAGCGACGGACCCGCAGTACGCGGAGGTGCTCCGTGAGGAGGTCGAAACAGTCGTGAAGATACATGGGTGGACGAAAGAAGCGCTGACGCACATGCGTAAAGTAGATAGTTTTTTGAAGGAGGTCCAGAGATTCGAAGGACCTGCCATTCGTGCGTGTTTTTTTTCCCCTCCTCCCTGCTGTTATTCATACATTTTGTGCTTGTGCTCATCCTCCTATTCTCGGGCGTCTGGGTTTGTTGGTTGGGGAGCAGTTGGCGTTCCCCGAAAAGCGCTGCAAGATGTGAAACTTTCAGATGGGACTGTGATTCCGAAAGGAGCCTTCGCGGCTATCCCGACGTACGCGATTCACCACGATCAAGACATTTACGAGCATCCAGACGTATTCGACCCTCTGCGGTTTGTTCGATTGCAGGATGCTAGGCAAGGTCCGGAATCGAGGTTTCAACTCGTCGCTGTTAGCCGTGATTCGTTGGCATTCGGGTTCGGAAAATCGGCTTGGTACGTATTTGATCTCGGAACTTTCCTCCTTTTTCAAATCACTCGGTTAATATACGGCACTTGACCCGGACGTAGTCCCGGCAGGTTTTTCGCCGCTGCAGTTATGAAGAGCATGCTCGCACATGTGGTGGTGGAGTATGATGTCAAATTGGACGACAAGGATAGATCTTCCCGTCGGAAGGGAGTTTGTTTTGGCCCCCATCTCGTTCCAGATCCTGAGGTTAGGGTCTTGTTTCGGAAGAAACAATATTTGAAGAAGTCCGCTCAAAAATAGGAGCATGTGTTGTAATATGTGATCACTCAATTCACTCACGATTTGGGTTGCTTGAATGTTATGCAAAAGGACTTCCAAGTGCTGTCTCCATTGTCTTCGAGCGAGGGGAGTTTCAGCGGTTCTCGTGGGGATGGATCCCGTGGATAGGCTTCAAACCAGAAGTTGCAGCCTGTCAACGTTCATCCTCAGATCACTATGAAATTTTATTTAGGTAAACAAAATGCGCAACTCCATGGTATGCGACTCAATTACTTTCAACCAGGGCCATTATATTTACTGGGATCAGACGGGTCATCACATGCGCCTCACAGTTCTAGAGCTAGTATTCGCATGCGGCCCGACTCTAAATTGGGTAGGAAGTTCTTGATCGCCGCTTCAACTTGATGGTCTTGGATGTGTGATAGTCAAAGTTGTTCTTGTGTCGCCGGCGTGTTACACGTATTTGTTGTACCATAGCGTACCACTGACAGCAACCCTTTCAACGGAAAAAAGTAGGTGTCAATCATCACGACTCTATAGTTTCTGACCTCTCTCCCAAAGTAGACACTCGCATGAAATGCTCAACAGTACCAGGACCTCCGTGGAATCAGGTCTTCAATGGCCTCATCTTGTCCCCAGTTGACATGGAGATGCGCCGATGTACCCGACGACTTACGAACCATGAGTGTGCTATGTGATTTATCACTTGTAGAGGATGTCGGTACATCAGCGCATGGGAATCGCAATTTGCCCGTGCAGCGTGGCAAAGCAGAAGCCTCCGCAGTCGACTTTCATCATGACGTTCTTGAAGGTATATCGCCGCTGCAATGAGCGACAGACTGTTGTTGGAACGAAGAGTGCCAAGCGTGGAGTTCAATGTATCGCCGTGCCTGGTTGTTCATTTAAGTCCGGTTGGCATGTGGCCCTTCGATCAGACCCTTTCTTTAGGTGAGTTCGCGGAGTAAGGCTACCTTCTCCCACAACGTCAATGGTTACCGCTTGAATTCAACCGCTATACATTTCTTTTTAGTGAGGTGGCCCAGTGACAAGCGCCTAGATTCCATCCGGGGTTCCACACGTTTGTAGGCACACCGGCACCATTTTCTGACAAGTCTATATAGACTCGTGCTTCTCATAGGTTCCTCGTAAGTCCTTTAGTTCGTGCGTGCCGAAGGCCATCACCTTTCTGCCGTTCGCCACACATGTCTTCCCTTCTAGCCTTCCTCGCTCTACTGGTGGTCATCTATGCAGCATTGGCCTTATTTCTTAGACGGAAAACGTCTTCGCTTTTTCCTCCCTCGGTTCCGAGCGCTCTACCCTGGATTGGGTCTGCGTTGAGTTATCTATCTAACCCCAAGGAGTTCTTGGCGCGTTGCCAGTGAGTATCTTGCTTACTGATCAGGGGCTCTAAACAGATGTTCCCCTCACAGAAAGCAGTATGGTTCAGTGTACAAGTTACTGCTCGGCGGCCGAGAAGTTATCGTTTTTTCGTCAACGGCTGCAATTTCATCTGTCTATGCATCAGAGGACGCTGCGCCACAAGCCATGCATAATCAGATCTTCCGTGCGTTCATTGGACGCTACCCAAAAGACACTGGGTTCAGCGTGGAGAAAGCGATTTTTCCATTGCTGGATCAAGTTTTTTCCAAGCGTTCTCTAGAGGACCTGGTTCAGCCACTCGCCCAAATGGTATTCGCGAGAGTCAGGAACCTTACTCAAATGCGGAGTACGCAAGTATCACTCATGACTTTCCTTGCGGAGCCACTGTACTTTGCAGTCAACGTCGTGCTCTTCGGGAACGGGTATCCCTCTGACTCCTTTGATGATTTCCGCGTAATGGATGAGACCATGCCTGAACGTTTCTTTGGAAAGCCGTATTGGTTTTTGCCCTCCGTTCGAGCTCGTAGACGCTTGATCCCCCGGGGTATCGACTACGTCCAGAAAATGCGGACCTCGACAAATAGTAGTGCGCTGGGCTCGGATTTCATCCAAACTCTGCAAAAGAAGGGTGTCTCTCCAGAGGAAGCAGCCTGCCATCTACTTACGTTTTCGTGGGGTCTACATGCCAACACCCAAGGCACAATATTTTGGTTTTTCCTGTTCTTGCTTAGCGATCCGGTTGCTCTTGCTGCTGTGCGGGATGAAGTTGACAGAGCTATCAAGCACGAATTCGGAGACTTACATGGGTTCTTGGTTGACGCTAATTTCAAGAATCTGGATGGGCCCTCCTTCACGCTACTCACATCCGCAATAATGGAAGTGATGAGGCTTACCGCCACGTTCATGGGCCTTCGTACCGCCACCTCTGATTTCAACCTGAAGGACAGTGATAAGCTAGTCCCGGTACGGAAGGGAGAGTATCTTCTGGGGAACGTCGATGCCGTCCATATGGATGACAGCGTATACCCCAATAGCCATGCCTTTGTGTATGATCGGTTTGTTTACTGCGAGGGGAAACTCAGGACAGATGGAAAACCATGGTTTTCTTTCGCTGCTGGGAGACACATGGTATGTTACTTGCCGGGTACCCGTAAACTTAGTTCTTATATTCAATTTCTTATGAACAGTGCAAGGGCAGGTACCTTGCCATGTATGAGCTAAAAGTCTCAGCGATACTATCGCTCTACCTGTTTGACATTACACCAGTGGGAGGGCCTCCGCCGCCGTGGTGGCCACCAAGATCGCAGCGGGTAAATCTTGGTTTCCCTCGCATGGAGGATATCATAGTTCAGTTGCATCCCAGAGACGTGGCAGAAGGTATTTAGTCTCAGGATCGTTCGCATGGGGGGAAATGTTTTTTTTTTGCATCGTTTGCGAACAGCTTTATGTGGAAGTGCGCTGGAAAGTTTATTCTACATAGCATGTCGAGACATCACGCTCGTTGCCAATCACACAGAGATAAGGTGCTGGTGTTGGCATTCATACTGGTGGGTGGCATCACAGTGATGTACATGATGGATCGTTGGTAGCTTGCCTTAGATAAGAAATACAACGCACGAGATATTATACATGATAGCTGAGGTACATATGTGCACAAGAGCCTAAAAGGAAAATATGCGGCCACAAATTTGGATCATGTTTGGGGAAAAGAATGATGTGCCCGCCAACCCAAGTACAATCAAGCATTTGCCCCCTCCGCCACGTGGCACCAATATCTGCCAAGTATGGCAATCCCTAAGCAGCCAGCTGGATTTCACGATACTCCATACCTTTGTTTTCCCTTGCACGTTCTGCGGCCCAAAGCGTTAGTCATTACGCTCCAAACCTTTGCCGCAATACTTGGATTATCCAATCGTAGTGTGGTGGAATAACATGCTTTTTTGCGTTCATCACCTGATTGACGGGATCGGAGGGTGGATGCCTAGACTGGGTTTCCCCCCCTGCTATTCAAAATACTGATCTTCCACACGCTTCCAACAAGTATGGGAAAGCTCGTGACGTAGCATAGGAGGTTTTTGCGGAGAAGTTTCCTCGCTGACCTTCCAATTTCACACGGGACACTAAGATTAACCTGTCACTGGCTTGCTGGTGGGTTCCACAAGTGCCGCGTGGACATTTGACATGGTACGCATTTTCCGGATGACGAGCGACTACTCCCTTGGTGACGATCAGGGTAAGTCGAATGCTTATGTAGACGTTTTCAAGCAGCCATTCCCAACTTCGACCGCCCATTCGCCATGGGGGATATCTTATTTTCCTCCAGTCTCTTGTGTGTGGGTGTTAGTGCACTTGTCGCTGTAGGTGTATACCGAGCGTCCGAGTCTCGAAATGTAAGGCTCCACCACCTTCAAACAGGAGGCTCTACTCACACAGTTCACTTAGCTCAACCACATCCCGTCCGTGGGATCATTTGGTCCACTAGGCTCATATTGGACTGCAATTAAATCTCTCACAAATAGTCCAAAGATAGTCCAGGAGGGTTATAACAAAGTAAAGCCGATCTTCATAATGCCTGCTCGTTAACTGGTCACGGTACAGTACAAGGCAGCCGCCTTCAAAATCCCTAATTTGGGACATTGGGTGGTCGTTCTAAATCGCGATCATGTCGATGACATTATTAGGGCCTCTGACAAGGAGTTATCTTTTCATGCGGCCATAGATGATGTGAAGTTATTCCTTCTGTCGTAGGAAGCCCGCTGACGGATATCTTAGTATGTCAGACCAGTGTACACTTTTGGCCGTCAGATTATCGACGATGCATACCATTATTCGATCATGAAATCACAGCTTACCCATGACCTCTCTGCGGTTTTACCGGATGTTGCAGATGAAATAGCGGCTGCACTTGATGAAACATTGGACCTAACAGAAAATGGTTACAGATACAATTGCGCTGGTTGGTTCCAACTGATTACTCATTTTCAGAGTGGAAGTGCGTTCCGGTACTGGAAACTGTCGAGAAGGTCGTTTGCAGAGCAGCCAACAGAGCATTTGTCGGTTACCCACTTTGTGTGTGACTGGTTACCTAGCATTATGTTTCTGTCTTACGTGGTTTTCACCAGGTCGGGATTCGGATTGGATTGAGCTGAATATGCAACTCACCAATGCCATCATTAAAGAAGGGCTTATCTTGTCCCTCTTTCCCAAGTTCATGCTGCCGTGAGTTCCCTCTGTTACTTTCGTGTAACAAAGTCATAGACCATCTTCGATTCCAGACTAGCAGCAAGATTTGCAACGAAAACTACCAATAGGGTTAAACACGGAGCTAGGCACCTGAGTCCCATAATCACAGAACGTCTGAAGCGAATGGAAGAATACGGAGAGAAATGGACCGATAAGCCTGTGAGCAGATATGCTTCATGCTGGCACAGATCGGGTTCACGTCTCACAGGATGACTTCCTACAATGGTGCCTGGATGAGGGAAAGGAGATGTCTGCAGATTTACTAGCTGCTCGTATGTTAGCCATCAACTTTGCCGCAACTCACGTGAGTGGCTTTGCTTTTGGTAATAACCATATCGTCCTTACCACAAGCACAGACAACGTCAAATGTATGTATTCATCCCGTTGCACGTGTCTGCCACAAACATGACATCGTCAGACTTTCGCCCAAACGCTCTATTGCCTAGCCGCAAACCCCCAATATATTCAGCCTCTCCGAGAAGAAGTTCAGACGATAGTCGGCAAGGATGGCTGGACGAAAGAAGCGCTGGCTAAATTGCGGAAGGTTGAAAGCTTTCTCAAAGAAGCGCAGCGTTTTGAAGGCAATGCTTCTTGTGAGTTTGTTTTAAAGTGCTTAGACTGCCATGGCACCCCTTTTACATTGTCCACAGTGGGTATCAAGCGAAGAGCCCTGAAGGATATCACTCTTTCCGATGTAACGTTTATTCCGAAGGGAACGTACGTCTGTGTTGCGTCTCATGCCATTCATCATGATCCTCGCATCTACGAGGATCCCGACACCTTTGATCCCTACCGATATATGAAGTTACAAGAGAAGCAAGGCGACAGTTCTCGATACCAATTGGTGGCCGTCAGCCCTGAGTCGCTAATGTTTGGAATTGGGAAGGCAGTCTGGTATGTCCTCGGTCTACGCTGTGACCGACTCTCACCGGCATTCCTGTGGGCACAATCAGCCCGGGAAGATTCTTCGCGGCGATGATGCTCAAGCTCATGTTTGCGCAGATCATCCTGTCGTATGATTTGAAGCTCGGGGATATTTCCTATTCAGCAAGCGTAGGCATTGGACCAGCTATTGTTGCCAATTCTTCTGCCAAGGTAATGTTACGTAGGAGATCCGATGAATAGCCCAGTCAGTGCCGACGGCTGTTACCGGTGGGCGAGGGTTTAAACCAGTACAGATCCGATGAATAGTCCTGTCAGTGCCGAAGGCTGTTACCGGTGGGCGAGGGTTTAAACCAGTACACATTGCCACTACTGGATGTACACGATCAGTACATAGAATTTAGTGCTTCTAGGCACGCCGGCTTACCTGAGCCCAAATCTTATTTGAGACGGCTGTGGGAAATTTCACTGAAGAGTATGTTTGCATAGTCTGGCTACTCTTTGACAATTCTACAGAGATATATTGGGTGATTAGTAAGAATGGTCGGAAATTGAAAGTTGACTGCCAGCTGTGATAGGCTCATCTTACACGACGATGAAGAAGCGCATCTCCACATCATTGAAGATCCCTCGTACGAGTCCTGCTGAGACCAAACATACCACAACGGACCAAACGTTATCTACCATCCTACATAGACAAAACTTCCGAGCCAACCCCAAAGGAGTCCTCCACATGTGAGTGGAACCCGCCGACCAGTGTGATCGGTGGTCATAAAGAGTTCACAGACCTGGGCCTAATACAACAAAGGCACTCTCGGTAGCCGTCAGTGATTTTGATCTCCAACTAGCCCTGCTTAGTATAGGAAACCTCATCCTCCCTCTCTATTCGGGAGTATCTATCAGGATGGGCACGACGGCACACCACAGCTGCCGTCACGGAAGTGGTAGGTACATCATCGCACATGTGCGCATAGGGGAAGGGACTACATCGTCCAGTAAGCAGACTCTTGGCAATGGAAATGCCAGTGGTCCCTTAGTCACTACTTATCGATGTCTGCCCTAGGATCGTGGAACACAGGATCGAATTTAGGTCAGTCTGTGCTCTATTGACACAAGTGGAAAGTGAAATGTTTCAGAGGGGTTCTCGATATCAGAACTATCATCACACACCCCCATTTTTGTTTCTAGACCGCTCAAGCACACAACGATCATGAATGAGGACATTGTAGAGATACAGGTTGGATCAAACAATGGTCTGATATGAGGAAGGCAGGTGATTTTCTGTTTGCATTCAGTGAGATGAATTTGATGGGAGGTTTGCGAGCTTGGACTGACATGATGCCCATGCAAGAGTTGATACAAGGAGGGGGTGAGGCCGAGTGCGATAAAATCGTGTTTTACGGCCGGCCATGCGACCGCAAGTGTTTAATAGCAGGTGTTGATGTGCGCCCATAGATAAGTATGGCCTGTCCAAAGGCAGTACCAATGATATTGCAATCACAATGCATATAATGGCCGAATACCGCTGACTGGCATTTTCTGTAGCCGTCAGAGATGACGTCCGTGATGGTACCAAATCTTCGATTGTGCAGATACCATACACTTGCCACCAGCAAGTGCAAAGAAGCCAATGAGTGTGAACGAAGACATGGAAAGGATTTGCGGAACAGATGAAACAGGCCGCCAGCATTCAATTACATGTGGACCGGAACGACGTGACTAACCTCGAATAGCAATCGATCTAATCCTCTAAAAGATGCGAACCCATCTGTACGGCAAAGCAAACAGAGATGTCCAGGAGGGAGAATGCAAAGACTAGCACAGCGCATAGTGGCAAATGGAGCCAACACGGCAGAAACATCAACTTAACCAATTATGCACCCTCCCCGCATACCAAAAAAAAGTAGGTGAGGGCGAACTGGGGATGGACCAAAGAGCAGTACACAAATTCAGGACACCTACTTAATATACGGAAGATAAGCAGCCGTTCCTAACTTCCCCCCCCTATTCACCATGGCTGATATCTTATTTTCCTCCACTTTCTTATGTGTGGGTGCTGGTGCACTTGTCGCTGTAGGTGTATACCGAGCGTCCGAGTCTCGAAATGTAAGGCTCCACCACCTTCAAACAGGAGGCTCTACTCACACAGCTCACTTAGCTCAACCACATCCCGTCCGTGGGATCATTTGGTCCACTAGGCTCATATTGGACTGCAATTAAATCTCTCACAAATAGTCCAAAGATAGTCCAGGAGGGTTATAACAAGGTAAAGCCGATCTTCATAATGCCTGCTCGTTAACTGGTCACGGTACAGTACAAGGCAGCCGCCTTCAAAATCCCTAATTTGGGACATTGGGTGGTCGTTCTAAATCGCGATCATGTCGATGACATTATTAGGGCCTCTGACAAGGAGTTATCTTTTCATGCGGCCATAGATGATGTGAAGTTATTCCTTCTGTCGTAGGAAGCCCGCTGACGGATATCTTAGTATGTCAGACCAGTGTACACTTTTGGCCGTCAGATTATCGACGATGCATACCATTATTCGATCATGAAATCACAGCTTACCCATGACCTCTCTGCGGTTTTACCGGATGTTGCAGATGAAATAGCGGCTGCACTTGATGAAACATTGGACCTAACAGAAAATGGTTACAGATACAATTGCGCTGGTTGGTTCCAACTGATTACTCATTTTCAGAGTGGAAGTGCGTTCCGGTACTGAAAACTGTCGGGAAGGTCGCTTGCAGAGCAGGCAACAGAGCATTTGTCGGTTACCCACTCTGTGTGTGATTCGTCACCTAGCATTATGTTTCTGTCTTACGTGGTTTTCGCCAGGTCGGGATTCGGATTGGATTGAGCTGAATATGCAACTCACCAGTGCCATCATTAAAGAAGGGTTTATCTTGTCTCTCTTTCCCAAGTTCATTCTGCCGTGAGTTTCATCTGTTAATTTCGTGTAACAAAGTCATAGACCATCTTCGATTCCAGACTAGCAGCAAGATTTGCAACGAAAACTACCAATAGGGTTAAACACGGAGCTAGGCACCTGAGTCCCATAATCATAGAACGTCTGAAGCGAATGGAAGAATACGGAGAGAAATGGACCGATAAGCCTGTGAGCAGATGTGCTTCGTGTTGGCACAGGTCGGGTTCACGTCTCGCAGGATGACTTCCTACAATGGTGCCTGGATGAGGGAAAGGAGATGTCTGCAGATTTACTAGCTGCTCGTATGTTAGCCATCAACTTCGCCTGCAACTCACGTGAGTGGCTTTGCTTTTGATAATAACCATATCGTCCTTACCACAAGCACAGACAACGTCAAATGTATGTATTCATCCCGTTGCACGTGTCTGCCACAAACATGACATCGTCAGACTTTCGCCCAAACGCTCTATTGCCTAGCCGCAAATCCCCAATATATCCAGCCTCTCCGAGAAGAAGTTCAGGCGATAGTCGGCAAGGATGGCTGGACGAAAGAAGCGCTGGCTAAAATGCGGAAGGTTGACAGCTTTCTCAAAGAAGTACAGCGTTTTGAAGGCAATGCTTCTTGTGAGTGTGAAGTGCTTAGACTTCCGTGGCACCCCTTTTACATTGTCCACAGTGGGTATCAAGCGAAGAGCCCTGAAGGATATCACTCTTTCTGATGGAACGTTCATTCCGAAGGGAACGTACGTCTGTGTTGCGTCTCATGCTATTCATCATGATCCTTGCATCTACGAGGATCCCGACACCTTCGATCCCTACCGATATGTGAAGTTACAAGACAAGCAAGGCGACAGCTCTCGATACCAATTGGTGGCCGTCAGCCCTGAGTCGCTAATGTTTGGAATCGGGAAGGCAGTCTGGTATGTCCTCGGTCTACGCTGTGACCGACTCTCACCGGCATTCCTGTGGACACGTTCAGCCTGGGAAGATTCTTCGCGGCGATGATGCTCAAGCTCATGTTTGCGCAGATCATCCTGTCGTATGATTTGAAGCTCGGGGATATTTCCTACTCAGCAAGCCTGTGCATTGGACCAGCTATTGTTGCCAATTCCTCTGCCAAGGTAATGTTACGTAGGAGATCCGATGAATAGTCCAGTCAGTGCCGAAGGTTGTTACCGGTGGGCGAGGGTTTAAACCAGTACACATCACCACTACTGGAAGCACATGATCAGTACATAGAATTTAGTGCTTCTGGGAGGTGCTTAACCACCCAAACGCAGTGTAATTGCGCCGGCTTACCTGAGCCCAAATCTTACTTGAGACGACTGTTCAGTTGAGTGAGCCGAAGACGCGGGATCTGATTCGGGGAGTGGATTGCGTGAACACCAGAGCAAGGTTGGGCAGAGGCAGATCTTCATGTCGGATGCACCACGACACTAAGGCGAAGCGCCAGTCCGGAATTAAGGGAACAGTGACTAGCAAACTGACGACCATTCTGTGAAAATATGGGCATCGTACTCCGCCTTATCATGTATCTACTTGCCGGCCGCTAGTGTCTCAATCGTAAATGCGAGAAGGGTATGCAGGGGATAGATGTGCACAGCGTAGCTTAGCCGAGACGTTTGCGTGGTTTTTCAAGGTCGGTGAACTCGGGAATACATGTGCGGGAAGAGCATATGTACAGTGGCAGACTGAGTCTCAGATTCATAGAACCGTCACCGGTCATTTTCCCGGCCATTTGGTGCGCACGTCGAGCACAAGTTGCAACCTTGCTCGCGTCGAGCGACTCGAGTACTACTAGATATGAGCCAGAACGCGTAGCTGCGGACTTGATTGCACTGTTGACGGTCTGCGGCACCCCCCGTGGGTTCGTTGGGAGCCCCTGGCGGTTACCAACCTCGTTTTGGGCCTTATGTCCAGTCTTCCAGATAGGAGACCTAATACCACAGGTCTGGAACTCCTCAAAGAAACATCACTAGAGCTTCCTGCAACACGGTGACGTCTACAGCGAGACGGCAGGTTAAGCGCTCGAGGCCAATCGAGAGTGGAGTCGGATAATTAACCCCACTGGCAGTGAGCGCCTGGTATCGATTTTTCTATCGGCTCCTTGATTTTCGCTACCCCAGTACAGGCTGGCGACGTCGAGCTCCACATTTGAAATCTCCCTCACTGCGCGATGGTCATTATCCCAGAGAAGTCCGAACTTGCTCACAATGGCGTTGATGGCGAACAGCCGCCTGCATACGATGCTATTGAGGAGCTGCATCCAGCCAACCCGTCCCCGTCATCCGACACATTGTCATCTTCACCTCATGTGGCCGCTACAGGTTCCTCTAGCAGCTCAAACATTGTATCAAGTTCAAGACCATTTCTGAATCTGCACCTGTCACACAGTGATGGAGAACATTCTTTGACTCCCCGTCGCTCTGCCGACCTTCTCACAAATTTACCAGCTCGTACTGGCCGAGCTCGCCTACAGAAAGGCCGTCAACGTCGCAGCAGTTCATGGCTCTCCTTTCTTCCATTCACTTCTGCGCATTCTTCTAAGCAAATCCGCCAGTCAATCCTAACAATCATCCACGATCTCGTCGTCCCGCCGAACCACTCTAACCTCGGTTCCCCACCAGATGCATACGAAATCCTAGCCTCGTGCTCTAACACTTGTGCTGAGCACAAGCTTCCTCTCTCTGACATTGTGCAGGAGTTGTCTATTGCAGATCACACCCCGATGTACTGGGCAATTGTCAACTATCGTGAAGCATTGCTAGTAGCACTGCTGACGTTTGCCGAGAAGCTTGGGTCAGTTGCAGTGTCGGACATACGGCGGGCTTGTCTTGTCAGTTCAAACCAATCCTTGTTCCATGCCCTCCGCGCGAAGCGGCCGCCTTTTCACGGCATTCACGGCCTCAGGGTCCCCTCGTTGCACGCAGGTATGCACGTGCGCCCAAATTTATTTGCAAGATGACGTATGGCATGCTTCTGCAGCGACTGAATCACTCTTACTCGGCTCACGGCCTCCCGACGAAGTCCGAGTACAGGAGTCCAGTCAAGATGGTGCGTTCATTGTAGGTTTCGACGTCATACTCTGGCAGCGACGAATGCGCGCTGTAGGCAGAATTAGCGTCGAGTTTATAGTCTCTGGTAAACGAAACCCTCATACTCCCGATACTTCTTTGATGACCACTCATTTCAATTGGCAGGTCGAATGTGGCGTGTTACATTCTTTTCTACCAACGCTCCATCTTTGAACGGAGCACGAGGAAAACTCAATCGTGACACATGGCATGTGATGGTCACACTACTGGAATCCAGCCCACCTGCTTACCTCGACGCTCGACTCATCATTGATGTTCCACCACCCTCACCCCCACCACTCAAATTACCTTGGTCCGACCGGCAAGGAACGCGAACTACACTTCCACGTCAGCCCATTTCACCAAGAATAGACAAAAACTGGCAAAGTTGGCAAGCCATGTACGATTACAATTATGATGGAATGACCGAGCGTCGATTTTCGTCTTTGCAGGGGTATTCCATGCCTCAGGAGAAGCCATGTCATCATGATAAGGGTCCCACCTTTGCACTTTCTCATCCCTCTTCCTCTGCTCCGTCGCCGTTGCCTCCTCCCGCTCATCCGTGGGGCGCTAACCTACGAGCACAGACCCTACCGGTAGTGATCACAACTACACCGACATCAACACCGCCATCTCCTTCATCACCATCGCGATGTAATATTCCGCCAATTAGTATCCGTTTGCGATCCCAAGCACATAAACTTGCTCGGCATGGGAGGCCAGCATTTGACTCTCCAGGTATTTCAATCTTGTCTTTCTATCTGGCGGAAACATGAACTTCCTAAAGATACCTATGACGCATTGAACACAAAGGTGGAGACTTGGTCTGACAACGGCGTGAGTTACACTAGCGCTGTTATTGCACCGTTGGCGGAGGGTGCTGGTTCACAGCTACTGTATGAGTGAGTTCCGGCATTGTGCTTCCTTTGGTTTCTGGTCGGTCATCCCTTTTATAGGAAATCACCATACCTGTTCGCTGACGGAACACTGCGAGCGCGCTTGGAAGCAAGGCTGACCAAGTCGGAGCTGACGAGGGACTGCATTATATGTTGATCATACCTGATGTGTCGCATTTCCGGCATTGAACACAGGTGGCTTCAAGAGGCATTCAGAGAAGGCGCAGCCACGAATGCTGGGACGAGTCGTACTTCCTCTTTCAGGCCTAGTAGTGAGAGGGCCGTATGGCTCTCCGGGACCGTCCGGCGAGGTGAGCTTGTCGAAAGCGCCAGGATATGCAAATGTTGCCTTGCTACGAAGAGTCAATAGACGTCTTATGTTAGTGTATACTGCAACGTTGATATTTAAAGATGTGTCAACAGGTCGGTCAATTCTATTGCTGATCAAGACGTTTCAAGGGTACAACAAGCGTGCGAATATGCTGCTCTTCGGCAGTTGCGTGTGGGCGACCCACCTCTTGTTCACATTTCCGCCCGAATTCTGTGCAGTTGTCGTGCTCAACAGCAGTCTGGCCCACCTTGTCATGTCATAGTATGACGTGATATTGGAAGGAATGCTTGCGACAACGCTCGGCACTAATGCAACTACGTATTAATTGCATCTCCTTTCGCAACATGATTTTGGCAGAAGGATTGGCAGCAATAGCTGGTCCAATGCATACGCTTGCTGGGTAGGAAATATCCCCGAGTTTCAGATCATACGATAGGACGATATGCGCGAGCATAAGCTTGAGCATCATCGCTGCAAAGAATCTGCCAGGACTGGAAACTAGTGAGTCGGAGCGCGAGTCAGCCACACTGTAGACCGAGGACATACCAGGCCGCCTTCCCGATTCCAAACATCAACCACTCAGGGCCGATGGTAACCAATTGGTAACGAGAACTGTCGCCTTGCTTCTCTTGCAATTTGATATATCGGTAGGGATCGAAGACATCGGGATCCTCGTAGACGCAAGGATCACGATGAATGGCATGAGACGCAACACAGACATACGTTCCTGTTGGAATGAACGTTCCATCAGAAAGAGTGATATCTTTCAAGGCTCTTCGCATGACACCCACTGTGGACAATGTAAAAGTGGTATCTCAGAAACGCTTTAAAGCACACTCACAAGAAGCATTGCCTTCGAAACGCTGTGTTTCTTTGATAAAGCTTTCAACCTTCCGCAATTTAGCCAGCGCCTCCTTCGTCCAACCATCCTTGCCAATTATTGTCTGAACCTCCTCACGGAGAGGCTGAATATATTGGGGATTTGCGGCTAGGCAATAGAGCGATTGAGCGAAAGTCTGGAAATGTCATGTTTATGGCAGACATGTGCAATGGGATGAATACATACATTAGACGTTGTCTGTGCTTGTGGTGAGGATGGTACTGGTTATCACCAAACACAAAATCACCCACGTGAGTCGCTGCGAAGTTGATGACAAGTATACGGGCGGCTAGTAAATCTGCAGAAGTCTCCCTTCCCTCATCCAGGCACCATTGTAGGAAGTCGTCCTGCAAGATGTGAACTCGATCCGTGCCAAGATAACGCACATCTACTCACAGGCTTATCGTTCCATTTCTTTCCGTGTTCTTTCATGTGCTTTAGTCGCTCTATGATCATGGGAGCCAAGTGTCCAGCTCCGCGTCTATTCCTATTGGTAGTTTTCGTTACAAGTCTTGCGGCTAGTCTGGAGTCGGGAAAGACTCATGACTTCATTGCGCAGGAGATGGGCAGAAGAGACTCACGGCAGCATAAACTTAGGGAAAAGGGACAAGATAAGTCCTTCTTTGATGATGGCATTGGTGAGTTGCATATTCAACTCAATCCAATCCGGATCTCGGCCTAGTGAAAATCAGGTAAGATGGGTACATATTTCTAGGCGGGGAATCACACACAGAGGGGGTAACCGACAAAAATTCTGTTGCCTGCTCTGCAAACGACCTTCTCGACGGTCTCCAGTACCGGCAAGCATTTCCACTCTGAAAATGAGTAATCAGTGTGAATCAACCAGCGCAATTGTATCTGTAACCATTTTCTGTTAGGTTCAATGTTTTGTCAAGTGCAGCCGCTATTTCATCTGCGACGTCGGATATAATCGTGGAGAGATTATGGGTAAGGCGTGATTTTACAATTGTATTTTGGTATGCATCGCCCATAATCTGAGGGCCAAAAATATATTTCGTTTTAATAAACTAGGTCATCCGTGCCTCAGCGGGTTTCCTATGACGGAGAGAAAACACCTACGTCCTCTAAGGCCATATGGAAAGACAGTTCTTTGTCAGAGGTCCTGATGATGTCACCGAGATGATTGCGATTCAGCACGACAACCCAATGACCTAATGTAGGGACTTTGAAGGCGGCTGCCTTGTGCTATATCGTGACCAATTAACGAGTACGCATCACAAGGAATGGATTTACTTTGTTATAACCTTCCTGAACGATCTTTGAACCGCTTGTGTGAAATTTAATTGCGGTCCAATATGAACCTAATAGGCTAGACGATCCCACAGATGGGATGTGATCGAGCTAAGCGAGACGTTTGAGTAGAGCCTCCGGTTTGAAGGTAGTGGAGCCTTACATTTCGAAACTCAGACGCTCGATATACACATGCAGCGACAAGTGCGACACCAGCCACCCATAAGAGGTTGGAGGAAAATAAGACATCCGCCATGGTCAAAGATTGGATCGAAGTTAAGAGCCCGACTGACCGCTTAAATACATATCCGATGATCATTTAACTCGCCCAAATCGCCATAGTGATCAAAGGAGTGGCCACTGTTATCCGGAAAATGTGTACTCCGTAGACAACGGAGTAGCACGGAGTAACCGCAGTTTCCTGCCCGATACTGCAAGGTCGGTGAGTACTTGTCTTTGCAAAAGCCTTCCATACTACGTCGCAAGTTTTCTCGACGCCATGGTGTCGGAAGCGTGTGAGAAGGTGGCGCGATAGATCATGCCATTCGCTGGAGGCATGCAGCGTCGTGTGAACATCATCATCGGTGTTGGGCATCTTACTAGTTGCAGTGTGCAATATTGTTCCCTGCCAAAATAATATCTAAAGATTCAGAAGAGTTCCAGGGCACACGAATTCACCGACATCGGCCGCGCTGATGATTAGTAGCGTTCCGAGTTGACGAGGTCGACGTCACCGCTGAGTTATCCACGTGTGCCGTTGACTTGGGTGCTACCATTGAAGCTGAACAATCCTCCGGCGAAGTTTTCTACCATATCAAATAGAAGTTATATCGGGGTGGACATCTCACAGCTGGCAAGGGATCCCCACAACCTAAACTGGTCACGTCCTCAAACCACACTCGCAGACCATTCTCGGAGAGAACCAGAGAACCAAGACAAGGCGTGACCCAGAACGAATGTGACGTTCTGTGCCTTGGGTACAACCTGTAATAGGGCTGATCATATGTGGTAGAGAGCCCTAAGACAGTCCAATCGGTGTCGCCCCTGAAGCTAGGATTCACCTGAGCAAGTAGAGGGTCACCGAGCCACCGACAAACCATGACAAGCACCAGAATAGCGGATTTCCCGTATTCCGTATCCTCGGAGTCGTCGGAGGTGCAGCGATGACAATGACCATAGGATGATGCTCGTGCGTACATCCGATGCAAACTCCTGGGATTTTTGAACGTTGACCCATGGATTTTCAAGATATACGCGACCAATGTGGCCCATCGAAAACCATTAAACTCATGGTCAACAAGGCGTGAAATTCCTAATCGGGAACTTATTTATGCGCAGTCTCTGGACACGAGCTCCATCGCAACTGGTAAGACAATCTGGAGAAGGGCTTGGAAATGTATTGAGATTCTCCCCCTTGATTCCCCCCTTCGCTTCTTCCTATCATCGACACGAGAATCGCCGATCGTGTGGCAATGTAAGGAGGAGACCACGAAGTACCACTTATAATTCGGTTTCTCATTGTATTGCACTGTACACGAACGCTAAGAGTCAGGGGCAGGAGATATAGATAGACAGAAGCTCACACAAGTTGAGTATTCGACAGCGACGTCTTCGTCGTTCGACTGCATCGACACGAGCTCATCCTTACTTATCACTGTCCCTGCCAAGATCCTCTTTCCGCCCCGCCGAGTGAGACCTGCCCAGTTTCAATATGCGGCAAGGATCTTTATGCGCGCCACCTATGACTGTCACCTCCGATGTTTCCCGAGTACGTCGCTACTTGAAACTTGTCGCCACGTGTAGTGAAGGCAACTCGTCGACCAGATACTTCTTGCGATGTTCAGGAAGACTTGTCGGTCTGAAAATAAAAGTATTAGGTCCGAGCATGAAGCCATAAAAAAAGCACCAAGTGCACAGTTTCCAACTCGTAAACATGCAACTCACGAAATCACTCCTTCTCCTTGCCTCTGCTACATACGTGCACGCACGCGCAAAACAATGTGCAGTGTGTCCAGCTCGGGTGGAAGGCGAAACCCTTCTCGATTCATGTTATATGGGGCACAAGACCTTTTGCGAGTGGGCACTCCATTCCACTACGCATGCCGGCGGAGTTCCCTGACATGTAGCTTTGTTCAGTTATAATGGGGGTACTTACTGGGGAAGCGCCCCTTACTGCGCTTATACCGTGCGTGCATATCTGTAGTCCATTTTTGTGCGCACCAGCATCCAACGAGTCTGGCAGAACTGGGGCACGCTTATTCCCGGTGAGAGCCATGGCAATTGCCAGGCTACCACAGGAACAACCTCGTCCTGCACTGTGCAATGTAGTATGCCCACTCCATCACCAACATTCAGGGGTGGGCAAAAGCGGAGGGCGGGGCACCGCGACACCGCGACTCGTCCCCAGAAGGACGGGAGGGAGGTCTCGTGGGAAAGCAGGATGATCAATGCGAAGGCGTGACAAGTGTTGCCCAACAATAAAACTATCGTGTAGGTTGTTGCCGAGGGAGGCCAGACCTTGGATGGAGTTTGTCTCCTGGTTATAAATTGTGGCACTTCCACGAGATCATCAGCTATGTTTGTTGTCAGTAGGACTTCTCAGTCCGGCCAATGGCTCGTGAGATCTCGCTACCTCCACCTCTAAGTTCTCTAGCTACACCCACAATGTTTGGTTGAGTTGCAGTGGCACTCTGCCTGGTCACCGTTTGGGACGTCAGGGCACATCCACAGCTGCGCCGCAACCCACGTTGTTCCTGGGGGTGCCATCGACACGTTCCAACAGTTGTTTTCGCTGTAAAGTAACATGCCGTGGTTAGCACGCTGCACCCATGTTAACAACCTCGAACTTAATCAGTGATAGTGATGTCCTTCACAAACTACGTTTCCCCCTTTTCGACTTGTCGTTCGTCTCGTCATCTTGATCTGTGAGGAGAGAACAAAACCTTTCAACTTCGTCCTCGTCGACAACACCAAGGGGAACAGAAGCCCCCCGAGTATGTTGACAAACAACCTTTGAATGAGGTCTTGCATATTAGTGGTAAGACATCTTACACCGCGATCAACACCAAACTCATGTCATGCCTGCCATAGGATAATTGAGAGGACGTCAAAATTCAACTTCCGGAATCAAGAACACCTGCATTGTTTAACTCTGGATGGGCTCCAAACAAACTTTCGCATAATCTGGATGTAAGCAACAATTCACTGTCAGGACCGAAGAAATAGAATGATGAGGTCACTGCTCGGACCCGCGTTACCACATAGCTGACAAGGTAGACGTAACCGGCGTACTGCAGTCCAAGTTCGCAGCAATATGTTCGAGTGATGGGCTGTTAAAAGTCGCAGGGAGCCCGAGATAAGTCCGACCACCAGGAGTTGTCACAAGACTTGGGCCGCCGCCGTGCCGGAAGGTTGGTACGGAATTACTATGACGTGCGTTTCCGCACTATGCATCAACATTTTTTCTGGCTTGGTTTACTGCACCCTACTCGTCTAACTTGGCCAGGAGAGGTTGGAGCGCGTATCGTTCGTGCGAGGTACATATTCCCGGACATTCACTGACAGTCATTTGCTAGGACCTACCCTCCGCACCGAAAGGCTGTTTAGGACGCACGGCGGCACGAGGCAAAGGCTTCCGAATGCGCATTTCCAATACAGCTGTCCATGATGGCGCTAGCAGAAATTTATGGCAGGTGTATCGTGTACGTGCGCCAACCTGATGTTACTGGTAAGTGCCTCCCTGACACAAAACAGCCTGGACAACGGTATGGATACTTGACCTGTAAACTACATTAATGGACAATCCAGACCACGCACCCGGAAGTCTCAGAGAATATATCATAACGCAAGCACGCTCCAACTTCTGCAAGGTAACTAGCGACAAGAATAAGCAGAACTCCGATAGCAAATCAACAAAGCAGGTCACTACCGTTAAGTACGCAGGAAATGAATCTAAGTACAAGCATCTATATGCATGTAACGGTCGCATGTTTACAAAGATAGTGGAGACCGCTGAAAATCGTCTGTAGAATGCACGAAACCGTTCGTCAATGGTAATCTATCAATCCATTCATAGTGAGAAATGAATAAATGTCTCGCAACTAATGCTGCGGATATATATCTCCGTGTATTTCACTGAGTTCTGGCACCCTCCTGACCTCATGGGTCGGGAAGACATCACTAAAAGCTCACCGCGCTGCGCCAGCTGTCGGAGCAGGCGTGACGACGATACCCGCTCCTCCGCCCGTCAAAGTAGCTGTGGAAGGACAGACCGCAGTAGGCATCGGCGATGAGACAGCGTCCCATGCACTTGGATAGCTGCATCCCGCCACTTCTGTTGGAGACAGCGCCTGGTCGCTCTCGTCATACCACCCGTTACCAATACTTACACTTGAGGGTGGCTTTGGTGAGAACGTAGGTGGAGGAAGCGTTGGAATGGGACTGCCTGTGGGGGTATAGGTTGGGAGGTACGCCTGGATGGCCCCAGCCGTAAGGCCATTAATGGATGTCGGGGGATATTGACTGTATGAAGAAACGGAGGAAGGTGCGATCGTGCCGGCTCCAGCACCACCTGTTTGCCAGGACTGGAACGTGCCATCAAAGATCGGGCCAGAGACTCCCAGAGCTGCACAGGTTCCCACAGCGGTGCGCGGATCTTGAGGTATCCATCCTCGTTCAAAACCAAGTTTGTAAGACCAAAGCGGAGACTGAACTGTGTTCGTCGTGGAGGAATTGCCGATCTGATATACCCAGCGTCAGCGTCAGAACCAGAGGACAAAGATGAACTGACCTTCCAGGTCCAGAAGAACCAATTTTGCAGTGCATCCATACTTGCCAGTGCAAACTCCTGCAACCCGGCCTTCATCGTGTCATTCCATTGCGAAGCGTCCAAGAACAGTGCGCATGATTGTCCATAGCTGTCCGTGTTCCCCACTCCCGTCAGGTACAAACCACAGTCGTTGTATCCAACGCTGAACTCGCCCGCGATAGTTACTCCAAAAGCCACTTGGCTGGAAAGTGATCAACACATTGTCAGTGGTTTTGTCCAGTCAAAGTAACGTCTATCCACACCTCTGGTTGATGGGAGGGCCAAATGTGTTGCACGCCAACTGTGGCCAAGTCCCCCCAGCCTGCAGCCCAGTACCTGTAGCAATAGGCGCATCATTTGGCTCCCCATCGAAAGCGAAGTATGGGTGGGTGTCGATCATAACCCGGTCCGACCCCTGTAAGAACCCCGCCCAAGCCTCGAGTCCCAAAAAACCATCATGAATCGAAATGTATGGGCCATTCCCCTCGCCGTAGCCCGTGATGTTACGAATCATATCGTGGGCGCGAAGGTAGCTGTTTCAGATAAAGCCAAGGGGCAAGGTGGGCGCGACAACGGTATCAGCAACGAGTAAAAGGACCACCTGAATTACAACGGCGGAGGAAAAGCTACTGACAATGACGTAATTTGATCTATTCCGATGGTGGAATCAAGTGCTTCATTCACGATGCCAAACACCGGGACTACGGGCTGCCATTCAGGCTGGGAAATGAATTCCGTGATGATTCGGATGTAGTTGAGCGCGCGTTCGGCATTGGCTACTCCCATCACGCCGTTCAAAAAGTTGACGGAACCCATCTTTCCAGAATGATTATAGCCTTCCAGGAAGGACTGTGTCATCAGAAAAAAATTAGTTCCATACAGCGGGAGTCGCCACTTACCGTTTTGAGAACCAGGAATCGTGTGCAGATCAAGATTAACTCTCAAACCGTACTTCCTCGCCCACTGAAGCACACGTAGGATGTACCTAAGATCAGCGGGCCGAATTGCAACTAGTCAGTGAATCGCGCCTAGACTTTGATCATTTCGAATACCCACGGCCAGCAAACCTTCTCAAGGAAAGGTTCAAAGTCCCATTTCTCAATGGCCCAAAAAGGGATGGGCAACCTGATCCAGTTGAGTCCTGCTCCTGCAATTGCCGCAATGTCCTGTTCCGTCTATAATCATCCATGTTGCAAGCCCCAAACCATAAATTAGTGCGCAGAAACCGTAGACGATCCACGACGCACAATGAAAGTGTCGTAATGATTCTCCAATTGGTTTAAACCTCCATTCGCAGTGTCTGCCGCCATAAGAGTGCTCAGAGTCCATTCGTCTACCGATCCAGGATATTGCTGGAACAAGGATGGAACAATGAACGGCTCCAAGACGAAAAGACCGCCGAGATTGACCCTATCAGAAGATACATGGAATAAAGTGTTTCACCATAAGAAAAACGCCCATTAGCATATGTAGGCATTGCGCGCATTATCACATAAATCCGTTACCATACCATCGGTGTATGTATCCATTCCCATGAACGAGCGATATAAGATATGGTGGCCACCGTGGAGGTAAGCGGGTAGCATACAAAAAACCATCCGTGACACTTACCCGTACACCTTGTCCTGTCCCCACGTCCAAGACGTGTTCAATGGAGGAGTCCATGAGTTCGGACGGGCATTATTATTGAAAGGGTTATTTGGATCAGATACCCCTGGAGGAACAAAATCAGCACGAATAGCATCGCCCAAGGTGACACGAAACATGTTCTCATAATCGGTATGGACTAGAGTAACGCTAGACGTCGAACTGTTCAACTATCTCGAGCGGCAACTGCAGTAGCCGGCGCCGCAATTTATTTCCATCACCCCAGTAATACGGGCGCATCACAGGATCGGTGGTTCTGCAGCGCCGCGCATGTTACATCATGCACGGACGCACTTTAACCTGCCATATAGGGACACCGAAAGGGTCCGACGAACGACGATGCGACCCTTGAGTGCAGTGCCAAGTAATGTCCCTCTAACAGGGGTAAAGGAGAATGACCGCGCACAACACAGGCACAAGGTGACAACGTGCCCATGAGAAAAGCGCCACAAAAAGTGGATCGGTTCACATGCCACAGAGTGTCGTAGCAGTGCAATGCACAAGCAATAGCATCCTCCCAGGCGAACTGAAAAACAAAACAAGTCGTGGAACAGGTACTCACAATATCCTCCAAACGGATTTATATATATAAACGTGGATCCGTCAGATGTAACAACTGCTGACCCGTTTCCGCCAGACGTCGCACCTGACGGTGATCCTGGATTGGGAATGGTGCCTGAACCGCCTGAACCCCCGGTCGCATTTGTGCTCGAATTGTGTGGCTTAATAACGATAAAATAAACTGGAAGCACGACTGCCAGTACAACAATGACCAAAGCCAATAGAAGGGTAATCCATCCAAAGGGTCTTCGAAAGAATGACTTCTGCGTTCCGAGATAGACAGGTGCCAGAGCGGGCGCTTCGTCTGCACCCTCCTCAAGTTTGGTCTCCGCCTCTGGAGATACCGCAGAAGGTGTAGCGTCCTTGAGAGTCAGAGGTGTGGTGTTCAACCCTTCGGCAGACTGGTAGCGCACAACGGACTCCCGCGGAGTGTCCATCATCTCCGGCGTCTGAGCCTGGTCGAGAAAGGATCCCACAGGAGGTCCAAGTACTTCATTCGAGCCAGGGAGGTGAACAGCAGCCGGATCAGGGGACTCTGATGGTGCTGGCGATTGTACTTGACCAACAGTGGGGCCTTGAGAATAAGCACTTTCGTCCGCGTCGCTGTCGGGTGCGATACTGTCGTCATCTGCGAAACTTGACCTGGCTGTCTCTGCTGCGGTAGGTGAGGAGGCAGGCCTGTCTACACTGGGTGTATTTGAGGCCCGCGGCAGCACGCTCAGTTCAGCCGCAGGTGTGTTCGGAGCCGTGCTGAAAGGGTCAGCAAGACTTTGTGGCCTAGATGTCGCCATCCCTCAGGACAGCAGCGGAGACAAAAACGTTGGAGGACAGGGCAAGAGCAACAAGTTAGCCGCTGGAGGCAAGGAGGCGAAGAGAAAGATGACGCTATAATTAGCGATCTAGCCTGTAATTGGAGTCGGTTAACGCCCTGTCAGCGCATGGTTCACTCCACGTGCAAAGAGGCAGGGCCTGTCAGCCAGCTTCAAATGTTCAGGCCAGGACAAACGAGTAAGATGCACAAAACAGTCCCTCAGCGCCAGCTTCGATGCTTTATAGAGCTGCAGTGACGATGGCATCGTAATACATCATTGGGCGTCATCAGAGACCCGGCGTTAGGCTCTCAACCATTCAAGGACCAATTGACGCACATGTACTCCCGCTCTCTTTGACATTTCTCCTGTTTTGCCGACGCCGAGAAATAAGCTAACCTTTGGATGGCTGACGATCCCCGAGAACACCTTATCAATTTGCAACGTGGCAGCACATGATACAGCTCAGTGCCGTGCCGACACGAAAGGACATGACGACAGCCATCGCAACGTTGTAAAGAGTGTATTGCTGCTGGGCTCTCTGCATATGGATTACATGGCATTGTGAAGCTATCCATTGAAGCCACCACGAAAACATCTGGGGTAAAAGCAATGGCAGCGAACACCTCGCTTGGCCAGCGCCGGCTCAATCTAAAGCAAAACGCAACGCTAACCTTGACCATTTCAAAATTGCTGTTATCAAACTGATCTCCGAAAGCAGTTCTACCTCGACCCCAATTTTCCAAATCCCCGTATATTACCTTTCGGTCGCAGAGGCCCAAAGCTCAAGATATGCTCATAAAACAGGGCAATACCGTACCATTTTTTCAATGTATCAAAAGGATGTCCGACCAAGTCTCCGCTCCATAGCTTGAGGTCAACGAGTCCCATTGGTCGAGCGGGAACAGTTTTTGACAAAGAAACTGACCTAAACACTGCATATACTGTATCCACCGAACGACAGTGGGTATATGTGGATGTATCCATGCAGGCCCGCCTAGGCGACCAATGACTCCTGACGTGTCCCGTCAATTCAGCACCCAAACATCGCGGAGCCGTGTCAAGACGCGGCCACCCACACGTATTTTTTGACGACCAAGAGTTCAAGTCACTGGTGCATGGATGCACATGATAAACACTTACCACAGACGCAACCTATATGAAGCCCGGTCCTCAAACCTTACTCGCGCACCGATGCGGCCGCTACCACTGTCACAACATTGCCTAGTGCAGTTCGCGATGACAGAGTCACGGGTCGCGGAAGAATTTTTTCCAAGTTAATTTTACCATGACACCGAACCTACCAGTCCATGGCCGTGAACCGATCATCCGAATAGGAAGCCAGCACGGACATCATGGTGCGACATCGAAGTATCACATACATTAAAGAACCCACGCATCTTCCGACTTCATCATATAGAGAAGTTTGGATGCAGCTCATTGACCCTTGTCCGCATGTTTGCAGATACTACAAAAAATGACAGGTTATTTCGCCATGGACCCCAAGTTGTGTCTTGTGCCTCTTTGTCGTGCAAAAAAAGAGTGAATGGCTTGGAATGTGAGAAGCATTATGCCATGTTCTCGACACGATTCGACCTGACAAGGTTACAGGTCACAAGCTGTGGTTCGTCTTCACGAAAGCACAGTGAACCTGGTCTATATAACTAGTGGGTACCTCGTACCCGGAACTAATGAACCACCTTGACCCCAGCTCATACCCAAACCCATCCTATTGTAATCAAGATGTAATATCTTGCTTCTGCCTTGCTACGTACTGAGGTTAGGAAAGTAACCTCCACGGCGGAAAATTTCCAATATCGTATGGAATTCATTTGTCATGATGCTGGCCTTGGCTAACCTCCAGCTTCGACGGATATTTTGCCATCGGAGATCAGCAGCGTGGCACCCCTTTTCCGTGTGTTTGGCGGCCGACATAGAAGACCCTGCTATCAAAGGTGAGACACCTGGGACTTGCTAATATCGTCACTGTGAAGATGCAGTGAAGAACAACGAGGTGCAGAGTTCTTGCCAAGAGTGCAGCCGTGCGACGCATGTTTTATAGGCAAAACCTCTTTTCCACGTAACTGTACCACTGGTCAGGTTAGCCTTTGGCTGCTGGCGCAAAGAGGCATAGGATGCAGCTAATCGCTTAGCTGCTTGTTGTGCTTAGACGTGTGCAAAGGATACCTGTCACAATCGTAGACATTAAATTCCCATGGTAAGTTGCACAGTAACAAGGTTTGAGCTCCACCCCGGAATACATGACGGTTCCCGCATCCTGGCTATCCACCCTTCTGGTCTTTGGATATTACTATCGTTGCACCACACACTTGCATTGATGTTCCAATTGATGCTGGAAAAAGCGAAGCAAGTGAAGAATGATAGGGTCTATACCAACGCCAACCACACGCTGCATTCGTTTTCGCCGGAGTCGACCCACTAATTTGCTTTTGTCAACCCACGTCCAATGTAATAATCTATAGGTCGACGTCGACCCACTAGTGATGAATGGAAGTGAGGCAACGTTGCAGTGTAGTCGAATATTTACCGCATTCTTTATGAGATGTTACACGTGTGCTATGCCAGACCAGATACCGAAACAAATACGTGGGTAAATATGTAGTCGCCGAAAAGGTTCCTTCTTTTGATGGCGTGAGCTCCTAGTTGTACGTAGACCGGGTCGATGGTGTCCGCAGTCAGGCAGGAAATCCGTGGGGAGTCCAGAAAAGGGGGACCCCCAAGCACGTAGTGGCGAATTCAAATCGTCCGGCATTGCATGTGTACCGACAGAAGGTCCCAGCGCATAGGTCAGGTAGAAGGAGGTGAATTTCCAGGATAGGCAAAAGCCTACCAATCCACGCTGTGACATGACGTTGGCGAATCTAATCATAGTCATTCTACTTCGAACCTGGAAAATATCAGCAGGGTGTAGCGCCCCGTACCCATATATGTATCTGTCACGGCGCCTTTGCTTTCAGAGAAGGTTAAAAAGAACCAAAGAGATCATTAGCATAGTTCGAACTGAGCACCGTGCATGGTCTCGTGTCATTGCCTTGACAGCTCACACCCGCGAAGGAGACGGCGCAATAAACTAAGATCTGATGCTATGTAAGATATATGGTAGAGGGAAGTAAAGTGGCGGTGAGAAAACGGAGGGTAGATGAGACCGCGATAGACTTATCAGAGCTCTTGTCCGGACAGTGGCGCAGAGAAAAGGGGTGAGTCGTTTCGGATATGGGGAAGTGGTGGAGCCGGACACTGGTTATGTGAGTGCATATCCCGTAACTTGGGTCTCGAGAACACCTGTGGGAGAAGTATGACATGTTATTGGATATCCGGTACGGTAAAGGTCGTGAACCCGACGGGATATCTGTGCGGAAGTAGTGTTCTGTAAGGCCGAGTGACGCGTGGGATGCCCCTGGTCCCTAAAAAGCTCTAAGTATGTCCTTTGTTCCGTCAATAAGCACGAAGTGGAGGTGTCTTGTTGCTTATGTAATTGTTTGTGCCTTCATTGGACCCCTTTTCCAATTATCCCAAGCGACGTAAAATGAAAAGGCATTCTCCGCGTTCGGGGTGTTTGCATCGCCGGAGGATCTCAGATGGTAAGTATCACTCACCGCAGTGACCGCACCCACCTACCACCTGTGGATCTACAAACACGTCGCACTGCATTCAACGCCTGCTACGTTCAGCATGGTAGTCGTCAAAAAGGATCATAATTTATTTTGTTTCCACCGAACGCCAAACTGAAGTTCATCCTGTTGATGTACAAAGACAGGTGACCGCCCGAGGTACGACACGGTCCAGGTTCAGCCCAGGGATCAGAGACTCGGCACCGCCATTCCCCCGGGCTGCCGCGGACAAACGCGGCATGCCCCTTGTGCCACGCCTCTCCAAGTTAATGGAGCCAATCGCGAGAGTTTGTAGGACAAATCCATCCTACATACGCGGGTGGAGAATTTGGAAGGACTGGTCTACACTGGTTCCAGCACCTCCCCCTTGGTTCACATGCCTATTTGCTAAATTGTTCGACTGTATCGCTATGCTTCCGTATACCCCCCCAGCACCAGCCTCGGTGCGGAGGTGGCGGGATGGTATATAGATCCGTTTGTCATTTCCCTGTTTCTTGTCAGATCACCGAACCCTCACCCGTCCCCTTCCCGTCTTAATGACATTCTCAATTGGCCTTCGTGATATTAACAGCCACTCGGAGCACGACCCTGGCCTACCAGATATACCTCTTTCCAGCCAACACGTTCCCCCCTCACCCCACGGTCCATATCACCATGCCCCCAAAACCACCGAAGACATATTGCATATCATTCTCAAGACACGCAAATCCTGGAAGACCCTCAAGGGTCAGGCTGAAGCAGTGTGGCCTCCCCATCTCGAGGCAACCATGCTGAAAGGTGCTCGTTACACATCGTGTTCTTTGATCGATTTTTCAATACATCTTCCTCATTGTTCATCCCACTCAGCTCTTCAGGAATATGTTCCCGAGGACTCGAGGGAAACACGTATCCTCGGCCGATTTCCGATGCGTAATCGCTTCATCTCCGATTACATTTACCGTTCAACCGGAAAGGTCAGATCCGCCAAGCAGGTGGGCAGTCGTCTTCAACAACTCAGAGACACTGCCGAGGGTCGCCAATGTGAGTAATGATCATGGATCCAATGACCCCCCTGCGGCCTTTCATCATGATTTGCTGCGCTCTGTTTGCGCACTCAACTTATTCAATTTCACGCTTTTTTCATCAAACGTTGTTTATGTTTATGTTTGTCATCTCAGTAATCGATTCCCTCACGCGCTGTTATCGTGCTCCTACTCGGCCTCAATCAGCCGCTGCCTACTTATGTTCGAACGCGGGTACTTCACGGTGCCAACCCTCGTCCCCACTCTTGACCGGTGAAACCTTCCTACATACTATACCATCTGACGTTTCCTCCTCCGATTCATCCTGCTCCTCCTCACCATCCTGCTCCCTTACTCCACTAACACCACTAGACAACGTCCTCGTTATGTCACCACCGCCATCCACGTCAAAGCAGTCCCAAACTGCAGATTCAAGGACGCCAGTGTACATCGATATCCTTCCCGACCCTTCAAGCCCCCGCTGGTCATCCTCAACTCATTCTAATTCCCCATTGTCATTTTCTGCTACCTCTTCTCCATCTTCTTCGTCCTCTTCTTCCATAAGGCCACCGGGTGGCTCTGGGCCGGCGCGCCGCATGCGCGACATCGAACCGATTGTCACCTTCGTATCACCAACGCCCGTGGTGGGAAAGTCGTCCTATATTGTCCTGTTAGATGGAGCACCCGTGCATTCGGAGGACACTAAGTTGGAGTATGTGGGACCTTACTATTCTCCTGGACCTACTTCCACCTCCACTTCTTCATCCGTACCTTCGCCGCCGTCGAAAAACGACAGACCATCGCTGTATAATACAGCTTTAGTGCCCAAGTACTGGGACATATTGTGTAAAGCTACAGGTCGGTGTTCCACTCATTCCCGGGGGAATATGCTGATGGGAGTGCTTCCTTAACCGCTGCCTTTAACCCACGTGGTTGCACGTGTGCCGCACCCTCCTGCCATATCCGTTTATCTTGCGTTTCTCGCGGTTGGCTGAACGCCACCCTCCATCTTCACTTGGCATGACAGATCCGACAATGTACACGATAATCCAAGACGTATACCGTCCCCCCGACAATGTACTCTCGCCTCCACCTCACCCTTCTCGTGGCCTACAGACATCCCGACCGCGCCCAGTCAAAATCTTCTCAGCGATATATCATTTCCGATACCCACCCAATGTCAAGGCTGGCGGGTCGCATTCGACGGCTCCCTTAACACCCTCTATCCCCGGCTCAAGGCACTCGGCTTCGGGATCGTATTCTTCACACTCTCCGAGTCCGATTACCTATACGGCTTCTTCGTCTTCGTCATATCTATCCCCAATGTTGTCCCTTAAACCTGGCCTGGGGAGTGTTGGCCATATACATTCCTCCCAGTCCTCTTCCTCTCCCCAGGGGATGAGGCAATATAGTGTGCAACAGCAGGTACATTCGGGATATGCAAATCCAGGCCAACACGGATATGTGTCTTCACAAGGACATGCCCATCCGTATGCCAGGTATGACGCATATTCTCCCGCTTCTTCTGTTTCCCACGTCCCCGTGGCACCGTACACGTCGGCGATGGATGCTACGCTTGCGGACCCACTCATGCTCGCCAACGAAGAGGACTTCTTCAGATTCGACGATGTCGACATGTCACAGGGTTTAGGTGGGGATCACGGCTCCATGGGGAGTTCGAGTATGACTGCTGGAAGCTTGCACGGGACAAGTGGTGGGTCGAATGCTCGATCTCCTGCACCATTCTTTCCGAAGGACCTGAATTCATATGTGAGTCCCTTCCTTCGATTGAATCTGTGGAAGCGGTTGACCGTGTGTCAGTTCATGTAAGGTCCGTCTGGGTTTGGGAGGGCGACGCTTTCGTGTACAGAAATGTGTCCATCAAGGGAGCTTGGGGTTGTCCGTCCCATTGGAGCTGTGCTCTACGACCTTCATTGCTTTCCACTTCGTCGCACCTATCGGGTTCGTAAGATATGTTCATGTGGCTGTGTTCATTAGCGCCGAGTGTTATCGCCTTGCCTTGTAGTTTTGAACCGCTCTGTTATTAAATTTTTTCATCCTCACAGGACTAATAATATTTACTACACTCCCGTAACCTTGCCATCACCTGTCACATTTTTGCTCCAGCCTTCACAGTCGAGGAACGCGACTGATATTGCTACGCCGATTATCTCTATTGATGCTTTGTGTTATTCCAGGATGAATGAGTACTGGCCACAAGTAATACTAGGATCACTTTGAGGCCCTTCGCCAAAACCAGCAACAACTATCGAAGCTTGACAATGAGGCATTCAACATTAAATTAGAACGTGCGTGAATCACACTTGCTTTACTTAAGAATAGCTCTTATTCGCCTCGGCTCCCCCACACATAGGCCGCGTCCAGATATCTTGAAGACTCCTAAGTGCTGGGTAGAGTTCTGGAACAAAAATAATTCACAGGGGGACGTAAATGCCAAAATTTACGAACTCTACCATAGCCGTCAGCAACAACCACCGTTTGAAATTCCTGTGGTAGGCAGCCTTCAACACACAAATTCGGAATCGCGGCTTGATCAGATTGTCATAGTTGGTATCAAGAGACTCATCTGCTGGGAAGGGGTTATAATATGGGGACCATCGCACTGGTCCCCTCTTACCCCTTGGGCTATACTGCCAACACGTGCAAGTGTTGCCACCTTCAAATTTCCGCCACAGGCGCATATTTTCGCACTACATATGTGAACGATGACCATGGTGCAAAGCAGTTTTCAGGTCATTTCGTGAGAAATTGATTCTCCGTAGAGTCTGTCGGGGTGGTTCAAGGCTAGTATAAATCTGGTCTATTCAACGTGAGGTGAGGAGAGTGTGCATTGAATTCGCGGTTGTGGTATTTGATGTCCGTTAACTGTTCTTAGCCAAATTCGAATCAAAAGGGCGGATCGATCGGACGGAATTCATGTCCTATCGATCGATCGTACAATGCTCTCCTTGTCACGGTACTAGTAGTGATTCCTGGCCGAAGCGACTGCGCGTTGCATGCTGTAGCCAATGAACCTTTTGAGTATGTATATGTCAGTCAGTGCTCAAATGTATATATCATGGCGAGTTCGTGTGATTCATATCTCGTCTAGACCGCCTGCCCGCGAGGCTGTTAGCCAGTGCAGGGTTCCATAATTCATAGTAGCGCGAACTGGTTTGGGGCCTGCTATCCACAAGTTATCCAATGTGGCGCCGCATGCGGTGAAAGCATGTATGTAATGGCATTTGTCGAGGGTTGAGCTTATTTAAGCCTGTTATTTTGCAGATCAAACAATGCGGTAAGTCCGGCGGGGATGGAGTCCAGGTCAGCTGCTGAACCGTTTTGGTGAAAGCTTGCTACCCACCTCGTTGCTGGTCGAGGAGGTCATGTGTACCTCCAGTGGTGCTGTGTACTTTGAATAGCGGTTCTATACCAAAGAGGAAATTTTCTCTCTCTCGGGTGAGCGTTCGCGATTACTCGACAGAGGGCCTTTAAGGGGTTATGTGGCAGGCTGGAGCACTCTGTCTGTATATCACCTTCGACGAATCCACGCCACAGCAGCCCAGTTCGGCACTCTGTAGAGGAATATCGATAAGGACATGTTGATGCACCTTACGTACTCATCATTTCCTATCATTATGGGAGAATCCTACCAATCCAGGATGATGGCGGTCGTGAGTTTTCTGTGGGTCGTGCACCACATTGATTAATGGATATACGAGCCACGTTGTACACTGCCACAAGGGAGCACGAAAAATGCATCAGTTACAACGTCAGTCAGGGGTCCGACACTGGCCGGGAGGATTCTCCAAGTGTTGAACTGCATCCTGACACCCATGAGAGGACGACGAATGCACACATGTCATGATGTAAATAAGCTTGGTAACATGGCAGTGTTGCACTGGAGGAGAGAACACAGCGAGCAACAGCAAGGAACGCTGAATGACTTACATAGTTTCGGAGCTGTCGGATCCCGGACTTATGGGGTCTCTGCCATTAAGTTGGCCATGCACGTACAGGAATTGGTTAGTGGTGTCAATGCCTGCTTCCGCCGATTTCTCAGTCGCTTGGCCAAGCCCTGGCATCAGAAGGACCCTGAGCAGATAATATACCTGCAGAATACCCCATGTGTCGCTCTGTGTAACAGAAGCATTGGCCTGGGAGTGCTGGTCGAGTGACGGCTGCAGTCAGACGACCTTCGCACATATGGTCTACACACGAGCTCGTCGCTTTCCACCGCCCACCTCAGGACAAAAATTGTAACGCAATGTTTACTTGGCAGGCGAGTGCTTCAGAATCAGGAATGGCAAGGTCGAAAAGCAAATTATGTATTAGGGCCGCTCAAAGTTAAATGCAGAAAAAACACGCGAGCAAACTCGAGTGCGGCTGAGTTGTGAGTTTGTGGGTGAATATTTAAGCTCCGACTGGAGATTCAAACTCCGCCAAAAAGCGTGCATGCTTATCAACAGAGAGATCTAGCAAGGGATAATGAACTGATAGCAAACAAGACAAACATCCATATTCATATGTACTACTACATACTATTGTTCTCCAATATAACGCGAGGGACCACTGCTTTTGTCGCTGATCTGGTGGGTTGTGATGCCAGGGAAGGGGCAGACGGCTCATACTCCATGGCAGCTATGGACAACGTATTAGGCGAGAGCAGTCGGAGTTTGAATACTGATATTCTCAGCCGAAAACTCACCACAAACACCCGAGGAATTAGCCGAACCTCTAGCAACTTTGAGGCGCGCTAATACTTGATTTTCCCATGCTGATCAAATAAGCACATATAAGGTGTGTCAAATTATATCCTTAATTGGTCCAAGTAAATAGAGACAAATAACGCGCACGCGTGGAGGGTTGACAGAACGCGTCTGCCGAGCACAGTCCCAGGGAGGGACACTGATTTGTACTTGACCACTGTTAACCAGGAGGATGGAGAACCAAGTAAAACACGCTACGGTTGAAGAAACTGACTTCTTGAACAACCTCCTCTCGGGTCTCGACGGTGCAGAGCCGGTCGAAGCCAAGCAAGTGGCACGCTCGACTGGGTCACCAACGAACGCGAGGAGGCATGCCAATACCGAGAATGTGGATTCCTCGAAAGGAATTTTGGATGCAGACATGCTCATGCTATTGGACGGTGCTGAGACCTGGGATTGGACGGACATGGAAGCGGATTTCATAACGCCGAAGAAACACAAATCGAGTCCAACCAAGACCAAGGTGATATTTTTATCACATTACCTGTCGTTGCCTGCTCACTCCCGTGTAGCGCTCACCCCTCAAACAAAGGCGGTCTCCCGTGAAGCAGTCCCCCCTGGATCGGAAGGCTTGCTCGTCTGCTCACTCGGTCAGAAGCGCCGAACATATAGACATTGAGTTTCTCTTAGATGGGGCGGAAAATTGGGATTGGGATGACATGGAGAGCGATATTCTTTCACCGGGCGAGCGGCTCAAAACTACAAAGGTTGGCTCCCGTTATCAATGGTGATTCCGCATTTGGAATGAATTATTACAAAGTCACGTGCTCCCGCATCTCATGCGTATACTAGTCCAGGATGCACTCGGTGCGTCGTTCGGTCAATAGAGGGCGACTCGAAATTTGATTTGCACAAGGTCGGTGTTGGTTGAGCAGTCCTGTCGATACCTCTTACCCCCAAATTAAACAGGTTTTATTGGTCAAAAGCCAGCCGCAGGATAACTCTTATACCATCATTTTGCGTGATGACTGGGCGGAGCTAGACATAAGAGAAGGTACGGGGGGAATTTCTACGCAATCGGCAAGTACGTATAACTCTTCCACAGGGGACATCGTAAATGTTTTGGGGAACTTCGACTCCAATGGTTTCATTGTGATTTCATCGAAGGAGAATCTCCTCATTCACCATCCTGATTTCTTGCTGACGGCAACTGCGTTGTCCAATGCTCCCCAGTGTAAACGAAAGCCTCTGCTGTCCGCTCTTGTTCACTCGAGCTCGGACGTGACTCCATCGCTAGTCTGGGGGAATATCCTACACGAAGTCATGCAAACATGTCTGTTAGCTAATCGATGGGACAAGGCGTATATCGACGACCTCATTGAGGATGCTATCTCACGGAATCTCTCCGAACTTGTGAAGATTGGTGTTACTATCGAGGAAGCAATACGGGAGGTGACACTCCGTTCAAAGGGACTTCGTATGTTCTCCAAGCGGTATATTGCTGAAGAGCCAAAAGTACGTTGTTCATAGTGGAATCGTGGTCTGCATTAACTTGGTACCGATAGCCCGATGCGGTCTTGACGAATACCCGAGAAACCGTGAATCAGAGTTCGCGTTTGGCCATTAACGAAATACTCGATGTGGAAGAAGATATTTGGTCTCCGAAATATGGTCTCAAAGGTAAACTTGATGCCAGCATACAGGCCGTTATCGCAGAAATCACTACTGAGAAGCACGCCAAGAAAGCTCCTGTCCTTTCATCTCACCCGATGCCTTTAGAGATTAAAACCGGGCGGTCTATTGCGGGAATGGAACATCGAGCCCAAACAATGCTTTATACTCTTCTTTCGGAAGAGCGTTATGGCGTGGAAGTACCCAGTGGGCTTTTGTATTACACTCAGAGTGAAGAAGTCGTGAGAGTACCCCGAGGAAGGAACGAGCTCAGAGCACTGATCATCGCAAGGAATGAAATGGCTGGGTACATGACGCGGCGAGCGAAACAGAGCAAAGTGCAGGAAGCATTTTTACCTCCGACGCTCGACGACGAACGTATATGTAAGAAGTGCTACGCCTTGGATACCTGCATGCTGTATCGTAAGGTGACCGTGGCTTCCTTGGATGTATTTCTTCTAAGCTTCTGACCTTAGTATATGTTGCAGGCGGTGGAAAATGTAGAAGATGACTCGTCCCCAATTGTAGGGATATACGAACTCAAGACATCACACTTGACACCTTCCCAGGCGGAATTCTTCAAACAGTGGGAAGCTCTTATTACTCTTGAAGAACAGGATGCTGTCCGTTTCAAGAAAGAGCTATGGACCATGAATGCACAGGAACGTGAAGAGAAAGGGAGATGCTTTGGTTCCATGGTTATTGATCCTTCCTACGTTCCCCTACAAACAGGCAGCACCGGTAAGATCCATCGCCACACCTATCGTTTCGTACGGGCGCGAGACGGTCTGGTGGCTGAAGATTATCCATCGCTGCTTAACGGACACATGACGTTTGGTGACGCTATTTCGGTCTCTGTTGAACCTGAACTTCTGGCTTTGGCACGCGGATTTATCCTCCGCCTCTCTCCAACCGAAATTGTCGTTGGGGTTGACCACGAACTGTCCATCATGAAAATCACTTCACGCTTACGAGCTCTGCGCAAGACCAAGGGCCGAATCACACCTCTGTTCCGAATAGACAAAGATGAACTCGTATCTGGATTGGGTCGCATTAGAGATAATCTTGCACATCTTTTTTACGCTGAGGGCGATTCAAAACGTCTTGAGCTCGTCGTAGATCTGCGAACTCCGACCTTTGGTGACGAACAGACCACACTAGACACCTTACGGGACGTGCCCGAGTACGTGGAGGCTACTGGTTACTTAAACCCGAGCCAGCTTGGGGCGATGGCGCGCGTCCTGAGTGCTCACGACTATGCACTGATTCTCGGGATGCCTGGGACGGGCAAGACCACCGTGATTGCAGCATTGATTCGGACGTTTGTTGGGATGGGAAAGACGGTTTTGCTTACGTCTTACACGCATTCCGCGGTAGACACTATCTTGCTGAAGCTTAAGGACGACGATTTTGGAATACTTCGGCTGGGCAATCCAGACAAGGTGACATCCTCGGAAATTTCCTTGTCACTATCGACTAAGCACGTCATATAGGTTCACCCTGACACCCAGAAATTCACGCTTTCGGCGCGCGAGACCGCCACGACAATTGAGCAGTTGGAGAACCAGATCATGTCACCTCCGGTCGTTGCAACTACTTGTTTGACTATCGACCAGTGAGTGTTCCATGGAAAGGCGCGACTTGACTTCCTTTGATGGTTCTCTCAAGTGCACTTTTTACTCGGCGTAAATTCGACTATTGTATCGTCGATGAGGCATCACAAATCACGCTGCCCACATGTCTTGGGCCACTTCGCTTCGCCGAAAGGTTCGTCCTCGTCGGTGATCATTTTCAGCTTCCGCCTCTTGTGAGCCTGTTTTTAGCTCCCCCATCGTCATCGATTTTAACTTTCTATCAGGTTCGCAATCCCGCAGCAAAGAAGGCAGGCCTAGAGGTTTCACTCTTTAGGCGGCTCTCAGAGGCACATCCCCAAGCTGTCACGGACTTAACCTACCAGTATCGCATGAACGAGGATATCATGCAGCTCTCTAATAAATTAATATACAGTAATCGTCTTCGTTGCGGATCCGAAGCCGTCGCCAACCGAAGTCTTGTTCTCCCCAACCGGACCTTCATCGATAATTTGCGCGAGTCAGGCAATTGCTTGTGTTCGGATGGGGCATGTTGGCTTAAGCACCTCCTAGATGAGAAGTGAGCCTGAAGAGGTTTAAGGAAATCAAGGAATCTGCTGACCATCCCTATCAGGTGCAAAGCGATCTTTGTTGACACAGATCAAGTACCCGCGTTCGATTCCCGAGTTGGGGATTTGGTCCAGAATGAGGTAGAGGGCAAGCTGGTATACCAAATTGCAGAGGCTCTCCTGCAGTGCGGAGTCTCGCAGCGACAAATTGGCATTATGTCACTTTACCACCAGCAAAATAAGCTCTTATCCCACCTGCTGCAGGGTAAGAACGACATTGAAATCCTTACCGCCGACAAGAGCCAAGGCCGGGACAAGGACTGTATTATTATATCGATGGTGAAGTCGAATGAGACTGGTCAGGTTAGTGTCGAATACCCTTGCTTACACGCCCTGGTTCGTTCTGATGACCTGGTCGGGTCAGGTTGGCGATCTACTGAAGGACTGGCGAAGGGTCAATGTTTCGTTCACACGTGCCCAGTCAAAGCTCATCATCATCGGATCCCGAAGGACTCTTGGAACTACAAAACTCCTTGCAGACTTTTTGGCGCTGATGGACGAGCGGAAGTGGGTGCTTACGCTGCAAGAAGACGCGCAGAACTTGCATCCTTCCTTGCAACCACTTCGGAAACTGTCGCTATCCTGCAGCACCAAACGAGTTGGGGAGAACGAAGACATCATGATTGAAAACCTTACAGTACCGAAGAAGCCAAGGACCACGGTTGCGCGAGATGGTATATTGAATGGTCGACCCATCTTGAAAGATGTATTGAATAGCGATTAATAGACGGACGGCAACTTATGAGTATTATATGTGTACGTATAATTTGGATTTGTGCTTACTGACATATCCATCTACTATGCTATAAACACGAAACCTTCCACCTTGTCATAGTGCGTAGAAAGCCGGGCTATTTAGAAACTGTCGTACGCGCTCGACGAGCTCTGCCCGTGGCCCAGTCATTAGTTCGTCTCCACAGTCGACGTCTGTCTTTATTTGGTGGACCATCAACCAGACCGCTGACCTTTCTGTGTGGGCTTTCAGATTCCCTCTACAGTACTCATGACGGATTACCTCCAGGTTAGCCAACTCACGTACTGCTATCGAAAATGGGCTCTGTCCAGGTTGTAAACAATCCGCGGTAAACGGACGTGGAGGCTTTGTTGTAGCGGCTCTGTTGTAGCGGCTTTGTTGTAGCATTCGGGTACGTCACTTATCCATCCGCTCACTTCGCCCTCTCACTCCCCACCCATTCTAACCAGTCTTTCTTCCACGTCGACTGTTTCAAATGCGCGAAGTGTAACCGACAACTGACTACCGATACCGGCCCCCTCCCTCCCCGCTGGATCCCTTATCTGTGCAAAGTATGCCATAATCGCATCGACAAACTCGAGCATATACTGTTTGGCCTGCCACAACGCCGTCATGCTCAGCGCGCAAGAGAAAAAGAACAATCCGCCTCTGGAGGTATTTCTTCCTCCACCCGTGAACCTGATACGGGCGGTCACCTTACGGAATGTCATTTGTCCTCCTCCTAAGTTCACCGTATCGTTGCGGCGTTTCGGGTCGATCCCCCGATGCCCCTTCAACCGGTCATGTTTACGATCCAAGGCATCTACGAGTACATTCCGTGAAACCTATTGTACGAAGACCGTGGAGCCATCAATCCCAGTCAAGAAGCGCAAGTCATTGCCACCCACAGACAACACATTCAGTGACTGCTGCTAAATCCGGGTCATTAAGCACTAGTTCGGGGGATCCCCAGTGAGATTAATGCGTACCATCTCAGCCATCTTCCTCTGATGCTGCACTCTCTCAGGGATTCTTTATGACAGTAGCCCCGCCTGAGATGACCTATTCTGTACGCAACGAGGCAAGCTAGTACCCTGGGGTTGAACCCATCCTTTTTAAGCTGGCTTTCCAAGTGAAATACCTGTGGGATGCTGCTGCACCTCTAATTAGAATGGTACCAAGGGTGCTTGATGTTCAGCCAATGGACATTCAATCCAAGTCCAATTCATAAATGTGGGTTCAGTGTGGGTTGATTCCTTATTCAACCCATGGGTGGAACCCAGGACGTGCTTCCCACGCCGCAGACGATCGATGTGAAGACCGGGTGGGGCCTGCGCAAGTAGTATTTATTGTGTTGATTGTTGGACGTCGAACCGATATTAATGCAAGGTTAACATTGCAAGGTCGCTGCTACGAGCCACTATATGCACTGGTATGCCTGTCCGCGCGTTCGAGAGATAGTATTGGGATCTGAGGCTGTCCAATTGATATTAGTCCAGAAGCGAGGATTCACCTCAGCAGGTACAGCATTACTAGGGATCATTCCCAATTGACAAGGGGAAGACTCGGGAAAGACACGGACGTTTTTTTCTCTTTTGCCGCTTCGAGACATGGTAGATGCCCGTTACATAGCAACGCGAAGGGAAACCGCCAAGTAGCACTTGCCATTCATTTTCTGATCGTATTGTACGGTACACCAACGCCAAGAGGCAACTAACGAGCGAGAAATAGAGGCAGAACATACCCACATAAGTTCAGTATTCGACAGCATCTTCATCGTCTGCCTGCATTGGCGCAGGCTCATCTTTTCGATCCGGTTCCCTGCAAACATCCTCTTTCCGTGCCGCCGATTCAGACCTCCGTTCTTCGTCCACTTCCATTGCCGATTCGGGTTCTTTGACCTGCTGCTCCTCAGCCTCCTTGTCCTGTCCACCTTCACCCTCTTCTTTGGGTGTTTCTTCCCTGTTGGCTTCACGCTCTTTCCTCTGCCGAGCTTCTTCTTCCGAGACGCGTTGGCGGAGCCGCTTTATTTCCTCGATACCTGCTGTTCTTTCCTCGCGGAAAGCAAGCCATTCTTTCTCAATGGCTTCCGCGACCTGAATAGCCATACTTATTATAGTTACCCCTCACATGAACACAAAACGCTCACCTCTGTCTGGCGTTTCGCAAGGAACGCCTCCTGTGAGGGGGTCAATATGGCAGGGCGATAGTACAAGGGTGGTGGATGTGATCGAGGAAGTGGTGCGAGAGGGTCCGACGATGCGGCCGACGTCGGATCTGATGGGATAATGTCAGACGTTGACAAGAAGTTGCTCAATAACGGTAACCGGATCCGTCGAAGTTTGTACTAGTCAACACTGTCAGTCGACCTTTAAAAGCTATGGCATGAAGACACGAACGATGGAGTCCTTGAGCTGAAGTTCCTCTTCCTTCCTATTAGCGGTAGTTTTGTCTTTCTTGGCCTCTTCTGCGCGTCTGACGGAGTCAGTCTCTTTCTGTAGCTTAGCCTGTAGTCTCTGCTCTAACAAGTGTCTCTTTTTCGCCTGTATGAGTCTCGTTAGCGGATCTGCTCTCATCTTTGGCAGGAGTAGGGGAAAAAACACACCGCTTCGCTCGCATTTCGCTCCTTGTCCTCGAGCTTTGCCTTCTTCAAAGTGCCGAGTACGATGCCGAACATGCTCTTGCCGCGCCTGCGTTCACCGCTTTGAACGGCGAGATCGATTTTGGGACGTTTCTTGTTGACCGTTGACATGGCAGCTGGTGCCGTTGGAGGTTCGTGCGCCTGCACTGGGGCAGGTTCCACTGTGGACTCAGAGGGTTCTTCCATTGGTGACGCCATCGCCGTCGTTGTCGAACACGGAGTGCTGGAAGCCGCTCTCAGTACCGAACCAACGGCTTATGTAATACCCACTCCCTCTCAATGAAACATCCTCCAGTGATGACGAGAAAGAAACCAGGACTGGGCACCAAATCCCAGCCAAAACAGCCGATTCCAGTCGAAGAACGGCTCAGACGGCTGTTCAAATCTCTCTGTGCACAGATAGACGGTGGACATTTCACCAGCGCTATCAAGACATGTCACAAGAGTGAGTAAACCCTTGTTTTGTAGGTAACAAGAATCGAACATGGGCTAGTCCTTCGATTGGATCCTACAGATGGGGATGCACTGCAAACGGATGTTGTTTTTGCTTTTGCAGACAGAACAGTATGAGGCCGCCCTATCTCTCATAGGTGATGACGCATCTGGCCGTCGCGCATTCGAAAAAGCCTATGCTTTGTACCGCTTCCACAAAGAAGAAGAGGCATCCAACGTTTTGCAAAGACTGAAGCAGACTCAGAAGGACCAGCGTGGCGTGCTCCACCTGGATGCTCAGCTCGTATGTTGCACAGCCGATTCTTCTGATGTAATGATATCCACTCCGCGTTGGCGTAGAATTATCGCCAGGGATCATACCAAACCAGTCTCGAACTGTACAACGACCTGATTGAAACTGCTGATCCCGTGCGTTCTTGCCCTTGCTCGTGTATCGACCCACAGCATTCACACCTGCACTTCACAGCAATCGGAAGAATATTCAGATGTACTGACAAACCTCACTGCCTCACAGAAGCATCTCGACTTCATCAACACCGGATTTCTGCATGAGCTGGATGCATTACCCACATCGGTCGTCTCGGCGATCGAAACATTACCTCCTCCCACTTCTCATCCGACCCAGGTTCTCCTGGAATCACGTTCTGCGCAGAACAAACAGTTGGAGGAAGAGCCACCAGTGACAAAGACGAAAACAGTAAGGATGAAACGTGTACCCAAGGGCGTCATTCCTGGCGTAACGCCTCCTCCTGATCCGGAACGATGGTTAAAGAAGAGCGAGAGATCGAACTACAATCAAGGAAAAAAGCGGAAAGGTGCCGGTGGAGGAGCGACACAAGGTGTCGTCACGGACAGTGTGCTTCCTCCACCCAGTGCCGCGAAAGCCGGGGGTACTTCGAAAGGGAAGAAAAAGAAATCGTGAGGTGGGCGGGTATGAGACGCTGTTGGCCTTGCTGTCAAGGTGTCGTTGACGCATTTTTTTGCCTTTTTCTTATCCTGCCCCCGTTCAGGTTAAGGCGTGGTAGATCGCGTTCTGGTGCCGCAAGTCGCCGGTACAACGTTCCATTTCTTATCTAATCGATGCGTTCCATTTGATGTCATCTCTCATTTCCGTTCGACCAGCCTATGTGGGTGGAAACATTGAATCGTTCTCTTTGCGAGGACCTGTGCTATCTGTCCACTCATGCAGGTCAATATCGCGACTTGTTTCTCTGTCACCGTACTCGCCTTCAACAAAAGCGAATGACCCTTCGAAAGTATCTTCGGTGCACTCCGACTTTGATTCCACGTGGTCTGTACCCATTTGACGCGTGTAGGCCGTGAGGCCTGCATAATGGTAATATAACAAATGCTATATCACATTTCTCTCCCTTAGGTGCTATCATTAACAAATGATGATTGTACGCGTGTAGACTGGGTGACCACCATCTGATCATGCGAACGGTTTAACGCTGTCGCCTGGAGTAAACGCCCCCCACCAGCTAACGGCCACGTGGCGATGAATTTGGTCGTTTTTTTGTCCTCGCTATACCCTTTTTCTCTACGGAGCAATATTCGAATAGGGAAAACCACACTGTGCCCTTGTGCCTAGCACTGACATTGTAACAAGTCCTTCTGATGGCGACTTTTCGTTCCAGTGTGGTCGACGGTGTTCACATCTTCGTTACATTCATTACACGAACCTGTCCGTCTGCACAAGTGCGGATTCTTCTCTCTCAGGACGGCCTCGCGCTAACCTGGCGTTGGGTCCTAATATGTGAGGCAACGTGCCGCGGCTTCTCCACCCTGGTGTCGGCTCTCGTGCCACGCGCCAAGCATGATTCCGCAATGGCTGCCCGTTTATAAGACGCAGGATGGCGAGCTTGGTTCTCTACCAGCAATTTTCTTTTAACTCTTCGGTTCCCCGCATCCTTACAACTGCCTGACTACTCCCATCGACATGACCGACGTCTTAGGTGTTCTTGTCATTGCCCGCAATGGCGACCGCGATGAGTTCTTCCAAGACCCCAAGACTTACGAGCCTCATTTCACTGAGAGCACTCCTCTCGGCGCTGTAAGTCTCCTCTCATCCCTCTTTCTATTCGATTTAACTTTTAATCATGTCATTTCTCCTAGGTCGAGTCTTTCCAGTTGGGCTCTTTCCTCCGTTCAGTCTACCTGAGCCCTTCATCTCCGTCCTACATTACCAACATGAAGACGGACCTCGTCAACACTCACGAGGTCCACTTCTATGCCAAGGCCGGCGGTGAGGGCCCCGTCATTTTCGACTCCGCCATCGCCCTCCTTCAGGGGTTATTCCCTCCGACGCCCAAAAACAAAATCACCCTCGCAAACGAGACCACCGTTGTCGCACCCCTCGGTGGATACCAATACGTCCCGATCGAGACCGTCGAGCCAGGCAATGACCGCACCCTCGAACCCTGGACGGACTGCCCCGTACGTACACGCGTTTACGACCACTCGGAGAGGTATGGCTAACGGATGCTGATGCTCACGTGCCGTCATACAGGCCTTCCAGGATCACATCTCCAGGGTCTACGCTTCTCCGGAGTTCAAGGAGAAGGCTAAGACCGCGCAGCCATTCTTTGGTGCCATCAGGGACTACGTCTTTGGTCGCTCCACCACATTGGAGAATGCGGTGAGTCATTGGCTGTTTCTAGAAGCATGATCGACGTGGTGCTGATACATGGGCCTGACAGTGGAACGTGTGTAGTCCTTATTCTGTCACCACCTGAGATTGGGTTCGAGTGATGTTTCCTCTTTTCTGTTTTAGATCTACGACTACATGAACACGCAGCTCATCCATAACAAGACTTTTGCGCACCGGCTCCCTCCTACCTTGATTGAGCAGGCTCGTGGTTTTGCTGACTTCCACGAGAACGCACTCTTCGGAAGCAAGGATATTGGCGGTATCGGTAACTGTGAGTCGTACTTAGCCAACCTGCTGGGGAACGGACTGACTAATATGGCGGATAGTGCCTGGTCGTACTATTTTGCACCTCATCCTCGACTCGCTCCAGCGCATCGCATTCAACGGTGACCCCCTCCAGTTCCTCCTCGTTGAGACCAGCTACCACCCGTTCATTTCTCTCTTCCACATGCTTGAGATAACCAAGCACAACCCCGAACTCGCTGGCTTCCGTGAGTGCACTACTATCTTACACTCGAGAGTAGTGTTGTGACACGTCTTGCATAGCCAACTTCGCTTCCGCCCTTGCTTTCGAGCTCCGTCGTGGACCTGCACCCGAGGACAGGGACTTCTTGAGGATCAAGTTCAAGAATGGCACTAGCGACAACTTCGAGACCTACCACGTTTTCGGACACAAGGCTGATATCCCCCTCACGGAGTTCTTCTACCGCGCCGAGGTAAGCCCCACCCGAACCAATCCTCATATAGCTTTACTCATCTACCTGCGCATCCGTTCAGAACTACGCCATCAGCTCCTACAAGCAATGGGCTGCGACTTGCCAGGATGGCCTGCAAGACGACTACCTCCACATCGGCTCCCAGAACGGTGCAACTACCACCGTCATGGCTGCCTGCGCTGCAGTGCTGTTTGTCGGTATGTTCGCGCTTGCCAAGTTCATCAAGCGTTCTCGTGCCAAGAAGTACGTTCGCCTCCCCGATGATGAGGTGAGTCCTGGTTCATGCACCCATCATAACTACGGTACCCTGCACAACGTCAGGTCGGCTATGATCGCGCTGGGTACATGTACTGATTGACATTTCATAGACCCCCGCCGCTGCACGCGTCGAGCCCATGGTCGAGAAGGGACGCGTCCGTCTCTGAGTGCACTGCTCATATGGAAAGGGCAGTAGAGGGTGACCTTTCCTAAAACGTCTGCATGATTTCTCTTGTTCTCGGTCTCTCTTACGCATGGTCTTGTACACGGATTTTCCTTACATAGTCCTTCGCTTGTATTTGTCTGTATGGATCATGTATGTGGATTGATGGGGCTGGTGCCCCGCCTGTATTTTGATCCTGGTGTGCTCGGTCAGGGATATGGTCGATATAAGACTGGTGCTGAGGGCCCGGATGGGGTCAAGGTAGATTTGCAGCCTCGCAACATCTCGACGTGGCCCAATGTCACACCTTATCCTTTCACTTGGAATGGGTCCACCCTTAGTATTTTCACGTGTCCGCAGACTAGACACTACGGTACCGCACCCCTTGTTGGAGATACCGCTCCACCTCGTCAGCGATAGATAGAACACGTGAGGTTAGCGGAAAGGATTGTTGATTCATTCTGTGGTATGGCTAGCCCTAGCCGCAAACGACTGGAATCTCTGGATGCAGTCGCCAGGCCAGAAGCACGTTAAATCCTATTCCATCATATGATTGAGTAGTACAAACAATGGGGGACGAGGAAATCACAGGCGATCGTTCCAATAGTGTGGATTCCTCGACCCTTCAGTCTGCCGTTAGTGCGCCCACTTCGCTTCTCCGACCCACTAACCGCCTACGTATGGGATTCGATTTGAGACATGTCCAAGTTGCCGGGCACGTAGTGGCGGCGACACCGCCGTAGATACCATACTCGATCGGAACCCCCCAACTTGAGGGACAGTTGGACCGTTAGTATATCAAGGAACATCACGCTGCTGAGCGCAACTTTCGCCCATTCGAGACGTGGATATGAGCTCATCAGACTCCTTCAGGTGGGTTCGACTGTAAGACATTCCCGACTCTCTGCGATTTCTGGAATCAGTATTGGACGTGTATGTACTGTGTGCGGTGCATGCAGTAGTTTTAGTCAGTGCCACACACCATTCTGAACAAGGTTTTCGGTACAGCATGGGATATGAAGAACACGAAGCATTTTCACAACTCACAGAAGTGTCCAGGACTCCAGCCTTTCCACCACCATGGGGCGCAAGCGTGTTAGCGGAAAGTCGTGAATCTGAATCGCTTTCTTAGAGGAGATGAAGCAGCCACGCGCTGTGCCCCCTAGTACTAGCAAATTGGCTACGCACGGAGGGCGAATTGGCAGCATGTCGACGGAGTAAACGCCATGAACCAATTTGCAATGGAAGAAGTGAATCAGAACATGGTACCCTTTGTTAGGCGATGAATAGGTTAGTACCTGTTAAAGCTTAGTATCCGCTGTGCTAAACCGGACTGTGACCTCAGTGAACGGCCAGAGGGCCAGAGCTATGTCGCGCTTCTCTTTTTCATTCCTGTGAACTGGCAGCCTGGTGGCCTCACATGCAGCCAGTATCTCTGAGCTGTGCGGCAACCTTTCGCGTCCATTCTGACCCCCAGGCTATGTGTTCTTCGACCTCTTCGACGAGCTGCTGATATGCCTGTGAAGTGTTCTACTAGTATTTTTACATACTTGTCCAGCGGAGGGCCATAGTGCCGGGACCCTCGGTGATCTGTGACTCCGGGCTGCTGCAGGGATAACGGCCAAAATGATGACCATCGCCTCGTGCCTGCCAGGAGGCTGACCATCTCACCGGTGTCATTCCAGCAACGTGGTGACCCTTCTCCCACCATGATGCGCCCTGATTTGTTCCTCCTAAAAGGCGCTTAAGAAAACTTCATGTGGGTACAAGCACTCCTGGTGCCGACCTCGTTGTGAACCTGAAACTTGAACTTTTACCCTTCCTGCATTTGTCGATATGTCTAAAGTACTCGGTGTTCTCGTTATCGCGCGCAATGGGGACCGTGAAGAGTTCTTCCAAGATCCAAAGACCTACGAACCATCTCCAACGAGAAGCACTCCACTCGGTGCGGTGAGTATTCAAGTTTCTACGCGAGAAAGAGACCTTTGAATATCCTCGCATAGGCCGAGTCTTTCCTTCTCGGTTCCTGCCTCCGTTCTCAATATCTGTCTCCGTCTTCCTCATCGCAAATCTCGGGAATCAAACACGGTGTCGTCGACACTCACCAGGTGCACTTTTACGCCAAAGCAGGGGGTGAGGGCGCTGCCATATTCGATTCTACAATGGCCCTACTTCAGGGTCTCTATCCTCCCAACCCCAACAACAAAATTACTCTTGCAAACGAGACCACGATAGTTGCTCCACTTGGAGGATACCAATACATCCCTATCGAGACAGTCGAGCCTACAAACGACCGGTCGTTGGAGCCTTGGACCGATTGTCTGGTAGATAGCCGTTGTTTGCGGTATCTTGTGGTTTGTGTGAGGCTGACCATCTGGTTTAGGCGTTCCAGCGACACGTCGCAGATGTATATGCTTCACCAGAATTTAAGGCGGCTGCGAAGTCTGCTCAGCCTTTCTTCCAATCTATCAAGGATTATGTCTTCGGGCGTCCTACGACGCTCGAGAACGCGGTATGTTTCTTGTATCCACCGCTCACACATGTCTTCATCTCCCATGATAGGTGAATGTGTGTACCTTTATCTGGTATATCTTGTGGGATCTGGGTTGAAGTCACGTTCAGATCTATGACTACATGAACACTCAACTTGTTCATAATCAGACTTACGCGTACCGTCTCCCACCAACGCTAATCGACCAAGCTCGGAACTTCGCTAACTACCATGAGAGTGCGGTCTTTTCGTCCAAAGAACTCGGCGGGATCGGAAATTGTGAGTCGACCCCTGTCACGCTGCTCGATATTTCGCATGGGTACTTGCGATGGGTATTGACTGACGTGATACTTGGTGTGCAACAGTGGCCGGTCGGACAATTTTACACTCGATCATCGATTCTTTGGACCGTATCGCCTTCAACGGCGACCCTCTCAAGTTCCTTCTGATCGAAACTAGTTATCAACCTTTCATTTCCTTGTTCCAAATGTTGGGACTAACCAAGGAGTATCCCGAACTCATTGCAATCCGTAAGTATCTCTCCAACCACGCCAGTAGAACCGCCACCCTCGCCTTATCTTCCGTAAACTATTACCTATGAACTTGCATACTTCATCTACGAACGAACCCTGCATACTAATTCGGTGCGCATAGCCAACTTCGCCTCCGCATTCGCCTTCGAGATCCGTCGCGGACCCGGCCCTGAGATACGCGATTTCCTGCGAATCAAGTTCAAGAATGGGAGCGACGAAGGCTTCCAGACGTACCATGCCTTTGGGCATAAAGCTGATATTCCTGTTACCGAGTTTGTATATAAACTCGAGGTGGGTGTACCCTTTTTCGTCTGTTTTTCGACGTTCCTATATTATGTTGGTATTTCTTACACCGCAACTGACTTTATCTATCATGATCTGCACGCACGACAGAACTACGCCATCACCTCCCAGAAACAATGGAACGCCGCGTGCAACCTTCCGTATGACGCTTACGCGACACACAACGGGGTATACCTCACATCAGTGTCTGTAACCGTCCAAGCTGCGCTGGCTGCAATGCTCTTCGTCGGTTTGCTCGCGTTATCAAAACGCCTGTGGAGGAGGCGCGGTGTTAGAAGTCATGCTCATGGGTATGAGTATAGACATGAGGTGAGTGTAGTGTCTTTCCCTTCGTTGCTTGTGTGGGGAATGTGCTGACGGGAACTTGCTTCCCAACGGATCTCGTGGCATGTTCAGCCCGTGACAGCTGACGTGAAGCGTGGTGTTACGCTCTGAAATGTACATGTTTGTGCATTTCGTGTTCCGGATCTCGGTGTGTTTCGATGATATGTTCGCTGCGAGTTCATGGATATTCGTGTTTTTCTAGTGTGTAAAGTAGTACTTTTTGTCACATGTCAATAGGACGGTCTTATGCTAATAGTGATCTGCAAGGCTAAGAAGTCGATTTAGGAACGACATACTATGGAACACGCAGGCTGAGCATTATTTGATCGTTGGCGTAAACTACTCTGTCATGGTGGATCCTCATATCACGGCGAGCTGCCGTTACGTTCTGTTTCTTATGAATTTGTTCATTTCTCCGCGGACCTACTTGGCCATATGTATTCCCCTATCCTCGATAGGCGGGTCCCTAGACTAGAAGAGTGCCGATGACCACACCGACGATCCCAGCAACCACACCCATCACCGCTCCCTTTACGCCTTCTCCCTCCCACACCCACACTTCTTTCATACCGATCCGCACCACCCTCGCAGCTCCGTTGCTCACAGGCCCGGTAATGATCGCCACAGGCGTAATACTCGTTGGAAAAGTTGGCTGTGGGGACGTTACCAGTGGGGAAGGGAATGAGAGTGTTGCGGGGAGAGCAGGGATCGAGCCGGTGGATGCTCCAGGGTTTGAGTAGGCTGCGAGATTGCAGTATTGCTGGGCGAGGTTTTCGGCGGCGTAGAGGTTGATGAGACAGGATTGGGCAGTACAGTTGACGAGTACTTGCGGGAATATGGGGCTTTTTTTTTAAAAAAAGGGGGGGGAGAAGCAGAATGTAGAGGTAAGTAAGTGGGATAGAAGAGAGGAGAAACTTACTTGGAACAGTAGCAGTCGACAGCAATGACGCTGGTGCAATTTGCCGCATAAGCAGCATGGGCGAGACACAGGGTTACTGTGTCATATTACATGTTATTTCCGAATAGCATCACGCACCAGTCAAGTGGTCGGGTGAGATACGCACCACAAGCAGGATACCCAGTCAACGGCGGGAATCCAGCCGTACTCGAGGTCGTTATCGAGACGGAATTCAAAGACTGGGACGGAACCCATGGGATCGGGGTTCCTCCGAACGGGGTGAGATTGATAGAGGCAGAGGTAGTTTGGCCGTATAAAGGGATCGAGATGGTAGCAGGCGTCGGTGTTAGGCCGTACTGCAATGAGTTCTGGCTGGATGCAGCGGGGGATTCTTGGCGTTTCTCGAGTTCTGCGGCCTTAGAAGGCTCATATACATCCCTAGATTGGTCGGGTGATCGTGCAAGGACGTACATCAGCTGTGCGAGAACGAGAAGGAGTGCAGTGGTGAATGTGTGGTGCATCGTGATGGCCGCGGCTGTGAAAATGGAACTGTCAGCAGCGTCAGTTGTAAAGTAGAGAGTTCAGACCGACCTCCTCATCTTCGACGGGTGGATGTGCTTTCCGAGCGGAAGGGGTCGCGGAAGGGGTCGCGGAAGGGGTCGCGGAAGGCGGGACGACTTAGGGGGGGCCTATATTTGGAAATGAAATCTTTCGTCACGTGAATGTGGCTGTGTGGGACGGGTCATTAGACATCGTTCGAAGAAGAATCTAAGCTGATGCATGTGCATGAAAAATGATCCGATACATAGGTGGTGTGTGTCAAACACTACGGAACAGTGGCCTGGAGCGTCGTCTTTGCTGAGATGACTGTCATCGATGCCAAGGTTCGCCTTCCTAACGTTCAATGTGTCCTCGACTACAAAGTCAACTAATTCGATCACTAAGGCAGGACACTCAAGTAAAAGCTCAAGAGCGGCGGGGATGGCCAAGTTGTCGTCCCGTCCCGACCACCCCTTGCAGGGTACGACGAGGTGAAGTCTCGGTCACTGTCCATGAAGGCATACGCGCAGGAAAGTCTTGGTGTGGTGCGTCTTCACTCGGGTCTCTATCTGACCTTCAGGGATGACGTGGATTCCTGCATAAACCAGCGCTCCGCACCTCGCAACCTTCAATTTCTCATTGCCAATGGTCAACTTGTTCTTCAGCTCCTGGCACCTCTTTCCAAATACCCTTGATGAATGTTGAGACACCGGTGAGCATACTGGGCGTGTTCTTTGCGCCCATGAGGACGTTCTTCGATGTGTCAGGTTACTGTCCATCTGTCGGAATGGTTGCGGGTACCATCTCGGCGATCCATGTAATGGAATCATTATACACTTGGTCGCTGTGTCGAGTGATACGTGCGTGGTTGAAGCGTTAAGGTACGGCTTACTCCAAATTCAACATTTATTCCTATAGGCGCTGACTCGCTCCTCCTGAAAATAGGAGATCGATTTCGTGATTGATACGTGTTGTTTGCGTCGACGTCATGATTGGTTGAAACAGGTTGCATGTGTCGTGTCCAGTTTCATTTTTGGTACGCCTACGTGGATGGATGACCGCCGTCGTATCCTGCGGGAACGGATCGAGAGTGTCGTGAAGGCAGATTAGCCCATTTATGCGATGATATGGGTAATTTTTATTCACAACTCACCTTTTGAGGCTGCTATATTTCTAACAATAATTAGCAAACCTCATCGGTTCAGGCTGTAGGTTTCTCAAGAGCGCTCCTGAGACTTGGCAGGTACCGGCTGTCCATTATGGTGGAACTGTGGGGCCGCTTACTATAACTCGATGTGCCTAATACCCACCAGGCCATATATCTACGATCGCCCTCCTCTCAACTATTTCAAGCCAGATCAGCCTCTGTGCGCTTTCATGTCTTGGTTAGCTGGGCTGTAGAAAGACATACCCTTTCCGCCCTTCGCAACTGTGCCATTTGACTCCTGGACGCTCGTGCGCTCGTTGTCCCGGCCCCTGGTCGAAGGACTGGTGATCTCATCGCGATATCTTCGGCATGTGTCGGCGCGGATATAGTTATTTTTCTCTATCGACCTCGAAACCGGCCGTTTTAGGAAACCGGGGCTCTGGTAAAACTTGCGCCCGGACAAGTCCGGCGCCCAAAACGTCTGCTACCGAGACTACCCCACAGATCACATATGGTGCGCGCGGCCCATTAAGCCCTATGCCTTGTCATCGCCAGTAGGTGTCAATAACGTGATTCTGGCAACTCCTTGCCAGAAAATGTATAAAGCTATCCCTGAACACGACCAGAATTGCGTGACCTTTCATTGCTCGCTTCTCCTACGTCTGCGCAGCCTCGCCTTACTGTTTCGTTGACTCGACCGTCTTCTGAAAGATGTCTACAGTATACTTCGACGGTCGCCAGGAAAAGCGTGTCGAGTGCTATACCAAGTTCTGGCAAAAGGACCTCATCAGTGAGAGCGAAGCCGACATCAAGAACCGTCTTGACAAGTACACCGATGTCGCCAATGGTTTGTTCCATTTCTCCTGTCGGCGTTTGCGGCAAGCTCAAACCACCCGCCGCTCAGGATACTATGATGGCGCGACAGAGTTGTATGAGTATGGCTGGGCAGAGTCGTTCCACTTTTCGCGGTTCTATGAGGGGGAGGGCTTTGCCGCGTCCCTGGCTCGCAACCAGCACTATTTAGCCGCTTATATGGGTCTTCGGCCTGGCATGAAAGTGCTGGACGTCGGGTGCGGTGTTGGTGGGCCGGCGCGTGGAATTGCTCGTTTTTCCGACGTCCAAATCGTCGGTATCAACAACAATGAATTCCAACTCGGTCGCGCTCGGCGATACACTGAAAAAGCTGGTCTCTCCGACCAAATCACTTATGTGAAGGGCGACTTCATGAAGCTTTCCGAGCAGTTCGGCGATAATTCCTTTGACGCGGGTACGTAAGGCTTCAAGAGCATCAACATGCTACTCAGACTTCGAAATGCAGTATACGCCATCGGCGCCACTGTTTATGCACCTACGTGGGAAGGCGTCTACGGAGAAATTTTCAGGGTCCTGAAACCTGGTGGTGTTGTAAATGTTGTTTCTGTTTCATTTTGCTCGCCACTGACTCAGTAACCCAGTTTGGCGTTTATGAATGGTGCATGACTGATGCTTGGGATCCATCCAATCCGTCTCACAAAGAACTCGCCCGCCAAATTGAATTTGGCAGCGGCATTCCAGAACTTCGAACCCTGAAAGTTGCTCGTCAGGCCATGAAAAACGTGGGATTCCAGATCGAGCATGATGAAGACCTCGCTGCGCGCCCCGACGAAATGCCATGGTACTACCCCCTCGAAGGTGACATCTGGAAAGCACAGACCGCGTGGGATTATTTCACGATTTGGCGAATGAGCTGGAGTGGCAAACTCGTTACCCATAGCGTTGTCAAAAGTATGGAGTGGTTTGGTCTTTTGCCGAAAGGTACTTGGGAGGTGGGTGAATCGCTCAAGGTTGCAGGGGATGCACTGGTCAAAGGAGGGCAGACCAAGGTCAGTACTTCAGTTCCTCTGCTGCCGTGTGCAGGTACTGATTGACCAATCTACTGAAGCTATTCACGCCGATGTACTTCATGATTGGCCGCAAGCCTGCAGTGGCTAACTGTGGTGCCGTTCGTTACTAGTTGTTCGTTTATGCTATCCTTGATTCGTGAGCTTGGTAATATTGGGGTTTGTGACTAGTCCTCCACAATAACTTCACCCTAGTGTGTGTTAATTGCAAGCAAAGGTCTGCAAAATAGTTTAAATAGCATAAATGACAAGCAAAGTACATTTGTTAGCAGTTGGTGGGGAGACACAGGGGTCGATCCTTCGTCACGTGAACGTGACTGTAAATTTTCGATGATCGAAGTCATTGCGGCAGGCATCCACACCTTCGCGTCAGGACCCGGCGTCGTTTGACATCGTTGTCGAGTCGAGATGACGGACTCTGTGGCAGCCAAGTCAGCATTTCTATGCATGTACATGAAAAATCATCCGGATACATTGGTGGCCTACGTCAAGCACTATGGCAAAGTGGCCGGGAACGTTGTCTCCGCTGAGATGACTTCCATCGATACCAAGGTTCGCCTTCCTAACGTTCAACGTGTCCTCTTCCACAAGGTCAACTAATTCGATCACTAGGGAATGACGCTCGGGTACAAGTTCAAGAGCGGCGGAGATGGTCAAGTCGTCGTGTTGTTCCAACCACCCCTTGCAGGGTACGATGAGGTGAAGCCTCGTCTGCTTTCCATGAAAGCAGACGCACAGGAAAGTCTTGGCATGGTGCGTCTTTACTAGAATTTCTTCCTCATCTTCAAAGATGATGTGGACTCGTGCACAGATCAAGGCTCCGCACCTCACAACCTTCAATTTCTCATTGCCGATGGTCTACTCGTTCTTCATAACTCTGTGTTGTTGCTCCTATCTCACGGTGTATCCATCTCCCAGAACGTCTTTCCAAATACCCTTGACGAATTTTGAGATACCAGCGAGCATACTGGACGTGTTCTTTGCGCCTATTAGGACGTTCGTTGATGTGACAGGTTGCCGCCCATCTGTCGGTATGGTTGCGGGTACCATCTCGGTGATCCATGCAATAGAATCACTGTACACTTGGTCGCTGTGTAAGCGATACGTGCGTGGCTGGAGCGTTAAGGTGCGGCTTAGTCCAATCTCGACGGTTATTCCACATAGGCGCTGACTCGCTCCCCCTCAAACACATATGGTTGATTCCCGCCGTTTATATCGAATTCGTCGTTCGTCGGACCAGGCTGCATATGTTGCGTCCACTTTCATTGTCGGTACACCTGCGTGGATGGACATCCACCGTCGTGTCCAACGGAAACGGATCGAGAGTGTTATGAAGGCGGAGTAGCCCGTTTATGCGATGATTGCATATTATCACTCGCACACTTTTGGCGTTGCTGTATTTCTAACGATAATTAGCTCACCACGTCAGTTTCAGACTATGGGTTCCTTGGAGCGCTTGCTGGACTTGGAGGGTATCAGTTGTCCATCATGATGAACTGTGGGCCACTTACTATAACCATGGAGAGGTATGACGAAATGAATAGACTAACGTACCCAGTGCCCACGAGGCCATTTCTACACAGCCTCGTGTTCAACACACTAGGACTGCTTTCCCCACCCCCACCCATCTTGGACTTGATACATGTGAGAAGTACAATTTACATGAAGCTCAAACCGCTGTCTAATAAGTTTGCGCTCATGTTATCTCTTCTGTCAACGCCGTGATCGTTGAGGAAATTGAAAGGTGGCGAGTTATTGCAATAGTCTTGGCCTTAAGTCATTATTACCGCGGTATGACAGTAAGCACAGCGTTTCACCCTCAAGGCAGTGGGAGGGAAGACCCTGTGCAAGAACGTGACCCACATGAACTTTATCTATTCGGTGTATCACCGTCGTATCAGCCACTGGCAGTGCAAAGAACCTGACGTTTCTTTGATCTGCCCATGGGCCTTGCTTGTTCTCTCCCTGAACTATCCCTCTGATCAGTCGGTATTAAAATATAGCTGCTGTTGACCCCTATTGGCCCTGAACTACCTGAGCTAACATTTGCAGATAAACATTGCGCCCACCGATTAAGTAAAGAATTGTTTGGTCTGCCATTAATGGGTATGGAGCAAGCCAGATCAACTTACGGGCGTTCTCATCTCTTTGGCCAGTTGGGCCGCAGAAGGACACATCCTTTCTATCCTTCGCAATAGCGTCATCTCACTCCCGGATATTTGCACATTCACTTTGTTACCGACTTTACAGCTAGCCACGCCCCTGGTAGAAGGACTGATGATCTCATCGCACTTTCCGATGACGGAGCTGCTCCATAACGTTTGTAATCGGAACTCGGGTCACAATCAGACATGGTCCGTGCCTGAGAATAATCTTTGGCGTGGATTGAGACTAATTTCCTTCTCCTTGAACCACTCTATTCCTCGTTTTGGGTAGCATCACTGGTTGTGGGATGTATTGCCTCCACAGGTTCCATATGGTTCTCGTCCCCTCTTCGCTTGCGTCGAGTCTTGTGAGTTGTCGTCGTGGGCACCTGTCAAGAGCGTGATCCTGGCCACCCCTCGCTTGAAAGTATACAAAAGCTGTCCCTCAACACAACCAGAACCTGAGTGACCTTCCCTTGCTTGCTCCCCTTCCTACGTCTGTGTCACATTGCTTTCTGTTTCCTTGACTCGACCATCTTCAGAAAAATGTCTACAGTATACTCTGACGGTCGCCAGGAAAAGCGTGTCGAGCGCTATACCAAGTTCTGGCAAAAGGACCTTACCAATGAGAGCGAAGCCGATAGCAAGAATCGCCTCGACAAGTACACCGATGTTGTCAACGGTTTGTTCCATTTCTCCTATGGGCGTTGTGTCAAGCTCACACCACCCGACACCCAGGATACTATGATGGTGCGACAGAGTTATATGAGTATGGCTGGGCGCAGTCGTTCCACTTCTCGCGTTTCTACAAGGGCGAGGGTTTTACCGCGGCTTTGGCTCGCCAGGAACACTATCTTGCCGCTCATATGGGTCTTCGGCCTGGCATGAAAGTATTGGATGTCGGATGTGGTATTGGTGGACCGGCGCGCGAAATTGCCCGTTTTTCCGACGTCCAAATCGTCGGTATCAACAACAATGACTTCCAACTCGGTCGTGCTCGGCGATACACCGAAAAAGCTGGTCTCTCCGACCAAATCACTTATGTCAAGGGCGACTTCATGAAGCTTTCGGAGCAATTTGAAGCAAATTCTTTCGACGCGGGTAAGTAAGGCTTCGTGTACATCAACATGTTATTGAAACCTCGACATACAGTATACGCCATCGATGCCACTGTCTATGCACCCACATGGGAGGGCGTCTACGGTGAAATTTTCAAGGTTCTCAAACCTGGTGGTGTTGTAAATATTGTTTCTGCTTCATTTTGCTGGCGTACTTACGCAGTAACCAAGTTCGGTGTTCTCGAATGGTGCCTGACTGATGCTTGGGATCCATCCATTCCGTCCCACAAAGAACTAGCCCATCAAATTGAATTTGGCAACGGCATTCCAGAACTTCGAACCCTGAAAGTTGCTCGTCAGGCCATGAAAAACGTGGGATTCCAGATCGAGCACGATGAAGACCTCGCCGCACGGCCGGACGAAATACCATGGTACTACCCTCTGGAAGGTGACATCTGGAAAGCACAGACCGCGTGGGATTATTTCACGGTTTGGCGAATGAGCTGGAGTGGCAAGCTCGTTACCCATACCGCTATCAGAGCTATGGAATTGTTTGGTCTTTTGCCGAAAGGTACTTGGGAGGTGGGTGAATCGCTCAAGGTTGCAGGGGATTCACTGGTCAAAGGAGGGCAGACCAAGGTCAGTACTTCAGTTCCTTTACTGCCGTGCGCAGGTACTGACTCGCTAATCTATGGAAGCTGTTCACGCCGATGTATCTCATGATCGGCCGCAAGTCCGCACTGCCTAACTGATGCCATTGATCACCAGTTGTTCGCCTATGTTATCCTTGATTCATGAGTTTGGCAATATTGGAATTTGTGACCAGTCTCCCACAGGGTTGTTCTACTGTGTATTATATGCAAGCAAAGGCCTGCAGAACAGTTTATGTAGTGTGGATTACAAAAGCAGAGTATATTGTTTCGACTACGTTCGAAGCAGAGGGTTTGAGTATGTAGTTGTTGATAGTCTTGTAAATACTCGCCCTCCAGAATATGCAATCGTGTGATATTGGATTGGTTCGACTAGTGGAGCCTGACTATGTCAGCGACAGAACAGTAAATACCTTATTTTCCACAGATAAGTTAACGGAGGTAAAAGGGAAGATCCTGCAGACTGTTTTGTTGGATAATACTAGGAAAGTGTTTGGTCTAGTATAGGTGTATGACGCTGCATCTGTAACATTAAACAAACAAAAATAAAGCAGCTGATTGCACAACTTTTGCAGTAATGCGCAGAAAATATGTGGCTGTGCCCACAGCTACTGACTAAGCAGGGCATGTGCATGGGGGAGCGAGTGAGTCAGGGCTACACGCACTCCTCGCCCGTTCCTCGGGACTCGTTTCAATGCTACTGTACATAACCCATGTAATAATGGGTATTTTGCCAAGAAACGGGCCCAAATTCGCTAGGCCAGTGATGACTTGTGGCGCAAAGTGCAGTCACATGAATTTGCAGGTGGCAATGCCATGGGAATTTCCTGAAGGAGCAATCCCGCCACCAGGTGGGAGGGGCAGGGGAGGGGGTCGAGCATTCGAGTGGGCCCTGTGGGGCATCACAGCCTTGTGGATTGGGCGGGATGACTAGGGAGGGTGCCGACAAACTGTGTTCACGTCCTGCCTATGTTTATCTATTTTATCTGCCCTCCTAGCTAGTGCAAAGTGGTACAAGGTGGCTGTGTTAAAAATTATGCAGGGGTAGTATAAAAAGTTGCGCAGGAGCAGTGCTGCAAAAGTCACACAATCAGCTGTTTTATTTTTGTTTGTTTAATGTTACAGATGCAGCGTCATAGCTACCTGCAGGAACGCATGCGTTTGTACAGCAGACTAGTAGTACATAACTTTAGACTTGTGCCGCACCGTTATTATGTAAATCCCAAAAATCTCGAATCTCATTTTCCAGTCCTGTCACATCCAAAATCAGTAGCTGTGGACGAATATATTACCACGTATGTGCGTGCCAGAACACGAGACGCAGGGTTGCCGTATCATGTTACATGCATTTCTGAATTGTATCACGCACCAGCCAAGCGAGATATACACCATCAGTGGCAGGAATCCAGCCAAACTCGAGGTGGTCACCGACACTGAATTCAAAGAGTAAGATGGGAACCCGTGGGACCGGGGCTCCTTTAAACGGGGTGAGGTTGGCAGAGGTAGAGGTAGTTGTTTGTGTTTGGCCACACGGAGAGATCAGGGTGGAAGTGGGCGTTGGTGTTAGACTGGAAATGCTGCGAGGCTGGGTACTTGCCATTGCTCAATTTCACAACCTAGGCAGGCTCAGGTAGTGACATCCCTGACTTGATCGGATGATTTTGCGAGGGCGTACATCAGTTGTGTGAGAACGGGAAGGAGTGCAGTGGTCAATTTGTGGTGCGTCGTGATAGCCTTGGCTGTGAACAGGACAGACTGTCAGCAGAGGGAAGCGAGGGCGAGCGCTGTTCGGATCAGAGCAACATAGGGGCTGATCTTCTGTCACGTGAATCGGGCTACTGCGCATCCGCATCAACTTCGGTTCAGTGTATATGAAAAAACCGCCCAGATACATTGGTGGCCCCTATCAAGCACTATGGTAGCGTGACCGGAAACGACGTCTCTACTGAGATGACAGCCATCGATACCTATGTCGTGTCGTTCTAACCACCCCGTGGAGGGTACGACAAGGTTACACCTGGGTTGCTGACCATGAAGGTGGGCGCAAGGAAAGTCTTGGTATGGTGGATCTTTACTTAAATCTCTGTCTCATCTTCAAGGATGAGTGGATTCGTGCATAGACCAAGGCATCGCACCTCACAACCTTTACTCGTTCATCACAGTCCTATGTCGTTGCTCATATCTCACAATGTATCTATCCCCCAACGTGTCTTCTCAAGTACCTTTCGTATACAAGGGCACGAGTCGATGTAACGAGTTACCGCGGTATCTAATAATCTATCGGAAAGGCTGCGGGTACTATATCGGTGGTTGATGCAAAGGAATCAAATACACTTGGTCTAGTACGTCCAAACTCTACATTTATTGCATATATGCACTGACCCGCTTCTCCCGAAACGTATATCCATTCTGGGGTTGATACCTGGGGTTTACAACGACATCATTGGTTGAGACAGGCTGCGTATATCACGTCCTCTTTCGTTTTTGGTATACTTGCCTAGACGGATATCTGCCGTCGGGTCCAACGGAAACTGATTGAGAGTGACATGAAGGCGGAGCAGGCCGTTTATGCGATTGATACGGGCGGTTTTCATTCTCCACTCATACCTTCTGATGCGCTTTTGTATTTTTAACAAAAATTGGCTCACCACCTCGGTTCAGATTATGGCTTCCCTTGGGAACGCTCGGCAGGTACCATCTATCATGATGGGACTGTGGAGCCGCTTACTATAACCATGGAAAGGCATGATTGAAGAAAATAGAGTGACGTACGTACTTTGTACCTACTGGGTCTTATCTACACAGCTGCACCGTGCCCAACACACCAAGATCGCTTTCCCAACCATTCCAATTGGTTTGGGTCTGTTTGACCTGCACCGGCAGGTGCCGGGGCGTGACAGCGGAGCGTCTGTTCTCGGAGAAAAGTGCAATTAGTGCTACTGTCTAAAGGGTTTGCACTCATTGTCTCTTTTGTCAACGTCGTGATCCTTGAGGGCGGTAAGTTATTGCAGTGGTCGATCCTATGTTGGTATGACAGTACGCACAGCGCTTTACACTGAAGGCAGTGGGTAGGAAGATATTGTGCAGGGACATGACCCCCGGTTACACCTTATCGGCACGTGTATCACCGTCGTATCAGCCTCTGGCAATGCCGAGTCTTCGTTCCTTTATCCGCCCACGGCCTCGCTGGTTTTTCTCTCTCCCTGAAGTGATATATTGCGCCAGCCGAGTAAGCAAAGAACTTTAGGTTTGGGATGCCATTAAGGGATATAGAGCAGGCCAGATCAGTTCATGGGCGCTTTCATGCCGTGGTCAGCTGGACTGCAGAACTCAAAAGGACATACCCCTGCCGCCTTTCACAGCAGTGCCGGACACCGCTCAGAGACTTTACAGCTGACCTCGCCCCTGGTCGACGGACTGGTTATCTAATCGCGATTATCGAGGACAGCTGCGAAGTACACAGTGCTACATAGTCGCAATCCGAACCTTGCACTTCGTTTGTGCCTGAGGCTATTCAACCACTTTTAGTCTCGGTCCATCCAGACACCAGTACGATTACTCAGGGTCACTCCCTTGGCAGGGATCGAGGCCGAATATCATTCTTGTGACCCTTTCTTCTCCATGAGCCAATCAATCTATCCCTCGTTTGGGTAGCACCACTGCTTGCGGTATGGACTTCCACCGTCTTCGCCTCTTTCGAGTCTCGTGTATATATTGTTATGCAATGCCAACCGCTGTCAACGGCGTAATTTTCGCCACTCCTCGCTTGAAACACATATAAAAACTATCCCTCAACACAAACGGGATCTGAGCGACCTTCCCTTGCTCGCTTTCCCTCCTACATTTGTGTCACCTTGCCTCACTGTTTCCTTGACTCGACCATCTTCTGAAAGATGTCTGCGGTATACTCTGACGGTCGCCAAGAAAAGCGCGTCGAGCGCTACACCAAGTTCTGGCAAAAGGACCTCACCCGCGAGAGCGAAGCTGATAGCGGGAACCGTCTCGACAAGTACACTGAGGTCGTCAACGGTTTGTTCTACTTCTACTGTAAGCGTCTGTGTCAAGCTCACACCACCCGCCACCCAGGATACTATGATGGTGCGACGGAGTTATATGAGTATGGCTGGGCACAGTCGTTCCACTTCTCGCGCTTCTACCAGGGCGAGGGCTTCGCTGCGTCTCTAGCTCGCCACGAACACTATCTTGCCGCTCATATGGGTCTTCGTCCTGGCATGAAAGTATTGGATGTCGGGTGTGGTGTTGGTGCACCGGCGCGCGAAATTGCCCGTTTTTCCGACGTCCAGATTGTCGGTATTAACAACAACGAATTCCAACTGGGTCGCGCTCGGCGATACACTGAAAAAGCCGGTCTCTCTGACCAAGTCACTTATGTCAAGGGCGACTTCATGAAGCTTTCAGAGCAATTCGAGCCAAATTCTTTCGATGCGGGTAAGTAAGGTTTCATTCACATTAACACGTTACTGAAACCTTGAAATGTAGTATACGCCATTGAGGCCACTGTCCATGCACCCACCTGGGAGGGCGTCTACAGTGAAATCTTCAAGGTCCTGAAACCTGGCGGTGTTGTAAATGTTGTTTCTATTTCGTTTTGCACGTCTACTCACGCAATAATGTAGCTTGGTGTTTACGAATGGTGCATGACTGATGCTTGGGATCCATCCATCCCGTCCCACAAAGAACTCGCGCATCAAATTGAATTTGGCAGCGGCATTCCAGAGCTTCGACCCCTGAGACTTGCACGTCAAGCTGTGAAAAACGTGGGATTCCAAATCGAGCATGAGGAAGACCTCGCCGAACGCCCCGATCCAGTACCATGGTACTACCCTCTCGAAGGTGACATCTGGAAAGCACAGACTGCCTGGGATTACTTGACGGTTTGGCGCATGAGCTGGAGTGGCAAGATCGTGACGCATACCGCTGTCAGATTTATGGAGTTGTTTGGTCTTTTGCCGAAAGGTACTTGGGAGGTGGGTGAATCGCTCAAGGTTGCAGGGGATGCACTGGTCAAAGGAGGGCAGACCAAGGTCAGTACTTCAGTCCCACTATCGCGATGCGCAGGAAGTGATTGGCTAATCTACTGATTTGAAGCTATTCACGCCGATGTTCCTAATGATTGGTCGCAAGCCCGCATTAGCCAACTGATGGCGTTTGTAGTAGCTGTTTCATGTATACGACCTTGGATTCGTGAGCCTGGCAGTTGTATGAATTATCATATGGAGTACGAGAGTAAATCATAGTATGGTTGCGTTGACCGTTGGAAATAGCGGTTATGAGTATGCAATGGTCGTCAAACTCCTTGATAGGGCTGGATATAATTGACTGTAGGACGTTTAACTACATTACTACTTTTCTGCATATGGGTTCTTCCCGACGCGTTGCGCAATTAGAGTAACACCTAAATTCGAGTTTGTTTTGCGCAGCGTCTTCATCAGTTCGTTTTTGGTTATGTAAAGGTTTAGCCAGGCTCCGAGTCGGAGGATATCATTCACCGATGGCAATTGGCATGATGAAACGTGTGCGTAGCAATAATTCACTATCCACGTATCGTCGCAGCCCGCTTTCGACCTCGACAACGACTTGGAACGATTACAGGGACCTTAGGTGCTGGACCTGCATACCCTTCGCGAAATGGAAAATCCGATTCCCGAGAGACATGTCTTTTCACTACAAACCGCGTTTGGTCTGCGCGTCGGGGACGCGTTGCAGGACAAAGTCACAGGAAGAGAAGATGTCACAATACAATGTGCAGCATTGAAATACCCAGTCTCCACGAGCGAACGAGGATTGACTCTAGTACTCACGCACGGAATGTCTAGTCGTACGTATCCCCAACGGAATGTTTTCACTGCAAGCGCTTGACCCCCTAGAATACAGATAAGGAGAGTTATCACCCTATGGTTGCCCGTCTCCTGCGATTGAACGTTACTGGAACTCGTGCCGGTTTGATTAGAGAAATATGGTCAGTCGACATGCCCAACCACGGCGAAAGCGCCGTTTTGAACCGCACCTATCTCGAAGATCGGCAGGAGAGGGGGCGGAAAGCGGGTTGGGATGGGAAATGCAGTGCGTATTCATTTCTGTCATTGCCCTCACCGTCGATCATGTAACCGTTACGATCCCACATGATAATTGAACAGATACGATGGACTTTTCTTCCTATTTGAATGCTTTTCTCTCTATACCGCAGCTCCAAGGTCACCGGGTAGTCGGGATCGCTCATTCGGGAAGTTGTGTGCCGTGGTACGTCTCATTTTATCTTCACTCGTCGATTTACTCATCTCCCCTCCCAACCACCCAGGACACACGCACTCACGCTCCTTGACCACACCCATCCACACCCCTTTGCTCTTATACTCATCGAACCGGTCTTCATGTTCCCCGGTATGCCGCCCACAGATCCCCGCGCTATCCACGGCGCCGCCAACGTGCGCGGCGTACTCACCAAACGGGGCAAGTGGTCTAGTCGTGCGGAGGCCAAGCGGTGGCTGTTAGGTATCAAAGGAGGTGACCCTAAGAGCCGGCAAAGCAAGCAGGGAGGTGTGGATGTTGGCGGGAGCCTGGAGCGGCCAAAGGGCCTAAGTCAGAGTGATAAGGGTGCAAGTGTGAATAGAAATGCTAAGGGCGCAAGGACTATATGGTCGAAATGGGACGATCTAGCACTAGATCTGTTCGTGGTAAGTGGCCTACTACTGTTGCCGTACCCTACGTGGCAAGGATGCGGCGTGGGCGGTAGTGTCCTGACATTCACATATATTACAAAAGGAACATGCACTTGAGGAGGTCCACGAGCCAGCGCAGGCACCACGGATGTCTACAAGATCGAGCTCCTACGTACGACCCACACTTCGCAAGGAGGAGGAATCACCGCTGTATGCGTGTCTCCAGCATACAGTTGAACCTGCCGAGCTCACGCGCATGTGCGTGGCTTTGACTCCGGGTAGTGGTGGAGCTCCCGGCTCCGTTAATGGCGGCGTGGGCGGCGTACATGTTATATGGGCAGACATAGAGGAGTTTATGTGCGTGTCTTTTTTACGTCGACCTTCTCGCCATTCTACTGCATTCCACAGATCCAAATCTACTAGAGCCGAGATCCTCGACGCTATGCATTGCGTCCAATCTCAACGCGTAGTTTCTGGTTCAGGTCACCTTGTAAGTCCTCGGGCTTTCTCCTCGCTTCCCTACGTTGCTCGTTTCACTTCGTCCTAGCCCCCATCCTGACACCAACTAAAGGCCATGCTGACGTTTACTTGTCAAAACAGATACCACAGGAGGATCCGAGCGGGCTCGCGGATGCCCTCCGTGATGTGCTGGTCGGTCATATAGCGGTCGCAGCGGGGATTACCGTACGGGCTCCTCTGTGAGGTGGCGAAGCTGGGTAGAGTGGTTTCGGAGGGGATGCGGTGGTAGCGGCGGGTGGCGTTCTGTGACGATAGGAGGAGTAGTAATGGTGAATGTACAATTACGTGTCACTGGAGAATTTGAGAATTGCGGACTTGAAAACTTAGATAGGAGTGTGAGCCAGGCTGTGGATTTTGGGCGGGGGGAGCTCACTCGCCCCTCCCAGAAAGCTTGTCGTGCGTGGACTGGTAATGACGAGTTAGCATCGAGATGGGTGGAGGCGTTTTTGAGTGCTTGGGTGATGTGTTGAGAAGTTTGAGCGAGGACCGGTGGAGTGGTCGCATTGTTTGGGACAACGGTGTCGATGGTTGCTGCAGCACAAACGCGGCTATTGTCTTCCAAGGTCAGATTATCTTCAGAGGACCAGGTTCGGGTCGGTGAACGCTAGGAAGGCGATCATCCAACCGAGGACAATCAGTGGGAGGAGGGGAGTAATGTAAACGACCTGACAGGGATGTCGGCAGGAGACGCACGCACCATTTGACAACTTGGCCAGGGAGATTTCTTCCGTGCTCCAGTTCCGTATGACTTTTCCCTTTCTTGCGGGTCATATTCGATACAATCATCTCGCTTCGTCTTGCTGTTCTGGATCAAGACAATACGCAAGCTCGTATCTGCGTTGTTGGAGATATTTGTATCCTGGTCTACGCGTGCGTTACCTGGTACAGTTTGATGGTTGAGTGGTGCCCAAGGTATTAGATTGCCCTGTACCCCCCCAGCATCAAGCCCGCTATGGTGAACTTCGTGCTCGATTTTGCAGAACGCCTGCTCGCACTCAGTGCCGAGGATGACGCGGCTCCGAGTCCACTTGTCGCATCTTACCTTTCGTTGTTGTTGTTAAGCCACCTGACGACGTTCGTCGAGCGTACCAAGGGATATCAGGACATTTCTACGCCTCTCACTCAAAGACAGATCGGACTTCTCGCTCTACCTTGCACATCACATCGTAGTCGTAGACGGCGTTCAGGTGGAATCATTACTCGGGTTGCTGACTCCGCTGTTACGAATGGCCACACGAGCGGTGCCGGAAGGCCGGAGCGCACAAAGGTCTACATTTCGCGTCGGCGTCTCATGTTCTAACACGCGAGAGACGGAGCGAAAAGGGAAGGATGCCGACATCGCCAAGTGGGTGGCAGAGCTTGCGCCGACCTCTAGCGGGTAAAAAGGATGCTAGTCAAGGGACAGCGGTACCGCTACGCTGTCAAAAAAGAAGCTCAGGCGCAATTGGATAAAGAGGTATGCCCATGCGTTCGTCAGAGGCGTGATATCGGTGATTGTTTCAGAGGCCCGTGCGTACTCCCCGATTGCGGCGATGTACTGGAAGGGGCTTTAGGACAAGGCCCAAGATTGGTTAGCAACGCCGTGTCTGAGACGTTCATTATGGGTGGTTTTCCTTAGCGATTTCTCTTGCTCTTCACAGTCTACTTTAGGATCGTGCTTGTTGCTGCTCGATATGACACGAAAGTGGGTGGGCTCTGCTTTAGCAGAGCGCTTCGGTTTCCTTGCGTGCCGGAAGAGCTGCATGGCACGTTCTCCTTTGTTTGGCCCATGCTCCCGCGATGACTTGATTCGTTCAGCGCTTGTACTGCGGGCGGGTCTTGTATCGTCGGAGGACAATTTTGAAGCGAGCTGCGTCTGACGCTGCCCCCTTCTCGTACGCATTCCCTCTCCTGGCGCAGGTACTTCGTCAAGGTAGGACCGACGTCTCAGAAGAAAGAAGCGCGCGAACAAGTTACGCTCATCCTGGACATCGTCCGGTTCCATAGCCCTCACCTGCTTGACATGTCACGAGGCGTTTGATATTGCGGAGCAGTCGCGGATACCAATGTCCTTCGCAAAAATGTGATGGAGAAATCCCATTCCATCAAGCTCCAGCCAAGGCTAAGCCGTAACTGCCCCCCAAGCCCCCAGGTCATGACTCTGAAATATAATTACCGCGACGTGAGGTTAAAAAAGGATCGCATTGCGAATATGTGTCATCTCATCAACCTCTCTGCACTTCCAATTCCCCCGCTGCTGGCGAACAGCACGCACCCCCTGTTCGTGCTGCTGTGGAGAGGAGGCTGATGTGTAGGGAGGTAGGTTGTTGTTTTGGGCTGTACAATTACAGATGAGTCTCGGGCGTCGGCCAAGTTGCACCTGAAAGGGGTGTTCTCTAAAGATTAGCTTGTGTCGTTTCGTTTCGTATTTTCACCCCAATGAAATAAGTTCTGATGCGCACTCTTGGAGATAAACAATATGCTGAGGAACAATGCATCGAAGATAGTACTTACTAGCCTTCCATTACAAGGTGGACCATTCTCGACACAGCAGCTTGAGCGCTACAGCTTCGTCATGGTACTGTCCCTGCTCCCAGGGTTAACCGTTGCGCCAAACTGGAGCTTCAGCCAGGTGGGCTTGGCCAGAGCCCAGCATCCATACGACACCGCCAAGAACGACGGAATCGAAGAGTCTTTATTACATAAGAAATCGCAAAGGATGGCAGCTCTTTCGCTTTTGGTGTCACCTACGTGCCATTTGAAAGCTTCGGCAGAGGACTGGCCAGATTTTTCGAGGGTTGGCAGCCTCGAACGACTCGGACGTGTACTGCCTCCGACAGGCCTGAAACCTTGCTCGAGGACGGTTTCAATCACTTCGATACGCCTAACGGTCTGATGTAATGGAATATGGAATTCCGGTATACACGGTCCCTCTGTAAGCTATCATCCACGTGGGTAGTTGGGCACAAGGTACGATTTCTTACTTCAAACCCCACATTTGTAGCATGCAAACACTGGCCTGCTGCCGCAATGCTAAAATATGCATTCCGCGATCGATAGCCGTCGGTTGAGACAGGCTACACACTTCCGATCTACTGGTATGTTTCGAATCTACTGTCTGGACATCCACTGTCGTGTCCAACGGAGACGGATCAGGGCGCAATGGAAGCAGTAGTAAGACGTCATCCCGATGATGCAGGTCGTTGCCCTCATTCACCATACACCCTAAATCTACCTTAACCTTTGTGAAGGCAAACTGATCGTTCTGGTCCACCGTAGCAGGGCATAACAATAACTGGAACATCGCATCGCTTTTCATCTGCGGTTCCTGGAACGCTTCGTAGACTTCGGGGGTTACTTATCATCCAATGTTGGGCCAATGAAGCGCCTACGATAGGGCATACTTAATGGATTCCTTTCTCTTGCTTCGTTCAACTTGCACACCCATTCCGACTTTCAAACGACAACTTTAAATTTCCCGGCTAGACGCTGTCACCAATGATACAGTCTTACCAGAATAGCGTCGATAAAGTGAAGTATCTCACTCCCGAGAGGCACGTCTTTTCATTGCGGACCACGTTTGGTCTGTGCGTTGGAGACGCGTTGCAAGACAAGGTACCAGGCAGGGAGGACGTGACGGTGTACTGTGCCGCACTGAGATATCCGGTTGCGAAAAGCAAACAAGGGTTGACGTTAGTGCTGACCCATGGATTGGCTAGTCGTACGTATCTCTCCGAACATATTTATCGCATGTGCTTAACCCCCAGAATCAGACAAGGAGAGTTATCAACCTACGATTGCGGATCTCTTGCAGTTGAACGCTGCTGGAACTCGCTATGTTAACATGATTAAAGAAATATGGACAATCGACATGCCTAATCACGGCGAAAGTGCGGTTTTGAACCGTACATATCTCGAGGATCGGCGGGAGAGGGGGCGGAAAGAGGGCTGGGATGGGAAATGCAGTGCGTATTCATTTCTGTCATCACCTATACCGTCGATCATGTCCCTGACTATGATAATGAACAGCGACGATGGACTTTTCCAGCTATCTGAATGCCTTTCTCTCTATACCACAGCTACGAGGCCATAAAGTAGTTGGCATTGCACATTCAGGAAGCAGTACACCATGGCATGTTCCATCTCATCTCTCTCATCTCCCTCCATCCCTGACTCATCTCCCTTCGACGCATCTCTGCAATCGCAACGTACACAATACCTACCCTAGGGCACACGCATTCACGCTCCTCGACCACGACCACCCACACCCCTTCGCTCTCATATTCATCGAGCCGGTCCTCATGTTTCCTGGTATGTCCTCTACTGATCCTCGAGTTGTACACAGCACCGCAAACATGCGCGGGGCACTTGGGAAGCGGGATAAGTGGACAAATCGTGCAGAAGCGAAGCGTTGGTTATTAGGTATCCAGGGGAAAAGTCCCATGGTTGGGCGGGACAAGCAGAGAGATATCGATATTAACGGCAGTCCGAAATGGACGGGGAGCGGAAGTCGGAGTGTCGAGAGTGTGAACAGGAATATAAGGAATACAAATGGCAACGGTAAGGCGAGAGGGAAGACCTTATGGTCGAACTGGGATGATCAAGCGCTAGACTTGTTTGTGGTATGTTGCCGTATCCCACATAGTTTGGGACCACACCTGCATAGCCTTGACAATCACTCTAACACGCTTTCTACGCAGGAACACGCACTCGAGGATGTCTTTGAGCCAACCCCGTCCCTTGAGGGGTCTGCGAATTCGACCATGGCGACGAGAAAATCGAGGCTTTACGTACGGTCCATGGCTCGCAAGGAGGAGGAATCGTCGCTGTATGCACATTCGCAGCATACGGTCGAACCTGTGCACCTTACGCACATGTGCACGGCTCTGGGTGGGCTGCATATTATGTGGGCGGAGTCAGAGGAATACATGTGCGTGCTTTTTTTTTTGGTTGCGCCGTGCGTTCGATCGTCATCCCTTTCCTAACTTTCTTGTAGATCTAAATCTACCAGAGCCGACATCCTTGAGGCCACCTCCTATCGCGTCCGGTCCAACCGCGTTGTCCCTGGCTCGGGCCATCTCGTAAGTCCCTCCCTTCGTATTTTCCCCCCACCTCGGTTACTATTGCCCCCTCAATGCCCCTCTCTTCATGCCTCGCAATGACGTTGGCTAGTGCTTACATGTACGTTTCCCCTCTTAAACAGGTACCTCAGGAAACTCCGAGAGAACTCGCGGAAGCACTATATGATGTGCTGGTGGGTCATGTAGCGGTCGTGGCGGGAGTTATGATGCGGGCCTCGCTGTGATGCTGCAAACGTGGGTGAAGAGCTGGGCGTAGAGCGTCTGGAACGTTCGTATTATCGTCAAGAGAGAATCTCCCTCATGTCTTCTTCTGGCATGCAGGTAGGGAGGTGCTGATTGTTACGGATGCTGCACCCTGAGGGTGGGCTATAGGTGAGAGCTTGGTTGAATCGAAGGAACAGTAGGCTTGCTAGTAATCCATAAGTAGTGATATTCCAGGACGCGGAGCAGTCCTGGTCTGTTTTCATCTTTTGTTGCGCACGATCATGATGGTGTACGGTCCGAACTCCGTCTACCCATAAAAGGCCTATTTGTTTTTGCTTTCAGATTGCAGCTGTGCATTGGTGTGCATTGGTTTGCCATGACAAGTATGGAACGTCATCTGCTTGCAAATACATTACTGTCCCCTTTTCTCCTTTGCCTCCTCGCTCCTCAGAATGCCTCTGTCGAGATCTACTATGGCAGAAAATTGAGCTCCTCCTGCCCTTCTCTTGAGGCTTGACCTCGATCACACCGATGATGGTACGACGATAAGTTATGCTACTTTGCGAGAGAATTATGCTTTCGTTGGTTTTTTGGCAGACGGTGGGAGTTGTGCGAGACATCGTCTTCCACCCCGGACAGTGGTCGCACAAGCGAGTTCATTGAAGGAGTTCGTTGGACAGTATCAGTTTCTTACACGAGTTGATTTGTTGGCCATTTGTGATCAGCATTGTATTGCCGTCGGTAGTCGTTTACGTTTGCAGGGTTTGCGCGACGTCCTTCGCCTTCACGCATGTACACAGCCTGTTCAAATTCAGCATTGACTGCTCTGCGGTGAGTACCGCCGAAAAGTTGTCTCGCGGAGATTAAGTTTTCCAAGATGCAATCCCCCTTAGTCCCACCGGCGTAAATCCCGACCCGATGAAGGAATACATCCAATTTATTGCAGATGACTTACTCGTTTCGCTAGGCAGCAACAAATTGTACGACGCCATCAATCCATTCAAATCCATTCCTCTAAGCCCACATCCCAAACCACATGGCGTGCACCACAAACAAATTCTCCCCTCTTCACTGCCAAATTAAATAAAGGGATCAACACCGGATTTGTAAGTAATTCAAAACAAAGATGAACATCCTCTCAACTCAACGCACAAATTATCAAGCTCTCTCTTTAGTGGCGCTCAAGGTGGCGCTGGAAGCGCTCTGGAAGCGCTTTGTCTGTGTTCTGGCACTGGCTCTGGAAACATGTTCTGGCCACTACATTTTCAACTCCAACAAGCTGAACGGTGCGGCATCCCGTCGGACTCAAAATAAATAACAGTAGTTTTAGCAGTATATCAAATAATTAAATAGCTAAGTCTTGAAGAACAATGCCCTGCGAATCTCTCTGCAAAAATCTCCTCAGACAACTTGATGAAGCTAGCTTGGAAGTAGCAATGGCCAGGCTGGAAAATGTGTGTTGTGAAATTGATAGTAGCGATAATAGCAACTCAACCACAACATATGGGGATTCTGATTCATCTCAGAGCATCCTCTTTGTTACTCCACCATCTCTGATCTCTCCGATCTCAATGGATTCCAACTCCAGTGTTTCTGATGATACAGACTCGACGGTTGAGAGGGATAGGCGGTGTGGATGGCTCCTGAATGCAATTGAGGCTCTGAAGGATGAAGTAGAGCGTGCATGGGTTCTTGAAAAACCCACTGTACCATTGATGCAGTCATCACAGCTCAGCCTGCTCGACCATTTTGCTGACCATTGCCCTCATCTGTTCCTTAGACGCCTTCGTGTATGGCCAGAAGTTTTCGATTGCATCCTTGATCAAATAAGTAGCCACCCAATATTTCATAGTAGCTCTGAAAATCATCAGTTGCCAGTTGCCATTCAACTCACAACTTTCCTTTTCCGTGCAGGGCATTATGGGAATGTGGCATCACCAGAGGACGTGGCCCAGTGGGCTGGGGTTAGTGTGGGATCGGTGATCAATTTCACCAATTGGGTCATGGTTGCAATACTGGATGAGCATGACACATTTGTCAATATTCCCCCTCATGACTCGGAGGATATGGAAAGAGTGTGTACCTTCACTGAATCGTGGACATGTCCGGCATGGAGAAATGGCATCTTTGCTGCAGACAGCTCATCAATTCCACTCTTTGAAAAGCCCCAAATATTTGGGGAGAGCTTCTATGACAGAAAATCCAGGTATTCACTCAATTGTCAGGTGTGTATTCCAATGCACACAAAATGGAATACTTACTGCTCATAGCTTGTTATCATGCTGCACAACCTTCTTGTGGTTGACTATGGGCTTGGTCACCCTGGAAGCATCCATGATGCATGGGCGTTTCAAGGTACTCGCATTGCATCACGACTGGGAGACCTTATCCTCAAAGATCACTGGACCTGGGCAGATAGTGCATATCCCATGGAGGAATGGTGCACTGTTCCTTTTAAAAAACCCAAGGGTGGGCGGCTATCTCACGATCAGAATTTATATAACAAATATCTTTCTAAGATGATACTTACCTCGTACTGGTATGCATGCTAATTGCGTTGAAAGGTCCGCATCTGCATTGAGCACGCATTTGCTGCCTTGAAGGGTCGATTTCAGAGTCTCCGTGAGCTGCACTTGAAAATCCGGAATGAGAGGGATGTTAAGGTTGCAGTTTACTGGGTAATGTGTTGCATCATCTTGCATAACATGGTGATCCATTTTGAGGAGGAAATGGTTGGCATCGTCGAGCCCTCAAGTCGGTGGGCAATGGAGGAGGGGTTGGGCCAACAGGATGGTGACATGGTCGTGGTAGGAGAGGCTGTGGGAACACCAGGTCAGCAATTTCGAATGAGGCTGTTAGATGGGCTGTTCCAATATCTGGGGCATGAACATACCTAGTGTAAACAGACCAAAATGGTCACCATATAAAGTTGAGGGAGCGTAGCTAGTGATGCTGTAGGAGTCAGCTAAGTCCCACCCATTGATGATGAGGGTGCGTAAGGGGTCTTCACAGGATCTGGGTGCTTTACGACTGACCTTGGAGAAGTCACTTACGATACCACATGCATTCTGCAAATGAAATGTACCCTACATTGCATCTTGATACAGTGTTGGGGTGAGTATGGGGGAGACAGAGAAGTAATACAGTATGGGGTGAGTGTGTACTTAATGATCATACGATGCACTGGGACTGAGAGACAAGTACAACAGAGAAGATGACGAGCCAAGCAGAGATGCGACAATGGATTAAAAAAAGAAACAGATGTGATTGCAAAGGGTGGCTGGCCTAAGCAGTGGGGTCGGAAGATGTTGAGCCGGAGCTGGCGCCACTCTTCATGAGCTCTGCAAGTTGAATCTTGAGTCGAAGGGTTTTGGCCTCCCTCATGAAGGTGTTTTCTTCGGCATTCTTCAGCTTGATATCGAGCTTCTGGAGCTCCTGCTCCCTTCGATGCTTATCCTCCATGTCTTTCCACTGCATCCTGAGTTGCTCCTTCCTCAACTCAAGCTCCCGATCCTTCAGCATATACTGCATTTTCGCCAGGTACCACGCAGTCTTACCAGAAGATGAGGATGCTAGTATTGACTCAGCCTCTTGACTCATGTCGATGACCTGGCTTTGAAGTTGAGACTTGTTGTGAGCGACTGGGAGAGAACTTGCCTCCATTGATGTTGTCTTGGATGATGAGGACCATGGGGTCCTCGCAACAGCCTTCCCCTTGTGGGAAGAGCTAGATGATGACAATGCAGAGGAAATGATGCTTCTGGTGGAAGTGGGGGGACAAAGGTATGGTGATTGGCAGAATGCAGAGCGATTATCTGAGAAAGGTGTGTGAGACTTGCGAGGGAGGGAAAATTGAGACCACACCTCAGGAGTCAATGGCTGAGGATATGACTGCTGATTCATTAACAATGATCCATTAGTGATGTCCCAATAGAAATGCACCTGATCACTGTGAACTGACACCGAGTCCATGTTAACATCCTCTCCATCTCCAAAGCCGGGGTCCATGCCTTCCAGATCAAAGATACTATCGGAAAATTCATCCCCCTCATTCATGACTAGATCACCAACATGAGACATCCTCTTGTTGACTTCACCATCCTCCAGATCTTGATCACCATGCATTTCCTCGGTCCCAGTATTCACAGGGGTACCTTCATCCGCCAGAGTGGCGGGTGACCCCACTCCCAAGTCTGAAGTCTTCTGCATACTGGATGATTTATTTTGGACAATGGCTAAAAAATCTTCAGCGTGATTTTTGTCTGGCTCGGAATTAATCGGGTCAGAGTCGAAGGAGGGGTTGCCCTGCCAGATGGAATGCAGATCGTCGTACCAGGGTAAAGTGTTGAGAACAGCTTCTGTAATCATACACATCAGCGACTGTAATCCCACTAGATAGATTGATAACTTACGATGGAGATTTGCGTAGCTTGTGTGACCAGGCATAATGCCTTCCCCTGATTGTTTAAAGCATGCATGGCACTTGCGATATGATCCCTTCAGCCTAAATGATTGTTAAAAAATCACAAATAAAATATGAAGAGACTGACGTAGTGATGCAGTTGCCTACGCTAACTTGGAACTTAGCAGGGCCCACCATGTACATGTCCTTGTAGTAGGGATCATTCTTGAATATGACTTTGGCGATAATTGCTTGAACTTCTTTCTTGTTATGGCCCACTGGCCCCTCATCAGGTGAAGGTGGTGAGATGGTTGTGATCTTATCACTAAAAAGGATTCTCCAGTTTGTGGGATGGGTGAGCAACCAGTTGATGAGTATATCGGTACAAGGAATGTCCCAGTTGATGTTCTTTGGCTGAAGACCTTCTGTAGTAGATGCGTCACCAGTAGTGGTGACAGCCCGTTGGCTGGATGAAGCCAGGTTCTTGCCCTTGGTTCCGCCATGAGTAGATCTACTGCTCAATCCATGACCAGAGCCTGAATTCCTGGTGGGTCTGTTGGATCCTCCTTGATGGGCTTGTTCACTTGAAGATGCCATGGGCTGACCTGAGATTGCTTGCAGGCGAGCAGAGCGCTGAATGCGTGGTTGTAGAGGAGACATAACTTTTCAAACTCCACAAGGCCAATGCCAGTTGCAGATGCCATTCCAGAACAATTCCAGAGCACTTCCAGCGCCACCTTGAGCGCCACTTTTGAATCATTTTAACCAACACCGACA